CTTAAAAACCAGAGACATCATCTTGCCAACAAAGGTCCGTATAGTTAAAGCTATGGTTTTCCCAGAAGTGATGTATGGAAATGAGATCTGGAACCATAAAGAAGGCTGATCGCCGAAGAATTGATGCTTTTGAATTATGGTGCTGGAGGAGACTCTTAGAGTCCCATGGACTGCAAGAAAATCAAACCTCTCCATTCTGAAGGAAATCAGCCCTGAGTGCTCACTGGAAGGACAGATCCTGAAGCTGAGGACAGATCCTGAAGCTTTGGCCGCCTCATGAGAAGAGAAGACTCCCTGGAAAAGACCCTGATGTTGGGAAAGATGGGAGGGTACAAGGAGAAGGGGATGACAGAGGATGAGATGGTTGGACAGTGTTCTCGAAGCTACCAGCATGAGTCTGACCAAACTGTGGGAGGCAGTGGAAGACAGGAGTGCCTGGCGTGCTCTGGTCCATGGGGTCACGAAGAGTCGGACACGACTAAACGACTAAGCAACACAATTGATTTGATGAAGATATGGTTTGATTTGGTTCTTGGTTATAATTGGATTTATATATCCTATCCATTCACCCCTCACCCACTGTATTGGTCTGCAATTTCTTTTTTTCAAATATATTTTTATTAAAGATTTCTTGGTTTACAAAAATATGTGCAATGTCAATTTTACCGATCAGTTCCATTTGTTGAGACATTAGTGTTACATTAGGAAGAAAACGGGGGAAGAGGTGGAGGGGGGAGTGGTGGGTGGGGTGGCATTGCTTCTATTCTACTTAGTGTATGTGTGGATTTTTGTGTCAGTGTCACTCTTTATTATTCGCTTGTATTCCTTTGGTAGTCAGAGAGGCTGGGGATGGCCTCGGCTGCTTCACAACTCTGCAAACGCATTTAAATGCGTGATCCCTGATTGGCTGGGATGTGTGTCTTGGACAAGGGTGACCTTCCAGATGTTGCTGGACTCCAACTTCCAGACTGGGGCTGATGGGAAATGGTGACACAGCTGGCAACTCTGTCCTTGGGCCAACTCTGGCAACACGGTTACCAGACCTCAGCGTGTCATCCATAGGGGCAAAGGTTCATTCACCTGCTCGGCATACAATGAGATCGATGCCCTCCCCTGCCACGAGCCCCCTTCTGCCTCCTCAACAGGGCGAAGAGGATGGTCCGTATGCAACAGGAGAAAAGGACAGGCAGATCTGACCTCATAAATGTCAACACACCATGCCGGTTGTGTAACATTTCAACCTCTCAGGACCTCTGTCGCTGACCTCGCTGTCCCTTTTAGTGCAAATTTCTCATCATATACACATACGTTCTGCACGCAGTCTTGCCAAATGCACAGAAATTTCCACAAGGCAGTTTTCTGCAATATAATGTATTTCTGTATCCTGTTTCCAATATTATATGCATTCTTAGGCATGCTTTGCTCCCGTATATGCATCTTTGTATACATGACTCGGCAGGAGGACGGCACTACAAAATTCAGATATTGAAGGATGGCTGTGTTTCTGTTTGCGCACCATTTTGGAAAGCATGAATGAGTCAAGATTTGGGTGAGGAGTGCATGCAGGAGCCAGGCCCTGTGACCTGTAGGACTTTGCAGGACTGGGGCCTTCCTAAGTTTGTTCTGGAGAGGCAAGGTACGGCCACACAGGTGAGACCGATTGGTAACTCACAGCACCTGGTGGCAAGAGCCGGGAAGGGATATAAGGTCAGCATTTCTCTTTGGCTCTTTGCCACAGCAACACGTTCCCTGCCTTGCTACGTTTGGCTGCTTGACTCCTCGCTTCTTGATCCTCCGACCCCTGACTTCGTGACTCCTGGCTTCTGGACTCCCGTTCCTGCTCCCACCCCACCATCTTGCCCCCGGTCCCGACATCCCCAGCCTGGACTTTGATTGCCAGTGTACCGGACTGTGACAATTCGCCTTCCGGTGCGAGCCAAATCAGATTTCTGCCCCCTACCCTGGATCTTCCTGAATAGGTTGTCAAGAGATCCACCCCCTGAATGAGATCACCCATCGGCACTTCCATCCAGGGCCTTTCCTCATTAAAATGTTCCGCCGCAAACGTGGGGCTCATGGATCAATGTCCTCGTAGTGGAGAGACTTGATTGATTTCTCCTCCACCCTGATCTTGAAAATGAGTCAAGTCCTTTGCAGCGGCAACTAATGAGGACTCCTACGCCTCTCTCGGCCAAGGGTTTGGGAGCAAGCGATGGAAGACGTCAGGCGCAAGCAGCTTTTTTATTATTGCCTGCCATGCTTGACATTTGTCTTCGTGAGATAATAAGGACCCGTCAGATCTATACAACAATTACACGATACGGCAGCGCAGCGGTGATGTCGTTGTGGGGGCGAGGAGGGGGCGATGCGTCAAGAAACTTCTGCAATAAACCGGGGGGGGGGGGCGGCGGCAGGTGAGGACACATTGTAAAACGGAAACACAGCCCGAAATAATCAATCAAGCTCTGTTACCAATTTTATTTACATGAAGACGACATCGCGGCGTCTCTGCAGAGTTGCCAACTGATCAGGAAGTAAACCTGACTGCTTTGCTCCTGTGTCTTTAACAGAGGCTGGACCAAAGCTGATCACAGGCATGGAGGTCACATGGAGTGTTGCTGTTTTTTACATTGTGGGAGCAGAGGAGCAGCGGCTGGCTCAGAAGCTGGCGACCCTGCTTGTCAGAGCATTACACACACACACACACACACACACACACACACACAAACACACACACACACACACACACACACACACACAGAGTGTTGCTCCTGTGCTTTTAACGGGAAAATATGAAAATGGGGAAATAAAATACACACAAGCAGCTCTCTCGCATGAGGCAGATGAGGTCTCTCTGGGGGGTAGGATTAAAACCAAGGGAGTAGAAATGTCAGTGGAGCGGATTTCGGTTGAACATTAGGCAGGAGAAACTTCCCAATATTGAGAGCGGTTTAGCTGCAGAACGAATAAAATACAGTAGAATCATAGTATCATATAGTATCATAGAATCATATACTTACCTGGCAGGGGAGACACCTTGATCATGTAAGGTAGTCTTTATGTGAGTATATTGTATTCAATTAGGGGGTATCAGAGTTTTTAGGGGGCTAACCAGGCTGGGATAGCTGGGATAGCAGGCTTGTGGGTTTTTGAATGTCTGATGTAGATTAATTCAATTTCGTTGTTCTGTATGGGACAATGACAATAAAGATTATCGGATCGGATCGTAAGAGAAGCTCGTGTTTCTATTTCCTCAGCGTTGGATCTCTGATCTGTTTGAACCCAGCTAGTTTCTACAGACAACTCACACCCATCTCTGAGATTCAGGATGGATAATAGAAAGTCCTTCTTCACACAGCCCCACAGCTAAGCTACGGAACTCCTTGCCACCAACTTGGATGGCTGTGGAGGAGGAGGATTGGACAAATTTGTGGAAAAGGTTATCAATGACCACTAGCCACAATGGCTCTGATCTGCCTCCATGGTCAGAGGCAGTAATGCTTCTGAATACCAGTTGCTGGACACCGCAGGAGGGGAGAGGGGTCTTGGGTTCGAATCCTGATTCCTGGGTGGCTGCTGAGAGAACAGGAGGCTGGCCTCATCCAGCAGCGATTTCTTTCGGTTCTGATCTCCCCAGCCAGGCAAAAACATTCAAGGAGGGTACGAAGGAAGGTGGGTGGAGAAGGGGCGAGGGGGTAGTTCTGGGAAGAGGTGGGAGTGGATGAGGACTGTGGGCCAGAAAGATCGTCCCTGGAGGGAGCCGTGCATGTTTAGCATGGAAAAGAGGAGACTGAGAGGAGATAGGACAGCCATCTTCAAATCTCAAGGACTGCCCCATGGAAGAGGAAATAAGCTTGTTTTCTCCTGCTCCGGATGGTAGGACTCGAACCAGTGGCTTCAAGCTGCAAGAAAGGAGACTCAGGCTGTCAGGAATGAGCCAGCTCCCAGTGAAGGTTTGCAGCCAACGGCAGAAAGCAGCCAGGAACAGGGAGGCTTTGATGTTAGTCAGACAGGGGAGAGCCAGCAGCTGCAGACCTCGGCTCTTTCTGACCTCGACGGAGAAGGCAATAGCTGAGAGCAGGCTAGAACACAGCCAAAGCTTCCCAGAAGCACAATCAGGCACAAATAAACTCGGAGACAGCCTGTCAGGTGTGTGTGTAGGAGCCAGGCCCTGTGACCAATAGGACTTTGCAGGACTGGGGGCTTCCTAAGTTTGTTCAGAAGAGGCAAGGCACGGCCTCACAGGTGAGGCCGATTGGTAACTCACAGCACCTGGTGGCAAGAGCTGGGAAGGGATATAAGGTCAGCATTTTCCCTTCGGCTCTTTGCCACAGCAACACAGTTCCTGCCTTGCTGCGTTTGGCTTCTTGCTTCCTGATCCTTGAACCTTGGCTTTTTGACTCCCTGCTTCTTGATCCTCGGACCCTTGACTCCTTGCTTCTTGATCCTCGGACTCTTGGCTTCCTGACTCCTGGCTTCTGGACCCCCGTTCCTGCTCTCACCCCGCCATCTTGCCCCCTGTCCTGACTTCCCCTGCTGGGACTTCGATCACCCGTGAACCGGACCATGACACAGCCTCTCAGAGCTGGAAGAAGTTGGAGCTGATCCAGTAAGTCCGAGGAGTAGGCGAATGGGAGGGTTGTTAGACAGGAAACAAAACAAGAGACGTAAGGGTCGTAAGTTCAGTATCTGCTGGAGACGCCGGAAGGAGTCTTCAGAAGGGTCATCTTGATGATGATGCCGGAGGCTTTGTTGGAGCTGCCCAGAGCTATCTGTTTGTTTTTGCAATAAATCCTCCTTTTTAATTAGCTATGCTTACTGTGTTATCATGCTAGGAACCTGGACTCCTGACACTGGCTAAACATCAGCAAGAACTTTCTGACAGCAAGAGCAGTTTGACAGTCGAAGGATCTCCCTCGGGAGGTTGCGGACACTCCTTCCTTGGAGGTTTTTAAGCAGAGGTTGGATGGCCACCTGTCATGGATGCTTTAGCTGAGATTCCTGCACTGCTGGGGGTTGGACTAGATGACCCTCGGGGTCCCTTCCAAATCTACGATTCTATGATTTGTCCTCTGGGGCCAAGGCTTGAGCATCAGAAATTGGCGAGGGCTCCCTGAATGGTTCAGTAATCTACGTTTGGCTCACCGGAAAGAGATGAGCTCATTTCCAGAGAGGGAGATGGTTCTGTAAACCAGACCTTCTGCGCTCCCGTTCCCCTGCCACCGCCTAAAAAACAGAGATTGCCTCTCGTTCGTCTTGCCATGTCCTTTTGAGTGCCTTCTGCAATATTCTCCTGGGATATGACTTCATCTTTGAGGCAGACAAAGTCTGCCATCCTCTTTCATCCACTCCCCCCCCCAAAAAAACCCCCAACCACCTTAGTGTTAAGTTGTCTGAGTAGTCTTAAGAACATGGGTAGGCAAATTAAGGCCCGGGGGCCAGATCCAGTCCAATCGCCTTCTAAATCCGGCCCGCGGACAGTCCGGGAATCAGCGTGTTTTTACATGAGTAGAATGTGTGTTTTTATTTAAAATGCATCTGTGGGTTATGTGTGGGGCACAGGAATTCGTTCTTTTTTTTCTTTTCAAAATATAGTCTAGCCCAGGGGTCTGCAACCTTTAAGACAAAAAGAGCCACTTGGACCCGTTTCCGAAGAAAAAAAACCTGGGAGCCGCAAAACTCGTCATTATAAAAATAACTTTTTTGTCACTTTTTTTATTATTTCTTTGTTTGACCCCTCAGAATTACTCCTCCTCATAGAAATAAACATTAAATTAACAAGTTACCTTTTTGTGTGTGTGTGTTCTTCACTCCCCTTCAAAACAGTGACCAGCGTACATGCCCCCTTTCAATGCAGTGACCAGCATACATGCCCCTTACAATGTAGCGGGCGGGCGGGTGAGAAGGTGACGTCGGGACGGTGCGTGACTAACGCATGCACCGCCTCCATGCGACGTCACAGCCAGTACAGCGCCCGCCACAGTGGGGAGTGTCGGGGCGCACAATGCGCCTCCTCCCCTCGCTAGTATCCGCCCCGGAGCCGCGGCAAAGGTGTAAAAGAGCCACATGCGGCTCCGGAGCCGCGGGTTGCAGACCCCTGGTCTAGCCCCTCACAAGGTCTGAGGGACTGGCCCCCTGCTGAAAAAGTTTGCTGACCCCTGCTTAAGATCATAACATAAGAACACGAGAAGAGCCCTACTAGATCTTGCCAAATGCCCTTCTAAGTCCAGCATCCTGTTCTCACAGTGGCCAAGCAGACCCCTATAGGAAACCATCAAGCAGCAATGGAGCCCTCTGGTTTGCCTGGAACGGGGGTGATTTGCATGCATAGCTACTGTACAAAGCTAAGAGTTACATCTATACCTGCACTGCACCGATTCTTTGCCTCCCATCGCACCCACCATTGTCATGCAGCCCCCAAAGGGTTACTCACAAGGCACTGTGTCTCCCTTTGGCCGAAAACAGCACCCTGTCCCCAGTTTAAAGGCACAAGAACATAGCAGAACCAACAGCAGAACACAGCGCTCTCTTCTTCCAGCCCTGTCCTTCCTAAAACGTCAAGCTCCAAATCTCCAATTTTTTAAGAAAGAGAGAGAGACTCTTAACTTGGCAACAAGAGGCGAGCGGGAATCCACTTTGCGCATGCTCTGTGGCTCTCCTTGATTGCTTCCCCATACATCCCGGGGGCTCAGCCAAAACTGGCATAAAAAGCCCCTAATTCTAGCCTCCCTAGAACAGCCAGGGAGCTTCCTCAAAATCTGTTCTCTCCGCTAGAGATCTTAGGCTGCTTGTGCCATCCCAGACAGGATCCCGGCTGGATTGTGTGCCCCAGAAAAGCTGGAACAGCACCAAGATTCTTGGACGCCCTGCTGTGTCTTTTGCCTGGCAGAGCAAATCCCCAGTCTTTGCTACATCTCGTCTGCATGCATTTGCTTTGTAGGGTCTTTCTCTTGTTTGGGCCTCCTGGAATTAGTTTCCTTGACGTCGCTCAGTGACCCTGGATCAGACGTGTTGGCGATCGTGGTCTCCCTGGCGGTGTCAGGGTTTCTGGCGGCCGCTGGGTCCCCGTCGCGGGGTTCTTCCATTTGAACATGTGACGAATCTGGGCTGCCGGTGGTGGGAGACTCGTCCGGACCAGAAAGGCTGCCCTTGGTCAAGATGTGTCGGGAAATCACTAAAGGAGATGGGAAAATGTGTTAGGGGACACGGGTGGCGCTGTGGTCTAAACCACTGAGCCTCTTGGGCTTGCCAATCAGAAGGTCGGCGGGTCGAATCTCTGTTTTGAACTCCCGTTGCTCTGTCCCAGCTCCTGCCAACCTAGCAGTCTGAAAGCATGCCAGTGCAAGTAGATAAATAGGTACCAGTGTGGCGGGAAGGTAAATGGCGTTTCTGTGCACTCTGGTTTCCATCACAGTGTCCCGTTGCACCAGAAGCGGTTTAGTCCTGCTGGGCACATGACCCAGAAAGCTGTCTGCGGACAAACGCCGGCTCCCTCAACCTGAAGGTGAGATGAGCTCCGCAACCCCATAGTCACCTTTGACTGGACTTAACCATCCAGGGATCCTTTACCTTTTTACCCTATCTCATGGGTAGGCAAACTAAGGCCTGGGGGCCGGATCTGGCCCAATCACCTTCTAAATCTGGCCCGCGGACGGTCTGGGAATCAGCGTGTTTTTACATGAGTAGAATGTGTGCTTTTATTTAAAATGCATCTCTGGGTTATTTGTGGGGCATAGGAATTCATTCATTTCCCCCCTCCAAAAAAAATATAGTCCGGCCCCCCCCAAGGTCTGAGAGACAGTGGACCGGCCCCCTGCTGAAAAAGTTTGCTGACCCCTGGCCTATCTTATCAGAGACACCACAGAATCATAGAATTGGAACGAACCCTGAGGATCATCTCTGTCCTCTCTTCACACACACACACACACACACACACACACACGTGTTCTTCCTCTCTCTGACACCCTCATCCCACTTTACCCCCCCCCCCCAAGATTACCTCCAGACGGCTTGTAGTCATCCCGGCTAACCTGGGTCCCCCCAAAGAAGGAGCTGCAGCTGGGCAGGATGAGAAGCCCAAGGGAGAAGATGATGATCTGGAAGCAGAAGGAGAGAGGGTTCATTTAAGCGCTGAAGAAACCACATGGGTGTAAAAGCAGGGATAGGTAGCCTTTGGCCTTCCGGGGTGTTATTGGACTACAGTTCCCATCATGCCTCACCACTGCCCATGCTGGGAGCTGTTGCTGCTGGGAGATGGAGTGCACCTGGAGGGTAAACTGAGTGATCGTCTCCATCACATTCATTTATATCGATTACTTGCTTCCCTCGCCAAAGTGACCCAAAGAGACTCTGAAATATACTCAAAGTTGAGAGTGGATTTCATGCTCTTTATTCAGCTCATAGTGGTGAGGAGGAATGGAAGTTCCCCCAGAATGTCTGCTTTATATACATTATTTACACAATGGGCCCCACGTGATTGGCTAATTCCAGGATTCTCCTGTAGGCCAATCAGGTTGCGGATTCACTTCCACCTGGAGCTGGATTGGGTGGCTCCTGTGGACCAATCAGACTGCGGCATTCTGGATCCTATTGTTCTAGGACCAATCAGACGGCTGCATTCTGGATCCTATTGTTCTAGGACCAATCAGATGCCTGCATTCTGGATCCTATTGTTCTAGGACCAATCAGACTGCTGCATTCTGAATCCTATTCAATTCAGTACATAATAGACTCCCAGACACAATACAAACACTAAAACCAATTTACAATGAAGACCCGTCCATGCATGTCAATACAAGACAGGCCTTAGGGATCCTGTCCCATCAAAGCCACATTCAAACCAAACCACGCCTTTATAAAGACACCTTGAGCAGTCATGGCTTCCCCCAAAGGATTCTGGGAGCTGCCATTTCGTTAAGGGGGCTGAGAGCTGTTAAGCAGACACTCCATTCCCTCGCAGAGCTACAATTCTCAGAGTTCCCTGGGAAGAAAAGGGGTTGGTTCTCTCCCTTTTTAAACCACTCTAGGAATTCCCAGGGAGGGGAACATGGAAAAGGGCCTCCCACCCCTGTAGTCTCTCTCCCCCCCCAGAATTTTTGACACCCCCTCCAAGATTCATCACTCCACATCTGCACACCCAATGCAGTTGTCTTTTGAAAAATGATTTTGCCGGTGTTGAGTCTTATCGCCACTCATGACCACCCCCACTTTGCTCTTGCTCTCTCCCCCCCCCCCCAATTTACCACAAGGCAAGTGCTGGTCTGGGCTGCCTTCGTGGAGGTCTGTTTAATGAGTCCTTGTAACTTCTGAAGCTGACCCAGCAGGGACCTGTAAGAGGAAAGGCGTTTGAGTTTCCCGCGTCCAGATCTGGAGCCAGAATGTTTGCCACATGCTGTGTGTGAAATCATTGCAGAATAGATAGGTCTATTGTCTATTGCTCACCTTGCCGACAAAGGTCCATAAAGTTAAAGCTATGGTTTTCCCAGTAGTGATGTATGGAAGTGAAAGCTGGACCATAAAGAAGGCTGATCGCCAAAGAATTGATGCTTTTGAATTATGGTGCTGGAGGAGACTCTTGAGAGTCCCATGGGCTGCAAGAAGATCAAACCTCTCCATTCTGAAGGAAATCAGCCCTGAGTGCTCACTGGAAGGACAGATCCTGAAGCTGAGGCTCCAGTACAGTGGTGCCTCACAAGACGAAATTAATCCGTTCCGCAAGTCTCTTCGTCTTGCGGTTTTTTCGTCTTGCGAAGCACGGCTATTAGCGGCTTAGCGGCTTAGCGGCTATTAACGGCTTAGCAGCTTTAAGAAAAAGGAAACAAACTCGCAAGAACTCGCAAGACGTTTCGTCTTGCGAAGCAAGCCCATAGGGAAATTCGTCTTGCGGAACGACTCAAAAAACAGAAAACTCTTTCGTCTAGCGAGGCATTCGTCTTGCGGGGCACCACTGTACTTTGGCCACCTCATAAGAAGAGAAGACTCCCTGGAAAAGACCCTGATGTTGGGAAAGATGGAGGGCACAAGGAGAAGGGGACAGCAGAGGACGAGATGGTGGGACAGTGTTCTCGAAGCTACCAGCATGAGTTTGACCAAACTGCGGGAGGCAGTGGAAGACAGGAGTGCCTGGCGTGCTCTGGTCCAGGGGGTCACGAAGTGTCAGACACGACTGAACAACAACAACCTTGTCTATTGCTGCTGGGTAAATGGAACCTTCCCATCCAGGGGCAGTCTACCCCTTTTTCCCCAGCAGCGTTTTTGCTATCCTTGAACTCTGACAATGCCTCTTACTTTAAGGTTACCAGACGTCCCCGTTTCCCAGGGACAGTCCCTGGATTTACAAATCCGTCCCCTGACAAAATCCATCTATTTAGTATGAAGTTGAAAAGTGTCCCTGAATTCATTGAAAAAAATCTGGTAACCTTATCTTACTTGCCTGGAGGACAGAGCTGTGTGTGCTTGTGTGTATATCAGCTGACTAACATTCACATTTCCTTGCCTACGTTTGTCTCTGGCACCCCCAAAACTGGCATGTGGCCCCTGGAAGGTTGTGCATAAGGAAATGTGGCCCTTGGCTTGCGAAAAGGGTTCACAAACTCAGATATAAAATGCCAATTTGGTTGGATATTGTTATGATGCTTTGCGCCTTTTATAAACGGAAATAATAATAATAAATGTTTATTTATATCCCGCCCTCCCCAGCCAAAGCCGGGCTCAGAGCGGCTAACAACAGTAAAAATAGCACTATTTACATAAAATCACAGTCAGTTAATTAAAATACATTCTAAAATCAATTCAGAATCGAATTAATGGCAACCATTAGGCTAAAGTTCTGTGAAGATTGCCAGAGGAGGGAGTCAGGCTATGCCTTCGCCAAAGGCCTGGTGGAACAGCTCTGTCTTGCAGGCCTTGCGGAAAGATGTCAAGTCCCACAGGGCCCTAGTCTCATGTGACAGAGTGTTCCACCAGATTGGAGCCACAGCCGAAAAGGCCCTGGCTCTAGTTGAGGCCAGCCTAACTTCTATGTGGCCTGGGACCTTCAAGATGTTTTTATTTGAAGACCGTAAGTTTCTCTGTGGGGCATACCAGGAGAGGCGGTCCCGTAGGTACGAGGGTCCTAGGCCGTATAGGGCTTTAAAGGTTAAAACCAGCACCTTAAATCTGATCCTGTACTCCACTGGGAGTCAGTGCAGCTGGTATAGCTCCGGGTGAATGTGATCCCAGTGTGATTTACTGGTCTTCTGCCAACTGAATTTCAAGCACAGCTTTCCCAATGGACACTATCCTCTTGTCCGCTGGTAGCAAAAGGAAGGACCTTGCTTTCAGCGGGGCAGTGGCAGACTTACATGTTGTGGGTCTCTAGTTCCTGCACTTTCTTCCTCAGTTCCTGGTTCTGCACAGAGCAAGCTGCCACCCTACCGAGGAAGGAACAAGGGGGAAAGCGGTTACATTTCCTCACCTGCACATTTGTATTTTATCATCTTTTTGCAAAACACACACAACCAAACAGCCCACACACACTGGGAAACTGTGCCACGGACTGCAAAGAGAGGTGAGTTGGTGACATCACAGATGCTAGCCAATAGGCACCTTTCATGGTGGAGAAGAACTCCACCTCCCACAAGCCTCAGCAAAACATGGCCAATGGCCAGGGATAATGGAAGCTGGAGTACAGCAACCTCTGGAGAACCACAAGTCCCATTACCCCTGACCTAGACACATGTCCCAGCCTATCAGGGATCACATGCTAAATGCATTTGCAGAGATGTAAAGACGGGATGGAGAGGATGAAGGATTTGATGCCCTTCCATGTCATCCAAAATTAGCTGCCTGAGGCCATGGCCTCACTCTGTCTCAGGGTAGTGCCGGCTGTCTTTATAGGCACATGTTGTGCTAGTATATGCGTTTTTGCTAACCTGTCTGGAGAACCGCATTGCAGTCTTTAGAGAACTGTGAATTCCGGAGGAAGGCTGTGTTCCGGTTCATGCACTGTTTGTTTGTTTTTTAAAATATATTTTTATTAAAGATTTCTTGGTTTACAAAAGTATGTGCAATGTCTCTTTTGCCAAGTTACATTTTCTACAGATCACTTTCATTTGTTGAGACATTAGTGTTACATTAGGAAGAAAAGGGGGAAGAGGTGGAGGGGGAATGGTGAGAGGGGCTGGGGCTGGGTGGGGATTTTTCTATTTTACTTAGTGCATGTGTGGGGTTTTGTGTCAGCGTAGATTGTGCGGGTTCTCTTTACTATTTACTTGTACAGTGGTACCTCGGGTTACATACGCTTCAGGTTACATGCGCTTCAGGTTACAGACTCCGCTAACCCAGAAATAGTGCTTCAGGTTAAAAACTTTGCTTCAGGATAAGAACAGAAATCAGGCTCCGGCGGCACGGCAGCAGCAGGAGGCCCCATTAGCTAAAGTGGTGCTTCAGGTTAAGAACAGTTTCAGGTTAAGAACAGACCTCTGGAACAAATTAAGTACTTAACCCTAGGTACCACTGTATTCCTTTGGTGGTGAGTGAGGTTGGGGTTGGCCCAGAACAGGGGTCAGCAAACTTTTTCAGCAGGGGGCCGGTCCACTGTCCCTCAGGCCTTGTGGGGGGCCGGACTACATTTTGGAAAATAGTAATAATGAACGAATTCCTATGCCCCACAAATAACCCAGAACTACTTTCCCGCCGGAGCGGTCCCTATTTATCTACTTGCACTTTGAGGTGCTTTTGAACTGCTAGGTTGGCAGGAGCAGGGACCGAGCAACGGGAGCTCACCCCGTTGCGGGGATTTGAACCGCCGACCTTCTGATCGGCAAGTCCTAGGCTCTGTGGAAAGTACATGTGAAAAGGATCTAGGAGTCTTGGTTGACCACAAACTTGACATGAGCCAACAGTGTGACACGGCAGCTAAAAAAGCCAATGCAATTCTGGGGTGCATCAATAGGAGTATAGCATCTAGATCAAGGGAAGTAATAGTGCCACTGTATTCTGCTCTGGTCAGACCTCACCTGGAGTACTGTGTCCAGTTCTGGGCACCACAGTTCAAGAAGGACACTGACAAACTGGAACGTGTCCAGAGGAGGGCAACCAAAATGGTCAAAGGCCTGGAAACGATGCCTTATGAGGAACGGCTAAGGGAGCTGGGCATGTTTAGCCTGGAGAAGAGGAGGTTAAGGGGTGATATGATAGCCATGTTCCAATATATAAAAGGATGTCACATAGAGGAGGGAGAAAGGTTGTTTTCTGCTGCTCCAGAGAAGCGGACACGGAGCAATGGATCCAAACTACAAGAAAGAAGATTCCACCTAAACATTAGGAAGAACTTCCTGACAGTAAGAGCTGTTCGACAGTGGAATTTGCTGCCAAGGAGTGTGGTGGAGTCTCCTTCTTTGGAGGTCTTTAAGCAGAGGCTTGACAACCATATGTCAGGAGTGCTCTGATGGTGTTTCCTTCTTGGCAGGGGGTTGGACTCGATGGCCCTTGTGGTCTCTTCCAACTCTATGATTCTAACCCACAGCGCCACCCGTGACTCTTATACTATTTGATACCATTGGTCTATGCTTACTCCTGGCAGGTCTCTCCAGTGTCTGGCTATGATGCTTCTGAGAGTAAGTGGGTTATGAACTCTTTGTGTCGTGAGTGGGCATTATTGTCTTGGAAGATGTTTAGTAGGGCCAGTTCTGGGGTCGGTTCATGCATTGGTAAGTGCAAATTAGGTAAGTTCACCTTTGAATTCAAACTGGCTTGAATTTCTACCCTGTGCCTTGTGGCTGGGAGTACAGGAAGGTGAATCTGGGATGCAAAATGGACAGGGGTCCCCAAGCCACAGACCCCACTCTCACCGGCTCTCCAGCCCATCAATATATTCTTTCTTGCGACGTCGGCTGTCCTGCGCCGACTGCTTGTTCCGGATTTTCCTCCGCACCTTCTTCAGGATCCGTTCCTCCGCCTGTTGAAGAATTTGAGGGGCGAGAGAACCTTTTAGGTGTGTACAGAGCTTTGGGGCAAGCTTGAAGCTCACAGAATATACCGTATTTTTTGCTCAAGAGGACGCACTTTTCCCCTCTTAAAATCTAAGGGGAAATGTCTGTGCGTCTTATGGAGCGAATGTGTGGTCCCTGGGGCTGGGGGGGGGGGACCCGGGCTTCCTTCCCCAGCCCCACAAGCGCGGGGAGCAGCGGAAAGGCTGCGCACACCCTTCCCGCTGCTCCCCGGGGCTGGCGGTGAGGGAAGCTCAGCTTTCCCCACCGCCAGCCCCACAAGCTGCGGGGAGCAGCGGAAAGCTTCAGCGAGGCGCCTGGCCTGGAAGCCGGAGGAGGAACAGAAGGGTCTCCTTCTGTTCCTTCTCCAGCTTCGCTTGAAGGTGCGCTGCGCAGTTCTCCCTCTCTGTGCAGCGCTTCTCCTGCGCAGCGCTTCTCTTCTTCAGAAAGGCCCCTGTCCTGGCTTCTGCTTAGCCTCTTCCGGGCAGGGGGAGCCTTCATCCCGCTGCCCTGAAGAGGCTTGGCGCTGTTATCCCAGAAGCCAGATCCCTCTTGCTGTTCTGTTTTTTTCTTGTTTTCCTCCCCCCAAAACTAGGTGCGTCTTATTCTCTGGTGCGTCCTATAGAGCGAAAAATACGGTAGTTCAGAAATCCCCAAACTATTTGCTGAGGAAAATATGCTTTGGAATTATATACCCAATACGTGGAACCTAACGAAGGGACAATATGAATGGACTCTCTGCACCCATACTACGGCCAAAAAGATAGGTACTGATGAACTGGAAAAATAAAACTGCAGCTCCCTTCAACGATTGGATAGAAGGTATGTTCAAACTCACCGCACATGAACATATTGCGTATAAACATAGACCTGTCACGAACAAATTTAATGATATTTGGAATCCATTTCTATAAACACTGTACTAAGGTTGGATCTACACACAGGAAAACCTCCCCACTATAAATAAGTCTGAAATTAAATCGTTATAACAAAAGAAAAAAACACTATGGAAAATCACAAATATTTGTTTACTCTCCACCGCCATCTGGTGTTGCATTTTTATAACGCATTCAAAACGCTGTTTTTTGACTAATGTAGCTGAGTCCTAGGTTAAATGTAGGTTAACTAGAATAACAAACATGTAATAGCGATAAGTTCTGTTTTTGTTTTGTATGGGTGTTATCTCTGTTTCCCTTTTCCTTTCCCTTCCCCTTTTAACGTCTTATTTTGCACTTACAATTGTATACACATTACTTTTTATCTTTCAATAATCTATCTACATGTCCCCGAACTACACCTGAAAGTCACTGCTGGGTGAACATGAGTGGGGTGACTGGGTGAGCCAGGGTGTCGTAGCAGTTAGCATGTCTGACTTGGACCTGGGAGAGATCAGGGTTCAAATCTCCACTTGGCCATGAAGCTGGATGTGACTTTGGGCCTAGTTACTGCCCCTTGGCCTAACCTACCTCTCAGGGTTGTTGTGGAAATCTAATGAGGAGGGGGGAGAACCAGGTACAGAGCTCCTTGGAGGAAAAAGGTGGGATATAAATGCAATAAGTACAGTGGTACCTCGGGTTACATACGCTTCAGGTTAAATACGCTTCAGGTTACAGACTCCGCTAACCCAGAAATAGTGCTTCAGGTTAAGAACTTTGCTTCAGGATGAGAACAGAAATCGTGCTCTGGCGGTGCGGCGGCAGCAGGAGGCCCCATTAGCTAAAGTGGTGCTTCAGGTTAAGAACAGTTCCAGGTTAAGTACGGAACGAATTAAGTACTTAACCCGAGGAGCCAATGTAAATAGATTTTGGGGTATAGCTTTGCATGATTCCTAGTGCGCCTTTACAATCAGTTTTTGTGGTTTCACGCTTTCTGAGCATAATTCAAAGTGTTGGTGCTGACCTTTCAAGCCCTAAACGGCCTCGGCCCAGTATACCTGAAGGAGCGTCTCCACCCCCATCGTTCAGCCCGGACGCTGAGGTCCAGCACCGAGGGCCTTCTGGCGGTTCCCTCATTGCGAGAAGCAAAGCTACAGGGAACCAGGCAGAGGGCCTTCTCGGTAGTAGCGCCCGCCCTGTGGAACGCCCTCCCATGAGATGTCAAAGAGATAAACAACTACCTGACATTTAGAAGACATCTGAAGGCAGCCCTGTTCAGGGAAGTTTTTAATGTGTGACATCTCAGTGTATTTTTGGTCTTTGTGGAAGCCGCCCAGAGTGGCTGGGGAAACCCAGTCGGATGGGCGGGGTACAAATAATAAATTACTATTACTATTTAGACACTTTGGGGAGAACTTGACAGGGAGGAGGATGGGGACAAGACTTGCATTGCTTGGCTCCGCCTCTTATTGATTCTAGCCCCGCCTCCTGGTAGTCTCCATGCCTTCCACTCCCCAGTCCCAATGGGCCACTGTCAGGGCCGGATTTAGGTTTGATGAGGCCTTAAGCTACTGAAGGTAATAAGGCCCCTTATTTGTCCAGCTGTCCTTTGTCAACAGCAAATTGTTGCTGTTTTTTGTGTTGAATATATGCTACATGGCAATTTATGGACGTAATAGGTATCTAAAGCCGTTTGCACATAACAAAATATGTATTTTATCAAAGTAATTGTTGAACTGACATACAATTAAGAAGAAGTACTGTATATTAATAGTGAAATACAACTAAGAAGAAGTATATTACTAGTGAAATAATTACCAGTAGTATTTTAGGGAGCAGGCTAGCAGGCGGGGCCCATTACATCATAGGAGCCTACACAACACAAAACACTGTTGCTGTGTGTAGGTTTTATTTTATTTGTTTTTTATCTTTTATTTTGGAAATGCACATCCAGGTTTTTCCCCCCTTTGAATTTTTTTGGAGGCCCCCAAGAGAGTGGGGCCCTAAACTATAGCTTGTTTAGCTTATATGTAAATCCGGCACTGGCGACAGTGCCTGGTGGCTAAAGAAATCTTAATGTAGCATTAAAAAGAGATAAAAGCAACATGCACATTTAAAAAAAATTAAGAAATAACCCAAGGAAAGCAACCAAACTTGATGAAATCGCTGCTCATCTCGACTGGTCTCTGTTCCTTCTGGGATGGGGGAAATGTCTCTGCTGGCTTCTGTAGCGACGTACCTTGGTGAGGGGGAGGTCGGAGCACAGCAATACCCCTTCCTCGCTCAGGAGCCGCTTTTCCTCCTCCGTCAAGTAGAGGCCCTGGAGTTGCAGTGGCTCGAAAGGATCCTGCCCCACCGCAGAGGAAGAGTGCGTTAGCTGCCTTGTGGCCACGCCTTTGCAAATCACCCTCTCCCTGGGAGATACTTCCTTTGGGACCTGTTTCATTTCACAAATGGGGTCCTATTGCATCATCAGCTAGGATTCTCGTCTTCTGTCTGGATTGGCCGGAAAAGAGGGCCTCTAAGCATGTGCAAGGTACGCAAGTGGCGCTGTGGTCTAAACCACTGAACCTAGGGCTTGCCGATCGGAAAGTCGATGGTTTGAATCCCCGTGACGGGGTGAGCTCCCGTTGCTCGGTCCCTGCTCCTGCCAATCTAGCAGTTCAAAAGCACGTCAAAGTGCAAGTAGATAAATAGGTACCGCTCCGGCGGGAAGGTAAACGGCGTTTCTGTGCGCTGCTCTGATTCGCCAGAAGCGGCTTAGTCATGTTGGCCACATGACCCGGGAAAACTGTCTGCGGACAAACATCGGCTCCCTCGGTCAGTAAAGCGAGATGAGCGCCGCAATCCCAGAGTCGTTTGCGACTGGACTTAACTGTCAGGGGTCCCTTTACCTTTACCTTTTTTAAGCATGTGCAGAATGCGCCATGATGGCATTTTGGGTGTCAATATGGTAATAGTACAGAACTCATCACAGGCCTTCCGTGATTTTGGAGTCATGAATAGGGGTCAGGCTCCAGTCTACCATCCCTGCTAAACCGGTGGTGATGATTAGAGGGAGGTAGCGGACTACGCGCTAGCGCCCCCCTGTGGCAAAAGGAAGGAGCCAACCAGCCAAATATGGAAGCTGAATAAGAACTGTGACCCGCAGCGGGTCATGTAACACTCCCCGAGCCCTACAAAAGCTTCTAGTAGGCTCATGGCTCTCAACAATGCTTGTGCTGTCAAGACATCCGCTTTTGTCCCTTGATATGACATCATCTGTGTGCGACAACTGATATTTTGCAGAGTCTAGTAGTGAGTCTCCAGAGTTGCCAGCTAAGGAGCCAGGACAGATCTCTGACTCTGGTTTGATGTTGGAGATCTGAGGCTCATTAAGTCCAAGCCTGGCAGGTCAAGGCCCTCTGGACCCCACATCCCACAGCCCCAGGGCCAGTGAGGCCAGAGCCAGGACGCTTGCAGGCAGCTCCCCCTAGGCCCTGAGGAACCGCCTGCCTCCCAACCAACCTCATAGGTCCGGGTGAGAGCCCAGAAGATGTGCCAGTCTGGAGGAATATGGCGGTTCTCACAAAGGGAGAGAGGTACAGAGGCTCAAAAGGCCTCAGACCACCTCTTTTCTTTGTGAGAGCCAAGTGGCTCACTCGGAGCTGTCTGTGGTGCTGAAAGCCATGTGAGTACAGCCTAGGAGAGGTGGATGGGAGGCAGTGGCTCAAAAGGCCTCTGTCTACTTCTAGCCTTTGTGGGAGCCAAGTATGTCTATTGGAGCTGTCTGTGGTGCTGAAACACCTAACCTGCCTTGTTTCACATACTCCTCTGGAAAGCCAGGCCAGACCAGGGCTCCATCCGCACTATACATGTAAAGCTGTATCATCCCACTTTAAACAGTCATGGTTCCCCCAAAGAATATTGGGAAGTGTCGTTTGTTAAGGGGGATGAGGGTTGTTAGGAGACTCCTATTCCCCTCAGTGTGGTTTAACAATCAGGGAATTGTTGCTGTGTGGGGAGCCTCTTAACAACTCTCAGTACCCTTCACAAACTACACTTCCCAATGTTCTTTGGGGGAAAGCACAACTGTTTAAAGTGGGATGAAAAAGCTTTGCATGCATACTACAAACTAGGCCCTGGACAAGACACCCCAGAAGATCAGTTCCATTATTACTTACCTGGGGTATAGGAATGTCTTCCACGTTGGATCTGGTCACATTCTCCAAAAGCCCAAGTGACACTTCGCTCATAGCACAGGCCTCAGGGAGTATTGCCGGAGGTGTCCAGTTCTCTGGTGGGGAGGAACGAAAGAGGCATGGGGCCAGTCAGAAAGGGGACAAGTTTGGCAGACGGACCTAGTCTAAATACCTCTAATGCTTTGCCCCAAGGTAAAGGTGGGACTTGCATCCACCTGCATAACTGTCACTGTTACAAGTGCCACATAATACTCATTCCGCATTTATAAGAAAACAATCTTTCAGTGTGGCAGCACCAGCACTTTGGAACTCCCTGCCAATTGACACAAGGCCGGTGCCTTCTTTGCTGTACTCTTTTCAGTGCCTGCTAAAATTGTTCAGGTGAGCCTTTCCGGACATGTAGAACACTGACATGTCTTTTCATCTGGTTTTTAGCTTATTGTTGATTTCAATTATTTTAAATCGTTGCTTTAAATTGTTTTTCTTGAGTACTAATTTCATTGTTTTCTGATTTTGCAAACCCCTGTGAGGTTTTCCTTTTCCTTTCACAATCGAGCGGTATATAACTTTTTAATGAAATAAATAAATCAGGACCTGAGCACACCAACAACTCGCCCCACTTGAATTTCCCGGCAACTGTCGTTCAGAGCAGGTTGTCTCCGAAGAGCAGAGGTGGAACATAGCCACCACAGCTAGCAGACATTGATATAGCTTCATCCTCCTTGAGTTTCTTGAACACAGCAGTGTGGTGTAGTGGTTAGAGCGTCAGACTAGGACCCGGGAGACCGGGGTTCGAATCACGATTTGGCCTTCACACAGGGTGTGCTCTTGGGCCAGTTACCACTTCTCAGCCTAACCCATGGGTAGGCAAACTAAGGCCCGGGGGCCGGATCCAGCCCAATCACCTTCTAAATCCAGTCCACGGACGGTCTGGGAATCAGCGTGTTTTTACACGAGTAGAATGTGTGCTTTTATTTAAAATGCATCTCTGGGTTATTTGTGGGGCATAGGAATTCGTTCGTTTTTTATTTTATTTTTCAAAATATAATCCGGCCCCCCACAAGGTCTGAGGGACAGTGGACCGGCCCCCTGCTGAAAAAGTTTGCTGACCCCTGGCCTAAACTACCCCACAGGGTTGCTGTGGGCATTAAGTTTAGGGAAGCTTTTAACGTTTGATGTATCACAGTATTTTAAAATTTTTTAGAAGCTGCCCAGAGTGGCTGGGGAAGCCCAGCCAGGTGGGCGGGGTATAAATAATAAATTATTATTATTATTATTATTATTATTATTATTATTATTAAATGAGGAGGAGGAGGAGAGCCAATGAACGCCATCTTGAGTTCCTTGCGGGAAAGGGCGGGAGATGAATGCAACGCAATGCAGTAAAATAAAGAATCCTGCACACTTACCTAAGGGGTTGGAGAAGGCAGGATCAGGCCCGGTCGCCTCCTCCACCATACCCATGTCACAAATAACCTCATAGATGACGGTGGCCGATACATCCGGGGGGGCAAGCTCACTCTGCACAGGGGGGTCCGCGTGGGGATCGTCTGAGATTCCTCTGTCACTCTCTGGCGAGGCAATGGGGCTCCTCGATTCGTAGATGTCATTTGGGTTAATCAGGAATTGCAAGAGATCTTCTGTGTCGCTGTTACTCGGACGACCCTGCAGCAGGAATGCGGTTGGGTTGCTAGTACAGTGGTACCTCGGGTTAAGAACTTAATTCGTTCTGGATGTCCGTTCTTAACCTGAAACTGTTCTTAACCTGAAGCACCATTTTAGCTAATGGGGCCTCCTGCTGCTGCCGCGCTGCTGCTGCTAGATTTCTGTTCTCATCCTGAAGCAAAGTTCTTAACCCGAGGTACTATTTCTGGGTTAGGAGAGTCTGTAACCTGAAGCGTCTGTAACCTGAAGTGTATGTAACCCAAGGTACCACTGTACTTGCTTTGGAGTGCTTGTGTGTATCTGTTTCCCTTGGCGTGTCAGGAGGGATATTTACGAGAAATTTCAACCAGGGGTGGGTACCTCTATCCTCCCCCCTCTTCCCCACCACATCTGAGAAAGCTCAGTCGGTTGAGCACGAGACTCTTAATCTCAGGTTTGTGGGTTCGAGCCCCACGTTGGGCAAAGGATTCCTGTATTGCAGGGGGTTGACAAACCTTGCTGTCCCTTCCAGCATTGTCCCTTCCAATTCTATGATTCCCATCGGCCAACTCCTGACAGATGAGTGAGACCGCCCGCCTGTCTGTCACCTGACCTGTCCATCACTTGACCTGTCCGTCACAGAGGCACAGGTCTGAAACTGGCACACAAGCAGAGCCTGTTGGATCAGGCCCATCGAGTCCAGCATCCTGTTCTCACAGTGGCCAACCCAATGGGAAACCACAAATCAAGATTTGAACCCAAGATCCCTGCGGCTTCCAGCAACTGGTATTCAGAAGCACTGTGGCTGGTCGTCATCAGTAGCCCTATCTTCCATGAAGGTTAGAATTTTTCAATTTTTTAATTAATTTTTTAATTTATACTTTTCAAGTTTATACATCTCACTAATTTTTCAATTATTTTGACATTCAAAACTTGACTTCCTTTCCCCCTCTTTCTGCGGTCCCCTTCAATTGATTACATCTTCTGCATATCCAAAGTAACTTAAATTTGCTTATTTATTCATCTTCTTTAAATATATACTCTTATGAAACTGCAGGTTTATTGCAATAATCCTGCCAATGTTTTTACCTGTTTACAATTTATCTGTAACTTGGTTCTGTAACCATTTCCATTCTTTTATTTGTTTGTTTGTTTATACATAAAAATAAAAGAATGGAAATGATTTATTGAATAGTTACAGATAAATTGGTTTATTGAATAGTTACAGATAAATTGTAAACAGGTAAAAACATTGGCAGGATTCTTGTAATATTAATAATATTGTAATAATAATTATTGTATATATATATAAATAAATAGTTATATTGATTTCTTATTCTTCCGGTAAGTTTCGCCATTTCTGCATATTCCATAAGTTTTGGTATCCGTTCTTCCTCTGCTGGGACTTCTGCTTCTTCCCATTTTTGGAAAAACGGCCATGAAGGTTAGGATTATAGCACTGTAGAGCTGGCACTGACCCCCACCCCAGGGGTCCCCCAAAGGCCATCTAGTCCAACCCCTTGCAATACAGGGGTTTCCCTGTCCCCTTTACAAACAGACAAATAAAACATTTTTTATCCATGTAGTTTGCCCTGACTCACCAGCACTTCGCCGGCTTCCCAGGCCTCGTAAACCTTTTCTGACGCTCGTCCATAGGCGTGGTCTTGAAGCGGGAAGCAGGGTTTGGACATTGGTGTAGAAAAGGCACCGTTGGGCACCAATCCTTCCTGCCCCTCGAAGAGGAGGGCATCTAGGAGAGTAGGGGTGCTGGATTCCATGGCCTGAGATGAGCAGACAGCATGTTAGCGGCTGAGAAACCTGCAAAGTCCCTGGTTCAAATCATAGCTGTCAACTTACAGATTTGAAAATAAGGGACCAGCAGCCTCGAAAATAAGGGATCAGCAGCCAAAATAAGGGATTTTAGTCAACCAGCTGAAGTGCGAAGTTAAAAGGGACCAGATAATTTGGGAGAGCAGTGCCGGTTTTTAGCCCTCCATTTCCAGAGGTTGCTGCTCAAGACACCAGCTGATGAAACACTGCAATTAAATAGCTGCAAGGAGCAACCACTTTTTGCGCAAAACAAAGTCCAAGCTACAAAGATGCTGCTGCCGTTCTGTATCTTTTCTCTTATGCTCCATCTGCAGCTCTCAATTCCATCAGGTGGGGCGGGAGGAGGGGGGGGAATAGTTGCTTCCTTTGAAACCCCGGAAATTTAAGGGACATCATCAATAAGGGATAGCAGCGGGACACGGCGCTGGGATAATGGAGTTTCCCGCCAAATAAGGGACAGTTGACAGCTATGGTTCAAATCCTGACCTCCTTTGGTAGCCTTAGGCAAGCTACCCTCTCTAGGCCTCAGAGTTTCCATCTGCAATATGGAGAGATTGGGTGATAATGCCCTACCTTTTTTGGGGGTAGAGATTGTGTATAAAAACAGAGAGAACAGTTATAGCAACAGATGAAAATTATCATTATTATTATTCTACATGACTGCACTGCCCTTCATCCGAAGGTCACTGGTTGGTTAACAATGTAAAAAGGCAAAAATGCATTCCACGAAAACAACCACCTCCCCACAGTTTAAAAGGCAAGCAAAACTATGAAACAGGCATGTAGAATGAGTGCAGTTGCACACGCGTTAAAACAAAAAAGGCAAGTAAAAAATAATAGCATTTTCTTATTATTAAGTATACAGTGGTACCTCGGGTTAAGAACTTAATTCGTTCTGGAGGTTGGTTCTTAACCTGAAACTGTTCTTAACCTGAGGCACCACTTTAGCTAATGGGGCCTCCTGCTGCCGCCGCTGCACAATTTCTGTTCTCATCCTGAAGCAAAGTTCTTAACCTGAGGTAATACTTCTGGGTTAGCGGAGTCTGTAACCTGAAGCGTCTGTAACCCGAGGTACCACTGTAGTACCAAATTTGCCAGGCTTGTGATGAGGACTGGCCTGAACGTTGTGGTTCCACTGTATATGTCATAAAGGAAAGCTAACTCATATAAAAAGGGTCTGGAGGTTCTATTCGAAATCTCAAATTACGCTTAATTTCCCCCGTTATAGCTCTATTTCAGAGTGAGTGGCCTACCTTGCAAGGTTGCTAGTAAGGGTTACCGATTGATTTCTTTGAGCACCCTAAGGCCGAAACCCTATGTAAGAGATGTAAAGTTGCAATCTTATACCCATTTTCCTGGAAGCGAGTTCCATAGTGTTGCCATACGACCTCTTTTTCCAGGACATGTGTTCTTTTTCATGGGCAAAATGTAAAATGAGAGTCGTCAGAGCGATCCAAGCAGAAGTCGGCAAATGTGCCCTCTCTTTTTTGCCCTTCAAAATATGGCAACCCTAGACTTCCTCTGAAGGAAATGGCACACAGCTTGGGAGAGATTCTGGACCCATCGCTCCACACCCTCAAACGCTCTGAAGCCAAAATCCAGTACATCATCATCTTCCTGGATGTCATCTTCCTTGTTATCGCAAGAACACGGTGGCCATTTTGGTTGCCAAGATTTCGCACCGCGGTTCTCCCCCCGCCAAAAAAAGTATTTGGGGGAGCACAGCACCCAAAAACATATGTTTTGGGGTGAGATTGCAGCCCTGATTTTGGGGGTGGGTGGGAATTGTGCCTCAAAATCGCACGAGGACATGGCAACCAAAATGACCACTGTTCTCTGGGTTAAAAAACAATATTTCCTGGCCTGGTTTTTCCGGGACACTTGGGAGGTAATTTCACTGTTGCTTAAGGCTCAAGTGGCCTTGGTGGCATGAAGTGTTTTCCATCAGGGACAGCCCAACTTAGGGCTGCCATAAGTCCAAAATTTTCTGGATACACATGAATACTGCAGCCAGAAGCAGTGTCCAGGAAAAACCCATACAGTGGTACCTCGGGTTAAGAACTTAATTCATTCTGGAGGTCTGTTCTTAACCTGAAACTGTTCTTAACCTGAAGCACCACTTTAGCTAATGGGGCCTCCTGCTGCTGCCGTGCCGATTTCTGTTCTCATCCTGAAGCAAAGTTCTTAACCCGAGGTAATATTTCTGGGTTAGCGGAGTCTGTAACCTGAAGCGTATGTAACCTGAAGTGTATGTAACCCGAGGTACCACTGTTATTGGCACAGTGTTGTCATTGCCGATTTACAACTTTTGTGTGCGGATTTACACTTTTTGAAATATGGCAACCCTAGACTTCTGAAATTCTCCTCTCCCCCCCCAAAAAATGATATAACAAACGTAACATAAATGAAAACTAATTTAGACCGACTAAGAACTGTAAATAAGATGAAGCAAAACACCAAGCATGAGAGAGACGAAGCATTACTATACAGAGTTGTATAATAAGTAAAAATTAAAAAAACAGTAGGTGAAGGAGGCAGGGGCAATTCATCCTAGTTTTCTCCCCATTCTCCTGCTGGGAACACTGAGGCTAAGGGGGAGGAAGCTCACAACCAGAGCCACCCTCTGAACTGGTTGTTTCAGTCAGAGAGCAGGGAGGCACTGAGGTCCGTGGGACAGTGTCTGCCCTGACGGACCAGCTTGCATAGCCATGAGCTATAAGCCTACAAAAAGTTCGCTTAACCACTGGTTTGTTCGCCTTGAAAAGCATGACTGCCCGGTGGATTTTTCTGCAGTGGATTAGCCTGTGCTGAAATTTAAGCTGCGTTATCAGTTGATCTCCTGCATGGAGTCCTTTCCACCCCCCATCTCTTACCTTGCTCAAATATTACCTGCCCGCTTCAAATATCTCTCTGTGTCCCCCGCTGCCTGTAAGCTTGCAGCCAGTCGGCCTCAAGCAAGGTAGCATTTTCTTCCGCCTTCTTCTTCTTCTTCCGTACAGGATCCTGGCATCCTGGAACAGCCTTGCCAAGGCCCACCCCCAGGCCTTAAACCAATTAAAAGGGGTCAGGTGTACACACTCACCTGTTCAGGCAGAGCTGAATTGGAGCAGGAGAACTCTTCACCGTGCGGCCCTGCGTGTGCGCCGTTTAAAAGAACAGAAAACACAGCAAAATCCTAATCACATTTATTCAGGTTGTGCTCATTTAAAGCACTCCTCGCAACAATACAGTGGTACCTCTGGTTACATACGCTTCAGGTTACAGACTCTGCTAACCCAGAAATAGTACCTTGGGTTAAGAACTTTGCTTCAGGATGAGAACAGAAATCGTGCAGCAGCGGCAGCAGGAGGCCCCATTAGCTAAAGTGGTGCTTCAGGTTAAGAACAGTTTCAGGTTAAGAACGGACCTCCAGAACGAATTAAGTTCTTAACCCGAGGTACCACTGTACTGGGAACTGTAGCATGCTAAGGGTGCTGGGAATTGCAGTTCTGTGAGGGATTAACGACAGAAGCCGTGTGCTTGAAATGGAATTAAAGGGATAAATCCCCTTGAATTTGGTAGTGTTTGCTTCTGAGTAAATAAGGTTGCCAGAAATCTGGGGCTGGAGCCTACTCATTTCTATTCAGGGCAGACCTCTTGAAATCAATGGACCTAAGTTAGGTTTGCCAGGAGACGCATAATATCCCTTTCTGCACTGCTAAGAAATCAATATTTTGGTGTGGCAGCACCTGCACTTTGAAACTCCCTGCATGTTGTTATTTATTCATTTACCGCCCTTTATCCGTAAATCACAGGATCACAACATGAAATCGCAATACAAAAAACAGGAAATGCGTAACAAAAATAAGAACAAAGCTGAACAAATAATCCCAGCTCCCACAACACATTGAAAAGCGCATAAGATGTCAATCAGCCAAAGGCCTGGTTGAAGATAAACATTTTTTGCCTGGCACCTAGAAGTGTATTAGGAAGGTGCCAGGCAAACCTTCTTGGGGAGAGCATTCGGCAAACGTGGAGCCACTGCAGAAAAGGCCCCGATATCATGTTGCCACCCTATGGTCCTCTCGTGGAGGAAGCACATGAAGAAGGGCCTCAGAGGGTGATCTCAGGATCCGGGTCAGTTCACATGGAGAGAGTTGGTCCTTGAGGTATTGTGGTCCTGGGCCCTTTATAGGTCAAAAGCAGCGCTTTGAACTGAGCCCGGAAACTAATTGGCAGCCAGTGTAGTCAATAGGTAGGCACTTTCTTCACTGTGTGCTTTTTGGTGCCTGCTAAAAACAATTTTGTTTAGACAAGCCTACCCAGATGTGTTAAAAGGTCTGCCTTGGATTCGTATCGAGATCATTCTGTCATTTTTGAGATTGCATCCCAGTACAGCTTTCGCCACTCTTTTGTTGACTATGGGGGCCACTTCATTTCTTTTACGGGATGTGGTGCTGGAGGAGACTCTTGAGAGTCCCATGGACTGCAAGAAGATCAAACCTATCCATTCTGAAGGAAATCAGCCCTGAGTGCTCACTGGAAGGACAGATCCTGAAGCTGAGGCTCCAAGACTTTGGCCACCTCCTGAGAAGAGAAGACTCCCTGGAAAAGACCCTGATGTTGGGAAAGATGGAGGGCACAAGGAGAAGGGAATGACAGAGGATGAGATGGTTGGACAGTGTTCTCCAAGCTACCAGCATGAGTTTGACCAAACTGCGGGAGGCAGTAGAAGACAGGAGTGCCTGGCGTGCTCTGGTCCAGGGGGTCACGAAGAGTCGGACACGACTAAACAACTAAACAACCACAACAACCCAGATGTGTTAAAAGAAAATGGGAGAAGGGAGAAAATGATATCAAACAGGATTAAGCTGCTTCCCCTGTTCTTGTCATGCGTGTGATAGAACTCAAAATGAAGCAGTAAACAGCTGGATTGCCATGATTTCAGTAAACGGGGAAGAAAATGAGCACATAGACAACACATTGTAGTCAGTTGTAATTGCAAATATCCCAAGCTTGGGCAGATGGCTGTCGAGAGCGTTTCAGGGGGTCTACACCTGGTAGATGAAGGGAACGCAGTGGATGTAGCCTACCTTGATTTCAGCAAGGCATTTGACAAGGTGCCTCATGATATTCTTGTAAAGAAGCTGGTAAAATGTGGTCTTGACTATGCTACCACTCAGTGGATTTGTAACTGGCTGACTGACTGAACCCAAAGGGTGCTCATCAATGGTTCCTCTTCATCCTGGAGAAGAGTGACTAGTGGGGTGCCACAGGGTTCTGTCTTGGGCCCGGTCTTATTCAACATCTTTATCAACGACTTGGATGATGGACTCAAGGGCATCCTGATCAAATTTGCAGATGACACCAAATTGGGAGGGGTGGCTAACACCCCAGAGGACAGGATCACACTTCAAAACGACCTTGACAGATTAGAGAACTGGGCCAAAACAAACAAGATGAATTTTAACAGGCAGAAATGTAAAGTATTGCACTTGGGCAAAAAAAATGAGAGGCACAAATACAAGATGGGTGACACCTGGCTTGAGAGCAGTACATGTGAAAAGGATCTAGGAGTCTTGGTTGACCACAAACTTGACATGAGCCAACAGTGTGACGCGGCAGCTAAAAAGCCAATGCAATTCTGGGCTGCATCAATAGGAGTATAGCATCTAGATCAAGGGAAGTAATAGTGCCACTGTATTCTGCTCTGGTCAGACCTCACCTGGAGTACTGTGTCCAGTTCTGGGCACCACAGTTCAAGAAGGACATTGACAAACTGGAACGTGTCCAGAGGAGGGCAACCAAAATGGTCAAAGGCCTGGAAACGATGCCTTATGAGGAACGGCTAAGAGAGCTGGGCATGTTTAGCCTGGAGAAGAGGAGGTTAAGAGGTGATATGATAGCCATGTTCAAATATATAAAAGGATGTCACATAGAGGAGGGAGAAAGGTTGTTATCTGCTGCTCCAGAGAAGCGGACACGGAGCAATGGATCCAAACTACAAGAAAGAAGATTCCACCTAAACATTAGGAAGAACTTCCTGACAGTAAGAGCTGTTCGACAGTGGAATTTGCTGCCAAGGAGTGTGGTGGAGTCTCCTTCTTTGGAGGTCTTTAAGCAGAGGCTTGACAACCATATGTCAGGAGTGCTCTGATGGTGTTTCCTGCTTGGCAGGGGGTTGGACTCGATGGCCCTTGTGGTCTCTTCCAACTCTATGATTCTATGATTCTACTCTTGAGTGCGGTTTAACAGTCAATTCCTCTTCCCAGGGGTTCTGTGAACTGTAGCTCTTATTGAGGAAGAGGGGGCTTCCTAACAACTCTCATCTTAACAAACTTCAGTTCCCATTATTCTCTGGAGAAAGTCATGGCTGTTTAAGGTGGCACGGTGCTGGTTTAAATGCATAGTGTAGATGGGGCCTTGGTTGGAAAGGTACCACTCCTACTTTATGCCAGCTTTTGCTCTCCAGGGGCCCCAGGTTGACGAAGCCTGTTTTATTTGTCTTACAACAAAAAAGATAAAACCTGCTCAACCTCACACTACCAAATCAATCACATCTGCCCAATTATTTTATCTAAAGTGCAAAGCCCCTTAAAGTGGAAATATAAAATATATACCTCAATTATTGTCTACACTGACTGTCAGCCTTCCCTTAAAAAGAAATTGTAAGATTCTAGTCCTTATGGGACTGAGCAAATAGGATAAGAAACTGCCTTAGTGTGACAATTGGTCTATATGGCTAGTGTATTGCCATTACACACACACACACAGTATATACAGTTTCTACGTGTGTGTCTCTAATGCTAGTCCTGCGCTGAGTAGACCCATTCAGCCTAAGTCAGTCATGTACATTAGCTTCAATGGGTTTACTCTGAGGAGGAGGAGGAGCACTGGATCTAACTATCTATATCTATATCTATATCTATATCTATATCTATATACAGTATATTACTTTATGTGAGTGTACAAAACAAAACAAAACAAAACAAAACAAAACAAAACAAAACCAAGCCTTGTTGCAGAGGCCCGGGAGAGGGAGAAATTGAAAACCAACGCTTGCCTCCTTCTCATTGGCTCAAATCATACGGCTCTGCCCGCCTTCCACAAGCTCCCGTTGGTTGAGATGGGTGCTACAGGACCTCTTCTCCCCCGCCCACTTTCGAACGCTCAGACATCGGAGAAGCGTCACCGGGGCTCCCATTGGCCGACCGGGCGCCTTTTCCTCTTCTGCGCCCCGCCTTTTCGAATGTTCCTGTGACACGGCCGGCTGGCCCGACGTTCCCATTGGCGGTGGGGGACTTCTCTCGTTCGCATCGCCCCGCCTTTTGGAACGGCCCGACTCCCACGGAGCTTGTGTTGAGTTGGGAGGCGACGGGGCCGGAGGAGGTGAGTTCGGCGTCGCGGAGCAAGGCCGAGAGGGCAGGAGCGGGGCTTCGGGGGCTATAGACCGGTCTCTGCCCCTTGGCCTCCTATTTTTTGGGGGTGGTAGATGATGGGGGTCGTGTAAGATTTATGGATCGCCCCATCTTACATCGGCCCATTTAGCCTAGTATTGTCTTCACTGACCGGCAGCGGCTCTCCAGGGTTTCAGGGAGGGAGTGATTTTAAGGGTTGGACCTGGGATTTTACGCCAAGCATACAGAACTATGCCCTCCCTTAAAAATAATTGTAAGATTCCAGTCCTCATGGGACCAAATAGGAGTGTATGAAGCAGCCTTAATATGGCCATTGGTCTATCTAGCTCAGTATTGCCCACACGGACTGGCAGCAGTTCTCCAGGGTTTTAGGCAGGGAGCCTTTCCTAGCTGTACCAGGATTGGACCTGAGACCTTCTGTGTACAAAGTACCCTTGAGCTACAGGCCTTTCTCTTTCAAATATGTACTTTGAAGTAAAGCCTGTTTAATTCAATGGGGCTTACTCCCAGGTAAGTGTGTATACACACCAAATTTTAGTCTAAAATTCAATTAATGCTTATTTATAAAGCTTGTACTGTATTCGGTGTTAGCCCTGCTCTGAGCAGACCCCTTGATATTCCTAGACATGACATATGTTTGGTCCATTAATGGCTGTACTCTGGGCCTCACACACCCCATACCTTAAAGCCCATCTCTCCCTAAGTACCTTGTGAACTGTAGTTCAGGGTACTGGGTGCTAGGAATTGCAGCTCTGTAAGGGGTAAACTACTATTCCCAGGATCATTTTATTCTGGATTGGTTTTACAGTGGTACCTCGGGTTACATACGCTTCAGGTTACAGACTCCGCTAACCCAGAAATAATACCTCGGGTTAAAAACTTTGCTTCAGGACGAGAAGAGAAATCATGCTCCGGCGGCACGGCAGCAGCAGGAGGCCCCATTAGCTAAAGTGGTGCTTCAGGTTAAGAATAGTTTCAGGTTAAGAACGGACCTCCAGAACGAATTAAGTACTCAACCCGAGGTACCACTGTATTTGATGTTTTAATGTGTTGAAAATGGCTTTGAGATTTTTTTTCTTTAAAATATAAACGGCATCGAAATGAAATGAAAAATAATAATAACCTCATGTAAAAAAAAAAAGCGCCGAGACATTCCGTTGTGGCAACCATAATCTGGGTTTAAGGTGCCATTTGGCGATTAATTTATATATCTTGAGTTTCTAACACTTGGCGCCCAATCTTGGCCACAAAGCATACTGAGATCTTCAGGCTACCTTGCATCTAGCTTTATCTGACTGAGATTACTAATTTCAATCTGTTAAATTCAGGATTTAGGTCGCACTCATACTGCACATTTAAAGCACTTTGATACTGCTTTAAGCTGTCATGGCTTTTCCCAAGAAATCTTGGGAACTGTAGTTTGCTAAAGGTGATGCGAGTTATTAGGACACACCCCCTTCTCCCTTCACAGAGCTACAATTCCCAGAGTTCTCTGGGAAGAGGGGTTGATTGTGAAACCTCTCTGGGAATTGTAACTCTGGGAATGGAATAGAGGTCTCCTAACAACTCTTTGCACCCTTAACAAACTACATCTCCCAGGATTCTTTAGGGGCAACCCTGACTTAAGGGGGCTTAGAGGAGACCCCCCCCGAGCTACAATTCTCAATTTATTTCTCTTTTGCATTTATATCCCACTTTCTCCCCACCCCGCAGGAGTTCAAGGTGGCGTCCACCTCGTCCTTTACTACCCACAACAGCCCTGTGAGGTGGGTTTGGCTGAGAGGCAGTGACTGGCCCTAGTCTGATGCTGTAACCCAGGGGTCGGCAAAGCTTTTGTGGCTTCGGCCGGTTCATGGTCCTGCAAACGCTGCGGTGGGCCGGAGTGCGCACACATGCGCAAATGCTATTTCCGGCGCTCCTTCTGGCCTGGAGGAGGTGTGCGCGGCTTAACATTGGCTGCAGAGCTTCCTGCAGCCAGTGGGAAGACGGCCAGCATCGCGGAAGGCGGTGCCCGCTCTGCTCTGGTTTAGCGTGGCGCGCGGGAGCCGACTGAGCGGGCAGCGGGGGTCCATGGGCCGGTTAATCGACCCCCATGGGCCGCTTGTGGCCCATGGGCCTTAGGTTGCCAACCCCTGCTCTAACCACTACACCACAATGGCTTTTGCTGAAGAAGGATCGATTGTTAAACCACTCTGGGAATTAATGCTGTGCACCTCTGGCCCACATCTGGCAGAATCGGGCCAAGCATCATGCATGCTGGCATGTTGGAAAGGATCTCGGTCCTGTATACAGTGGTACCTTGGGTTACATACGCTTCAGGTTACATACACTTCAGGTTACAGACTGCTAACCCAGAAATAGAACTTCAGGATGAGAACAGAAATTGTGCTCCGGCGGTAGCAGGAGGCCCCATTAGCTAAAGTGGTGCTTCAGGTTAAGTACAGTTTCAGGTTAAGAACGGGCCTCTGGAACGAATTAAGTACTTAACCCGAGGTACCACTGTACCTGAAGGAGCGTCTCCACCCCCATCGTTCTGCCTGGACACTGAGGTCCAGCTCTGAGGGCCTTCTGGTGGTTCCCTCACTGCGAGAAGCCAAGGTACAGGGAACCGGGCAGAGGGCCTTCTCATTAGTGGCGCCTACCCTGTGGAACACCCTCCCTTCAGATGTGAAGGAAATAAGCAGCTATCCTATCTTTAAAAGACATCTGAAGGCAGCCCTGTTCAGGGAAGTTTTTAATATTTAACGCTGTACTGTTTTTAACACTTGATTGGGAGCCACCAAGAGTCGCTGGGGAAACTCAGCCAGATGGGCGGGGTATAAATAATAATAACAGTCCATAAATGCTAAATACAGTGCAGGGTTATCAAGACAACCGCGGCCGAGAGAGGAACACAATATACTTGCACACCGGTTGTGCCTTTTAAGGGTGTTGTGAAATCCATGAAGAATCGGAAGTAGTTCAAAAATAAATAATGGCAGGAAACGTTGAATCTGAATTCCTCTTTAAGGACAGGGCAATCTGTGGCCCTCTAAACATTGTTGGACTGCAAATCCCGTCGTTCCTGAGCATGGACCATGCAGACTGGAGCTGATGGAAGTTGGAGGCAGCGGTGGTGTAGTGGTTAGTGTGTCAGGCCAGGGTTCAAATCCCGACTCAAAGTAAATAAATATGGCCTCCTTTTGATGGCATAATATTTTATATCATCTTAGTTTTGGAGTCTGCCATTAAAATTGAGACACTGGATTCATCCAAGTCGCCCAAAGAGGAGAGATTTACCCCAATCGCAGAATTCCTATTTGCTTGGAAATTTTGTTTGGCAAAATGAATGTCATACAGTCTTGGACAAAGTATGAGCCCTGGGTGGCCTGAGGTGGAAAGATCCTGGGGCGAATAACAGACTTCTCACCTGGGATGAATTGAAAACTGCTTCCATGTGACCAAACCAGGAAACACTGTTATTTTTTAAATTCTTCTCCGCTCCTCTGTCTCAGATTTAGACCACCAGTGACTTTGTGCTGCTGTAGGCAGACTAAGGCTTTTCTTGTGGACTAGGAACTTTTGTGGGCCTCTTTGTAAAGCATACATGCGAAGATGATTTCTTGCTCCTGCTCCCACTATTGCCTGGCAAAAATTGGATAAGCGTGTTCAACTAGGACTGCTAAGACCTGGGTTCAAGACGTTACTTGCTCAGCCAACATTATGGTCAGGGATGGTGGGAAGTTGTGGTCCAAAACATCTGGATTGTTGATAAAGTTGGCTTGGGCAGAATTACTGTAACTTTCCTCCTTCCTCTTTAGAGGACTGTGGTCTATGCAGCCAGGTGGCTGATAAGAGACAAGGCAAAAGTGAATCTGGCAATTTCAGTATTTGTTTTTCCAATCTTAAATCCACACCTCTACATATCCATTTCAGTTTGGGAGATTATTTTTAAGTCCTTATATAAACTCATCAACATTTTAGTTTGAATTATTACTATTTTTGTATGCGATTTTTGCCTGATAATGCACACTTTGCAAGTCATTTCCCTTGCTATAATGCTTGTTTGGAATATTGTATTTTTCCTAGTGAATGCACTTATTTTTATTTACTTAACAGGAGTTTGTTTATTTATGCTATGTTGAAAATTTATATCCCGCTTTATCGCAATTCCCTCTGAATGGGGTACATCAAGTTCAGCAAAGACAATAATGAGCAAGCCTGTTTGAAAACTAACCATAAAAGTCAGAAATGGTTTAAAATATCTCCCGGAACAAAAAGTTAAGCACCAGAAGTATAACAATTCGATGTGGTGGTTAGGGTGGTGGGCCTAACCTGGGAGAAACCTGGGTTCGAATCTCCACTCAGATCAGGTAGAGATATAAGGAACTAGGCAGGTCCGTGAGGAACCCTGAACCCAAATTGTTAAGGGCATTGCAAATTAATGCAAATAATTTACCGTATTTTTCGCTCCATAAGACGCACTTTTTTCCTCCTAAAAAGTAAGGGGAAATGTCCACCCCCATCGTTCTACCCGGACACTGAGGTCCAGTGCTGAGGGCCTTCTGGCGGTTCCCTCGCTGCGAGAAGCCAAGTTACAGGGAACCAGGCAGAGGGCCTTCTCGGTAGTGGCACCCGCCCTGTGGAACGCCCTCCCACCAGATGCGAAAGAGAAAAACAACTACCAGACTTTTAGAAGACATCTGAAGGCAGCCCTGTTTAGGGAAGCTTTTAATGTCTGATGTATTACTGTATTTCAGTATTTTGTGGGAAGCCACCCAGAGTGGCTGGGGAAGCCCAGCCAGATGGGTGGGGTATAAATAATAAATATTAATTATTATTATTAAGCGAATGCACTGGATGGCAGCGGGATCCCTTTTGAACCGGCCAGAGTCCTGGCACTGTGCAGCAGGAGTCAGCAAACTATTTCAGCAGGGGGCCGGTCCACTGTCCGTCAGACCTTGTTGGGGGCCGGACTATATTTTGAAATAAATAAATAAATGAACCAATTCCTATGCCCCACAAATAACCCAGAGATGCATTTTAAATAAAAGGACACATTCTACTCATGTAAAAACACGCTGATTCCTGGACCGTCCGTGGGCCGGATTTAGAAGGCGATTGGGCCGGATCCGGCCCCCGGGCCTCAGTTTGCCTACCCATGCTGTGCAGTTTTTGCAGCAGTAGCAGTCAATGCATATCTGAGTCCGAAAGCTGCTCCTTCCCCCTCTGTTTGGGCAGGAGAAACATTACCGGAATCTGGCGGCCTCATGACTCACTCACATCAACAGAGGCCAGGAAGTTCCCAGAATACGGTTTAGGATCTGCTGATCCGTGATCTGCCCTTTCTAGTGTGAGCTCCAACAAGGAGAGGCCGGAGAAAGGTCTCTCTCCCTCCTTCCCCTGTTGTTTGGGTTCTTAGTTTCTAGGTCCCCCCCCCCCACTTGCGGACAGGAGGAGGGGAATCCATTTCCTTTCCTGGAATGCCTGTTGATGGTGGGAGAAGGCTAATTTTAAAAGCATGGTTTATTTTTTTACAGAGATCAACTCTAGAGCGGGGGGTCATCATTGCAGCTTGACTTGTTTTCTTTTTTTCCATTTGAATTCCAGTAACAGCTAAGGAGTTACAGAAAAGAAAACGAAGTAAAAAATTGTTTTGTTTTAAGTGGTCACAACTGCTAATAAGGAAGTGTAGGATACAGCTTAGAGCAGGGGTAGGCAACCTAAGGTCCGTGGGCTGGATGCGGCCCAATCCCCTTCTCAAGCTGGCCCGTGGACAGTCCAGGAATCAGTGTGTTTTTATATGAGTAGAATGTGTCCTTTTATTTAAAATGCATCTCTGGGTTATTTGTAGGGCATAGGAATCCCCCCCCCCCAAAGGCCGGCCCACCACATGGTCTGAGGGACGGTGGATCGGCCCCCTGCTGAAAAAGGTTGCTGACCCCTGGTTTAGAGATTTACAGAGTTGACCAGGGTTCAAATTCCCCCAAGTTGGCCATGTGGTTTGCTTGGGCCAGTCTCCTCCTCTCAGCCCAGCCTACCTCACAGGGCTGTTGTGGGGGTTAAATGAGGAGCTGGGAGAACCATGTCGGCTACCTTGAGCTCCTCAGAGAAAAAGAGATAAATGCAATAAGGGAATAAATTTCAACAGGACTTCGTTGAACGTATCTCCATCGTCTTGTGCTGGTTAACAATCTCAACACAATTCCTCTCGGGGGCTGTTTTGGTGTAGTGTAGGGGTGACTTGTTAATATTTACAGTATTAAGAATTTGATTTGGCAACCGCCCTTCACCCTTAGGTTCCAGGGTGGTTCAGCGCGGTTTAAGATACAAACGCTGACAACAGTTTAATCTCAATTGCAAGGATAGGCTGTGCCTTAACGATAGAAACCTCAAGTGTCAAGAGGCCATGAAAAAGAGATGCATGTCTTATGCCCCATGAGTTTTTCATGACCACACCCCCTCCCAAAATGGTCTATTTATTTATTATTTTCTTTATTATTTAAAAATTTCTGTATAAAATTATACACACATACACATACATAAACATGTGTGTGTGTGTGTGTATAGATAGATAGATAGATAGATAGATAGATAGATAGATATACAGTGGTACCTTGGGTTACATACGCTTCAGGTTACAAACGCTTCAGGTTACAGACTCCGCTAACCCAGAAATAGTGCTTCAGGTTAAGAACTTTGCTTCAGGATGAGAACAGAAATCGTGTGGCAGCAGCGGGAGGCCCTATTAGCTAAAGTGGTACTTCAGGTTAAGAACAGTTTCAGGTTAAGAACGGACCTCCGGAACGAATTAAGTACTTAACCTGAGGTACCACTGTATAGATATATAAAATTATTTGTATAATTGACTGCCTTGCAACAATGCCATGAGGTCAAATGATTTTTGTGCCCCTCTAAAATCCTCTCCACTTTTTTCCTTCTTTAAAAAAATGTCCCGTTGCCTGAACCCCTGGAGAGCTGCTGCCTGTCCGTGTAGACAGTACTGAGCTAGATAGAACCATGGCCTGACTTGGTGCAAGGCTGCTTTCCTCTGTGCCTGCGATGCTCCTGGAGTGGGGAGGAAATCAAACTTTGGTTGACACACCACACAGCTCCTATTTTTAGGACCCACCTTGTTTCTGTGTCGTACCTTGTTTTAAACCAGTGGTGGGATTACCAGGGCGTGTGTGTGTGTGTGTGCGTGCTAAGAGGCAAGGGGGACGCATGGGGGGGGGCAGCTAGAGATGCCAAGGATATCAAACCTCGAAAAGCTGCCATCACTGGATCATCAGTTTTGTTGAATAAACAAAATAGTTGTAACCGGATTTTGAGTAATTGTGCAATTAATAGTTCCTGTTTCCAGTTTTGTTGTGCTACTATCTTCCTTAGTGCGTTGTGGAAACCGCTATTCTGAATAATGCTTTTTGTGCGTTTGTGAGTTTGTGGAACCAAGGGGAGCAGTGAACCCAAAAGTTTGAGTGTCTCTGTTTTGAACTGTTTTCACTTTGCGTTTTAACTGTTGCGACCCACCCTGGCCCCTTTGGGTGAAGGGTGGATAATTAATCATAATAATATTATTAAATGGAACTCCTATTTGGCTTTTTTTCTGGCCCACGTAGGACCAGCCTTGGTGAAGATTTGACGTTTTCATCCCCCAAACGTTTTTGATTTATGTTTCTACTGAAATGAGGCTGCATTTTAATGTAGAGGAATCCTATTCGGAATAAGGGGATTTCCCTTAAAAAAAGGAAACGTTGACAGCTATGCTTCTAATACAACAAACAAACAATACAAGCAACACGCAGACCAGTATACTAGGTAGCACTGTAATTTTTAGTGCATAATATACATGATTTAGTGAAGGGACAGAATACCCAAATCCTGTCTGTGAAATCACCCCAGGCTTCAATAATCAACCAGGCCTCAAAAACTGTCCAAAACTCGTTTTGTCTTCTAAAAATCCAAAACAGCTTTTCTCTACTCTTCTCTGCTTTTCTCACAAGATGCTGTGGCAAAAGGCAAAATGTTACTTTTTTTTTTTTTTAAATGATATTTATTAGAGTTTCCAATAAAAAAGACACATCAGTAAAAAAGAATTTAAAAGTAAAAAGAAAAATACACAATACAAAAATAGACAATACAAAATACAAAAAAAAGACAAAAGAAAAAAAACAGTTAAAAACAATACCATCTTTTCATCACCATTTTTGAATTTACTTATTTTCTGGACCTCCTCATACCTCCCTCTTTTGTATTCCAGTTCAATTTGTTTGTCCAGCAATTTCTTTCCCTCTTTTTTAATCCCAATTCTTAATCTTAATATGGTATAACATTAAATTCTTATCTATTAATAGCCAGTTTTCCGTTCTTTTAACCTTTTTATGCCTAATCCTTAATCTTGGTCTGTATATAACTTTAACGCCTGTGCAGCTAGAAACCACTTAATTTCAATCAATCATCACTCTAACATTCTTTAATTTTGCAATGTTTCTGTAGGTAATCTTTAAATTTCTTCCAATCTTCTTCCACCTGGTCTCCTTCTCCCTGGTCACGGATTCTACCAGTCATTTCCGCCAATTCTACCAGTCATTTCCGCAAAATGTTACTTTTGAAGGCTAATGAATAGGCTCTGTTCATAGCAGGCCTGGGAAATGAATCTTACCTCATTCGGTTGCAACATCTTGGACATGCTGAACCCCACGGCTCCTCGACCCACCCCCTCGGCTTCTCATTCCCCCCTTTCCTGCCAAGAGTCCAATAGTCCCAAGACAGCTTTCTGTTCATGCTCAGAGGAACTCATGGGGCAGGACTCTGGAAGGAGGAGAAAGGAGGAGGGAACTGGAAAGGGGTATATATGCTTGTGCACATGATTGTGAACTTCGTGCATGCTTTTTGTGACTTATCACACTTGCTCCTTCTACCAGTTCATGGATGGTAGAAATAAAAGCCTTTTCTCCGAAACTATTCCTTGAGTGTCTGTTGACTCCCACTTCCCTTTCCCGGGCGCAATATTTTTCCCACCTGAGGGCAAAGCCTCATAAGGCTACATTAGTAACAAAAACAAATTGTGTGCACTTGTAAATTTTCTAATACATTTGAAATCAATTGAACACACGTCTGTCAATCAAAAGAACATTTGTTGAGAATAGCAATCCCTTTCTGTTTAAATTCAGTATCGTTGGTAAACAAAGTAGGTGCCTTTTGCAGTCTCAAACCCCTGGGTATACGGTGTTAAGCTTGCAACACGGGTTTGTTTTTCTAATACAACAACAGTAATGGCTTTGAAAATGAGCGTTTGGGTTCCCTGCTGGTGCCCCTTGAAAATGCTTCCCCCCTGCCAGTGCCTTCGCTCCCTGTTCACTTTGGTTCCTAGTGCCCCTTCACTCTCTTTTCTTCCTCCTTGCAGGACGAACAACTTCTGGACCCTAATCCCTCGGGGTGCCCCAAAACCGACAGGGAATGACGAGGATGGTGGCAGTTTGAGGGGAATCCTCCGCTGAGTTGCACGGCGGTTAAGCACAAGGTTACGGGGCTTTGTGGGCTCAGCCCAGAGTTGGCCAAGAAACCCTGTACCGGAGCGATGGCTGCCGAGTTGAGGCACGAGACGCAGCTGGAAGAGATGGTGTGGGAGCCTTATGCCCACGTGGTGGCCTTCCGCTCTGCCACGGGTTTGGAGGTGAAGCTGGGCTCTTTGGCTCTGCTGCTGGTGGTGACCCTCTTGTGTGGGTTCCTTCCTCTATGGGTCTTCCGGCGGCCGGGAGCCACAACCAGCTCGTCAGGTAAAAGAATAGCGAAATAATAAATAATAATAATAATAATTTTTTATTTATACAGCGCCCTCCCCGGCCAGTGCCAGGCTCAGGGCGGCTAACACCAATAAAATCACAGTAAAAACATAATAGGGGGAAAGAAAAAAACAAAACAAACCAATTTAAAATACAGTGGTACCTCGGGTTACATATGCTTCAGGTTACATACACTTCAGGTTACAGACTCCACTAATGCAGAAATAGTGCTTCAGGTTAAGAACTTTGCTTCAGGATAAGAACAGAAATCGTGCTCGGTGCAGCAGCAGGAGGCCCCATTAGCTAAAGTGGTGCTTCAGGTTAAGAACAGTTTCAGGTTAAGAACGGACCTCCGGATCGAATTAAGTACTTAACCCGAGGTACCACTGTACAGGTTAAAATGCAGCCTCATTTTAAAAGTACCCGCTAAATCAAGACCATAAGGGGAGGGAAACATAAGGGTCAGACTGAGTCCAAACCAAAGGCCAGGAGGAACAGCTCTGTCTTGCAGGCCCTTCAGAAAGATGTCAAGTCCCACAGGGCCCTAGTCTCTTGTGACAGAGCGTTCCACCAAGTTGGGGCCAGTACTAAAAAGGCCCTGGCCTTAGTTGAGACCAATCTAACTACCTTGCGACTTGGGACCTCCAAAGTGTTGTCATTTGTGGACCTTAAGGTCCTCCGCGGGGCATACCAGGAGAGGCGGTCCCGTAGGTACATGGGTCCCAGGCCGCATAGTCAACATTCATGGCTCCCTCTGAAGAACCCTGGGAAGTGTGGTTTGTTAAGGCTGCCGAGAGGACTTAGGAGACTTCCTTATTCCCCTTCCAGAGCGACACTTCCCACAGCGGTTTCACAATCGATCCCACTTCACCAGGGAACTTGGACCTGTAGCTCTGGGTGAGGAATTGGGGGGCGTCTTCTGTCGGCTCCCCCTTAACAAACTACGCTTTCCAAGATTCTTTGGGGAAGCCATCATAGATTTGTAGAGTTGGAAGGGACCACAAAGGAAATCCAGTCAACCCCCCTGCAATTTAGGAATCTTTTTGTCCCAGCATGGAACTTGGATCCATGACCCTGAGATTAAGCGTCTCCTGACACTTTTTAAAAGCATAACGCAAGATGTGGCCTTGTCAGATAGCTGTCGATTGCGGCTTTCCGTAGCCCGATATGAAGCAAGGTTAGGCTTGGCAATTTCAGACCAGCACCAAAATATTATTCTTCCCACTCGCCCCCTCACCCCATCTTTTCATCTCTCCTCTTTCCTGTTCTGACGCTTCTTGCTCTCCCAACAGATTCCCGAAGGAAGGTTTTAAGCCTGGTGAGCTGTTTTGCTGGAGGTGTCTTCCTGGCTACATGTCTCCTGGACTTGATCCCTGATTACCTTGCCGGTATTAATGAGGCCTTCAACAACTTGAGAGTCACGGTGAGCGAAGGCCCAGATTTTGCCACCAGTTGTTTATCTATTATGAGAAGGATTTACCGTATTTTTCGCTCTATAGGACGCACTTTTCCCCTCCAAAAATTAAGGGGAAATGTGTGTGCGTCTTATGGAGTGAATGCGGGCTCCTTGGCTTCAGCGATAGCAACGCGAAGCCTCCGAAGCGCAGAGGGAGCGCTCCCTCCGTGCTCCGGAGGCTTCGCGTTGCTTTCGCTGAAGCCTGGAGAACGAGAGGGGTCAGTGCGCACCAACCCCTCTCGCTCTCCAGGTTTCAGGGATAGACTCTCCTGGCTTCAGCGAAAGGAACCTGAAGCCTGCGGAGCCTTCAGCGAAGCGGGAGAAGAAAGGGAAGGGGCTCCGTTTCTCCTGCCGCTTTGCTGAAGGGGCGCTGAGCAGAGGGGAAGATTTTTTTTTTCTTGTTCTCCCCCTCTAAAGCAAGGTGCATCCTATGGAGCCAAAAATACGGTATGTTGCGTTTAATCATCAAAACCACTGAGTCATTTACTGTTCATTAGGGCTGGGCGATACCTGGTTTTCAACTTCATATCGCCAGCTAAACATCGCAATATATTGATTTACAGTGCTATTTTTCTAGAAAAAGAGGTGCTGGAACTCGCCGTGAATCCCTCCCTCTTTCTGTTGGAATGGCAGTGGCATCCTCCTGAGAGCTGGCAGAACCACTAGGCTCAGTGGTTTAGACCACAGCGCCACTCGTGTCCCCCTTTAGTTGGTGTTAGATACCATCTATACATCATTTTCATCACATTTTATTTTAGAGCACTGCAAGTTATAGCTGTGCTTTAAATGTTTGGCGTGAAAGTGTCCCCAATAATAATAATAATAATAATTTTTATTTATACCCCGCCCTCCCCAGCCAAGACCGGGCTCAGGGCAGCTAACAACCAATAATAAAAACAAGTTGATTAAAATACAACTTAAAAAACAAGATTAAAGTACAACGTTAAAACATTAAGATGCAGCCTATTCACAGGAGGAGAAAGGAAAAAAGAAAGAGGGGGAGGGAATCAAACTGACTCCAAGCCAAAGGCCAGGCAGAACAACTCTGTCTTATAGGCCCTGCGGAAAGAAATCAGATCCTGCAGGGCCCTGGTCTCATGAGGCAGAGCGTTCCACCAGGCCGGAGCCAGTGCTGAAAGGGCCCTGGCTCTGGTTGAGGCTAATCTAACTTCCTTAGGGCCTGGGACCTCTAGGGTGTTGCTATTTATGGACCTATTTATGGACCCATAACAAAAGGGACGCGGGTGGCGCTGTGGGTTAAACCACAGTGCCTAGGACTTGCCGATCAGAAGGTCGACGGGTCGAATCCCCGCGACGGGGTGAGCTCCCGTTCCTCGGTCCCTGCTCCAGCCCACCTAGCAGTTCGAAAGCACATCAAAGTGCAAGTAGATAAATAGGTACCACTCCGGCGGGAAGGTAAACGTCGTTTCCGTGCGCTGCTCTGGTTCGCCAGAAGCGGCTTAGTCATGCTGGCCACATGACCCAGAAGCTGTACGCCGGCTCCCTCGGCCAATAAAGCGAGATGAGTGCCGCAACCCCAGAGTCATCCGCGACTGGACCTAATGGTCAGGGATCCCTTTACCCTTTACCTTAACAAACCTCTGCCTCTGACCCTGTGCTCACACCTTTCCCCTTCCTTCCCGCAGCTCCATTTCCCCCTGCAGGAGTTCATCTTGGCCATGGGCTTCTTCCTAGTCCTGGTCCTGGAGCAAATCGTCCTGGCCTACAAAGACCCGGTGGGATCCCTGGAAGAGACCCAGGCCCTCCTTAGCGCGGCCGCGAACCCCTCCACCTCCATCCAGGACCAGAGCTGGCCCGACGGGCCGCTGGCGCACCAGCACAGCCGGGACCGCCCACACGTCCACGTGGACTTCAATGCCCACTCGGCCATCCGCTCGGTCGTCCTCCTCCTGGCCCTCTCTCTGCATTCCGTCTTCGAGGGGCTGGCCGTGGGGCTGCAGGAGGAGGGGACCCAGGCGCTGGAGATCTGCCTGGCCCTGCTAATCCACAAGGGGGTCATCGCCTTTAGCCTCAGCCTCAAGCTCCTGCAGGGGCGGCTGCGCCCCCGCGTGGTGGCGGCCTGCCTCGTCCTCTTCGCCATCATGTCCCCCCTTGGCATCGGGCTGGGCGTGGTGCTGACGGAGACCCCCCTGGCGGCCCTCCACCAGCTGTCGCGCTGCGTCCTCGAGGGCCTGGCCACCGGCACCTTTGTGTACATCACCTTTCTAGAGATCCTGCCCCACGAGCTCAACTCGTCCGAGCAGCGCATCCTCAAAGTCATCGTCCTCCTGGCAGGTTTCGCACTCGTCACCAGCATCCTGTTCATCAAGATCTGAGGAGGAGGACGAGCGTGGGTTGTGGGTGGGCGAAGAGATGCCCTCGATCTGTGTCCTAAACTCACTCAGGGATCCCTTTGGATCCAAACCGCACAGGGCTTTGACTTTCAGAAACTCGAGGGAGGAGGCGGAACCCTAGGCAGACAAGCAATAATTTTCAAAGATCTCTCCAAAATAGCAGAAAAGAGAGACAGTCCAGTGACATGGAAGGAGAGCGCGACAACACACAAACGCTATTCCTGGGGAAAACCCCACAAGCCTTGTTTTGTTTTGTTTTGTTATCCCCTCCAGGAATTCACCTACTCTGTTGATTTCCCCCTGCTGTGGGGTTCCTGTACGTTAGAACCCAGGTCCAAAACTTGGGATAAACCGGCTTATTTCCATTTTAAAGATTCTTCCCTCTTCTTCTGAAAATAGGAACACTGTTTTAGACCTGCACTCTGGCTGTTCCCACAATCTCAGGCACCCTTTGGGCTCAGCTGTGCTCTAGGCCTGCTTGCCTGGGGCGCCTCTGCAGTTGGGCGCAAGGTCAGAGTGTCTGGTGGGGTGTTAAGTGCTTACGCCCTCTTGTGAGTACGTAGCTACGAAAAGAAAACCATAGCCAAATTTGGCACGTGGGGATGGCTTGACAGTCCTTCTCTGGGTTTTAAGAATTAAGCAGGCCTCAAAAACAGGCAGTCGGGCTGTATCTGTCACCCTCTGCATGCTGGAGCAAGGGCTCTTGCGGCAGCAGAGGGGAGAGTTTGAATGCTGCGCCCTGGAGGAATCACAGCACAACCGCTTGTGCGATTGGAATATCGTTGCACCAGCTGGTCGCAAGGTCTTTCGTGCAACTGTGTGGTCACCACCCCTCCTTATGTGTTTCCTTGCACAACCACACCCCCTCCGGTGTGGTTGATATCTCAAAGTGATGTACCCAGGGCTCTTGTACACAACCCTTTGCCATGTCTTACAAATCAGCGTGCGTGGCAGGGGGTCTCTCTTGTTTGTGCTTTTTAAACACAACAACAAACTGGTTTCTGGTGCCAAAATACTTCTCTGCCATCTCCACAGCTCGTTAACCGTCTTGCCTTAAAATGTTGGTGCCTTGACTGTTTCAAAAGGGCTCACCAACTGTGTGTGTATGTGTTTTGTACGGTGTGGTTGGTTGGGTTGAGTGAGTCAAACACTTTTAAATTTTGGTTGCCTCCTTTCCTTGACCAGCCCAAGCACTTTGGGAAGAACATTTCAGGGCCACCTTTGGGGGGTTTTTTTTGGAGGGGGACGACTCTTGCATTCCCTGTCTTAAGTGCCAAAGTTGTTTCTCTCACCTGCCCGGGGTGGGGTGGGGTGGGGTAATTCTGTGGGTTTTGCTCAAGTGAAAGTTGTGCAAAACGAGCGTTGCAGATCAATTGACGCAGACGCAGCTTTTATTGGGGGGAATGATCCTCTTCCATTGAAGCACGTGAGGCTGAGAGAGACAATGTAAAATAGCTGTGTTCGTGCATCTGCTGTAAGCTTGCTTGATACAGAGAGAATCATCTAGGAGGTATCTTTCATTAAACTGACATGTTTTAGGAACAACCTGCTGGTGTCTGTATTTTTGAGTTGCGCGGAAGCATTTTGCCAGGCCAAAGTGCAGAACGTTGGTTGTGTGTCTGTGAATCTTGTTCTGTTAATCAGGGATGAGGAATCTTTGACCCTCTAGATGCACGTTTCTGGACTGCAACTTGCGTCAGGTCTAGTCAGGGATGACGCGTGTTGTATCCAGCAAGACCTTGCAAGCTGCAGGTTCCCTGTCCCTGTATTAACAGATGGTTAAACTCATGGGCCTGGTGTAAACAGAACATAGATCTATGTTTGGTGCATGAGAAATTGGGCAAAAGACTCTTGCATTGCATTGGGTTGGACTACCTGACCCTGGGGGGTGGGTGGGTGGCTATGATTTTATGTTAACCAGCAATTGTGAATTTCTATAGGGGTCTGCCCCTGTTGAATTTCAGCACCGGCTCATTTTTGGCCTAGTATAAGGACGCGGGTGGCGCTGTGGTCTAAACCACTGAGCCTCTTGGACTTGCAGATCAGAAGGTCGGCGGTTCGAATCCCCGCGACAGGGTGAGCTCCCGTTGCTCGGTCCCTGCTCCTGCCAACCTAGCAGTTTGAAAGCACGTCAAAGTACAAGTAGATAAATAGGTACCGCTCCGGCGGGAAGGTAAACGGCGTTTCTGTGCGCTGTTCTGGTTCGCCAGAAGCGGCTTAGTCATGTTGGCCACATGACCCGGAAGCTGTACGCCGGCTTCCTCGGCCAATAAAGCGAGATGAGCGCCGCAACCCCAGAGTCAGCCACGACTGGACCTAATGGTCAGGGGTCCCTTTACCTTTACATTTAAGGGCCCCAAGATCTGGAATTATCACAAGTGTGGAGCTGCAGCTACGGGCCTTCGCAGGGTCCAGTTGAGATGACTGCGGACAAAGAACGTCTGAGAAGTTGGACTCAGAGCAAATTTCCCCAGGCATAAAATAGGTTTTATTTTCATTTAAAAGTGGGACTTCAGTGATCAGACCACCCCCTTGATTTCAATAAGGCGTTTGCGAATGCTCGGTACCGATCGCTTGTTGACTTGAGCTGCTTTTGTTCTTAAACCGTTTCCTGTCTCTGGGAGGCTGGCGGGTACTTGAGACGCCCACGACCCAAGCCGTTTTCGCTGGCTGGAAAATACTCGGGGGCGGTGGGTGGAAACGAAAGCAGCTTCGATATCCAGTGCGGTTTTTAAATGGAAGTTCAGCATACAGTTTCTTAACTGGGCGCATAGCAGTCGCCGTCCCGTTTTTTCAAAATTTCCACCGCTCTGGACCCTCCTTCCCATGTGCACAGCACTGCAAGGGATTTGGGAAGGGTGCGAAACAGAAGTCTCCTGGTACATGCCTTGAAAATGCCCTCCCCTTCCCTGTGGCTGTTTTTGGGGGAAGATGACAGGCCGGCTCCATCAGGCCTCCTCTCCCTTCATTCAGTAGAGCATCAAATCTCAGAATCATAGAGTTGGAAGGGCTCCTCAAAGGCCATCTAGTTGAACCCCCTGGAATGCAGGAATATCAACTAAGGCATCCAGGACATGTGGCCATCCAACCTCTGCTTAGAAACCTCCAACCTCTCATGGGCAGTGACAGAAATAATAATAATAATAATAATAATAATAATAATAATAATCATTTATACCCTGGCCAGAGCTGGGCTCAGGGTGGCTAACACCATTAAAATTACAGTAAAAACATAATTGGGGGGAAAAAACCAATTTAAAATACAGATTAAAATGCAATCTAAAATGCAGCCTCATTTTAAAAGTAGCCCATAGATCAAAACCATAAGGGGAGGGAAACATAAGGATCAGACTGAGTCCAAACCAAAGGCCAGGCGGAACAGCTCTGTCTTGCCGGCCCTGCGGAAAGATGTCAAGTCCCGCAGGGCCCTAGTCTCTTGTGACAGAGCGTTCCACCAAGTCGGGGCCAGTACTGAAAAGGCCCTGGCCCTAGTTGAGACCAATCTAACCACCTTGTGACCTGGGACCTCCAAAATGTTGTCATTTGTGGACCTTAAGGTCCTCCGCAGGGCGTACCAGGAGAGGCTGTCCCTCTGAGAAACGAAAGCTAGGAGCTAAATGGCACCTTAAACCTGGAATATCTAGGCACACTTTTTTATAACAAGAGTACAAAGTTGAAAATGAATGAACTGCAGCTAAAATATTATATTCACTTTTCACATGATCTAGTCCAGTGGTTCCCAAACTTTTTTCAAAGAGGGCCAGATTTGATGAAGTGAACATAAGTGAGATATACTGCCACGGGGGCCGGATTAAATCGACTGGCAGGCAGGATTAGGCCCCCGAAACGGACTTTGGACGTGTCTGGTCTAGTCCTTCCCCTGCCCACGCCCCCTAATATTCTTAAGAGGGTCTCTTCTCCGGTCTTCAGGGAGTAGCTAGAAGTGGGGAGGCAGGAAAAGCCCCTCTCCTTCCATCCTGCAGTTTTAATCTGAAATCTCAGGCCACAGCACTGTGCCCAAAGCTCGGAAACTGCTCATGCGAATGATGCTCCCCGTCGCAAAATGCGCCTAGAACAATGGGAGTTTCGAACACTGTTCATGGGAGTCTATATTCCACTGTCAAACAGCTCTTAGTGTCAGCCCTTCCTGATGTCGAGTCAAAATCTCTTCCTTTGTAACTTGGAACGTTGGCTGAAGTCCTGTCCTCCAGAGCAGAAGCTTGTTCCGTGGGATTTTTAATCTCAGCATCGTGGGTTGGAGTCCCACGTTGGGCAAAAGATTCCTACATTGCAGCAGGTTGGACTAGATGACCCTCGGGGTCCCTTTCCAATTCCATGATTCTAGGACTGTCAGCAAGAGAGCTGAGAAGGAGAGTTTGTTACGTCAGCTTTCCCAAAAGAGCCGCTGCATCCGGCTACCCCCTAACCCTGAACAGTAGAAGCTGACCTTCATAAGAACAACCGTTTAAGAACTGGTGCCCAAGTTTGATAATTCTTGTTTTGTTTAAAAATGTTAAGCTTGCAGGGCCAGGACTGTTTAGTTATAATAGGTTGTACGCACGCCACTTGGGGAGCCTTTCTGGCTGAAGAACAGAGTACAAGTACTCAGAATAAATAAAATGGGGTTGACCAATCTCCCGGGGAAGGAATCCCCGTTTTAAGTTTCTGAGGAACGCTGTGGATCTGCCAAGAGGCCGTTTCCAAAGCCGCATTTACGATACCCAGCAAAGAGGCTGGCTCTTTGGTTGGGTTTGACCTGTGAAGAATGGGATGGGTTGGGTGGCTTGCAGCAATGATTTTGCCTTCTCCGTTTTGCCATTGGCCGAGCACCACCACTTTGCTGCTTTGACGTTCTTTCTTTGCGGCAGTTTTTTGGGTTTTTTTTTCCTACGCAGAGGGTCGTGATGAAAGGATGTGGGCGGCGGAATCCTTCCTTCGCACGGAGCCCTCGGAATAAATGCTCCCTTGCATTCCTTTCTCGCCAGATGAAAACACGGATGGGGCTGACCGTGCCAAATTGCTTAATGAGATGGGAATGGAGCGGCCCAAATAAAAGGCGTTTTACTCCACCCACTCTGTGTGTGTGTGTGTGTGTGTGTGTGTGTGTGTGTGTGTGTGTGTATGTCTGTTTCTCCCATGCTGCCTTCATTAAAACGCAGCTTTCTTCTGTGAAATTTCTGTTGAATCCGTGGACTTGGCAGTGAGAAAGCAGAACGGCCTGTAATGGAGTGAACGGGTTGGGGGTGCTAAAATCTCATCTAGGGAAGAAACTGAAGGGTTGTATCCAATGGTTATCCTACAAGTCAAATGAATGGACTCGACTACACCATGTGTGTTATATCGTAAAATCAGAAGGGACGCCATGGGTCATCTAGTCCAACCCTCTGCGATGCAGGAATCTCAGCTAAAACATCCATGACAGATGGCAATCCAAACTGCTTAAAGAAAGGTTAAAGCAGTTTCATGTCACTTTAAAGACAGGGCTACCCACGCCTCCCAAAATTGGGCACTGTACAGTGGTACCTTGGGTTAAGTACTTAATTTGTTCCGGAGGTCCGTTCTTAATCTGAAGCACCACTTTAGCTAATGGGAGCTTCCTGCTGCCGCCACGCCACTGGAGCATGATTTCTGTTCTCATCCTGAAGCAAAGTTCTTAACCCGAGGTAATATTTCTGGGTTAGGGGAGTCTGTAACCTGAAGTGTATGTAACCTGAAGCGTATGTAACCCGAGGTACCACTGTACTGTATTTTGCTGTAAGTGTTAGGATAACCTCTTGCAGTGTTACAGTTCTGTGGGTTTCCTGGGAAGGGGGGGTTACTTCTTAAACCACTCTGGGAATTGCAGCCCTAAAAACACTCAGCACCCGCAGCAAACTACAATTCCCAGGATTCTTTGGCGGAAGCCATGACAGTGGTACAGTACAGATGGCGCCTTGGTCATGTCTACTAATTTCAGTGGGACTACAGAGCCTAGGACTTGCCGATCGGAAGGTCGGTGGTTCAAATCCCAGCGACGGGGTGAGCTCCCGTTGCTCGGTCCCTGCTCCTGCCAACCTAGCAGTTCGAAAGCATGTCAAAGTGCAAGTAGATAAATAGGTACTGCCCCGGCGGGAAGGTAAACGGCGTTTCCGTGCGCTGCTCTGGTTCGCCAGAAACGGCTTAGTCATGCTGGCCACATGACCCGGAAGTTGTACGCCGGCTCCCTCGGCCAGTAAAGCGAGATGAGCGCCGCAACCCCAGAGTCTGTCACGACTGGACCTAATGGCCAGGGGTCCCTTTACCTTTACCTTTTACTCTGGGTAGGACTAACATTAGAGAAAATGCTGTAGGTCCACTTAGCTGGATCCAACCCTTGTTACGCAGGGGTGAATGTGGAATTCGTTTTTGGCGTAGAACTGGGCATCTCTGAACACTGTGCCACCCATCTGTGTTATAGTACGACTCGTGCAACACTTTGGCGACTAATATACACACCATAATTACCAAAATAATTATACATTCTTTATCAATCTTCTGAGAAAAGTGCAAAGCCACAGAGACTTGCAAACTACCCAACCTAAGATGAACTTAGGATGTCTGATTTCAGTGGATTTTTCATGTGCTTATCCATTTGTGTTATGGCTTTCTGTTTTGTTAAACAAAAACAAAGAGCTGAAGTTCCCAGTCCTTAAGATTTTGGGAAGTACAGTATGTTTAGGCTCCAGCCTGCAGGAAATTGAACAGGGCCCCTGAAGTGGCACTTCAGAACTCAGCTGAGCTCCTTCTTCCTGATCCCCTTCCCAGCGAATGGTAGAACAAAGTATGCTTTTTTGCTTTGATGAAAATCTATCTCATTCTGGGGGTGGGGGCATAGCCATTGAGTGGGATGGCATAGGGTTTGGTTCCCTCGGCTGTATGCAAGAGTCTAAACTGGCTGTGACGACGCAGGTGGTTGAATGCATTTCTTCAATTTCTTGATATATATAAATAAAAATGATTATTATACACCAAGGCTTGTTTCCTATTGAGGCAGCTGGTTTGGCCACTGGGAAAGCAGGAGGCTGGACTGAGATGGGCTTGATCCTGCAGCAAGGGTCTTCAGGGTGCCCACTTTCCTCTTCACAACAATCCTGTGTGGTAGACTTAAGCTGGGAGACGCTGACCAGCCCCCAAACTTCCCTGGGAGTTTTCCAAATGGCCAAGGAAGGGTTTTGGCAGCATGTCCTGCCGGCTGCTCCACTGCACAGGCCGTTCTGTCCTCCTCCTGCACTCTCCTAGGTCGTCTGCCGCACAATCAGATACGTGCCTTGTTTGGCTTGCAATGTTCCAGTTCGTGTACTCTCTGGCGCGTCCTGGCCTTGGGGCAGATGCTGTTCCTGCCGTCCCTGGCTTTTCGGCTGCTCTCGCTTCTGCAAGCAGGATCTGTGCTGATCCCCTTTGCCTTTGCAATCTGCTTGTTTTCCAGCTTCCCTTTGAATGAAATCCCCCCTGATTTTTAATCCTTTAATGCTGTTCGCAAAACCGCGGTTCGAGCACGTTTCTGCGAGGTTCCTCCTCCCCCCTCCTTTATATAAAGTTCTGCCTGGGTGGGGAACCTCAGGCCCGGTGAGCCAAGGGCGACCCTCCGAGCCTTTCTATCTGGCCCTTGGAATATTTCCCAGGCCACACCCCCTCTTCCTAAGCCACGCCCCTCACTGGCCCCACTTTCTATCTCAAAGTGTGTTTGCCTGGCAAGGAGGTGTCCTCAAAATCTGGTCTTACCTCTTGTACAGAAAAGTAAGACTTTTTTTCGTGCCAAAATGCATCGCTTTACACTTGTTGAAGGCATCTCTGATGAAGGAACAGAAAGCAATAGTGCCTAAAGGGTGATGTGGCTTCCTATGTGGGTGGACTTTGACATTTCAGTTTCACTCTGCCTTATATTCATCTATATGTATCTACAAGCGATACAGAACAACAGCCACAATGCACTGTATGGTGCCCTTGTGATGTGAGACTACAGCTCCCATCAGCGCCCTCAGGATCTTCAGGGATAAGCGTTGTAGTTTGGCAACACCTGGAGCTCACCTTATTGGCAATGCCAGCTTTAAAGTAATATTTGTGAGCCACCCCAAAAACTCTCGAAAAAGTGAACTCCAAAACTTGGTGATACTTCTGAAGCTGGATGTTGTACTTTTCTGTTCTCTTTTTTTTAAAAAAAAACTTGTGACACTGATTGGTCCTAATATAGGTATTGCCCACCTGTGGATTTAGGTAAGTTAAGTGTCTAGAATTGCAACCAGTGTTAGAAACTCAGATATATAAGCTAGGCACCAAATCGCACCTTAGCTCTAGGTTACAGTTGTCACAGCGGAATGTCTATTTGCCAGGGGGATGGACTATATGACACTGGGGTCCTTTACAATGCAACCAATGCTTGACTATCGCTTGCTCTTACATTTCATTTGTCCCAGCATGCAAGAAAAAGCAGCACACACAATGGAAATGGAATTAACTATGGACTAAGTCAGAGGTTTTTAAACTGTGGTTGGGTTGCCAACCTGGTGCCCAAAAATCTTCATGTAATTGCAACTGGACCTGCCTGTGGAATTTCGAACACCGATTGCAGCCTGTGTCTCTTTATAAGTCTCTACTTATTGTTTGGTGCTTGTTTCGTTAGATGCTTATAATGAAGTGAAAAAAAGAAAATAAAACCAATTATTTAAGAAAAACGCACTTTGCACATGCTCAGCGTTATTGAAATAGACCTCACAAATGTAATCAGTGATGATAATTTATATACCGCTTACATGCCCAAAGGAGCTTCTAAATCGGCTTACGGGTTTAAAATCAATACCATTACGTTTGTAACCCCGCACCAAATTAAAGTATGCGCCAGTCTCCCCAAAGCCGAGTCCGCGCAGGGCGCGGCGGGAGAGGTAGTTCCCGCTGGCCCTGCTTGCCCCGGCGCCTTATGGACGAGAGGACTCCACCTCCCGTCGTCCCTTGCGGCGGAGCGTTCTCACCCCTATCATTGCCCGCGCGGGGCGCGCCGGGAGCCGTAGTCTCGCCGCCTTTCCTCGGCCGCGCGCGCCTCATGTCGGCGAGGCAAGTAAACAAACTCGCTTTCCCGTCGTGCCCCGCGGCCGAGCTCACAGAGGGAGGGAAGGCCGCGGCCCCGCCGCTCCTCTCACGGGCCAGGGAGGGTTGTGAGGAGGAGGAGGCGGAGGAGGCGGCGGCGGCGGACCAAGATGGCGGCGTCGGGCTCCGGGGCCGCGGCGGCGGCGGCTGCGGCTGCGGGAGCCGGACCGGGCTCCTCCTCGTCGTCGTCGGGCGGCGCTGCGGCCGCGGGGGGCGTCGTGGCTGCTTCGGCCGCGGCAGCCGCCGCCGCGGCGTCCAACCCCCGCAAGTTCAGCGAGAAGATCGCGCTGCAGAAGCAGCGGCAGGCCGAGGAGACGGCGGCCTTCGAGGAGGTGATGATGGAGCTGGGCACCACACGGGTAAGGAGGACGACGACGAGGAGGGAGGACGGGACGGGGGACGGGGAAGGCGAGGGCGAAAGGCCGCCTCGCCGCCCGCCTGCCCCTCGGCCGGTCCGTCCCTGAGGGGGCGCTGCGGAGGAATGGGGGAACCGACTTCCGGTGAGGGGTAGATATACGGGGGTAGCGACATCCGGTCTTGGGGGGGTGGGAGAACGGGGTGGGAAGGGAGCCAATGACGGGGCGCCGATTTGGGAAGGGGAGGGCGTGGATTGGTTGAGGTCCTGGGGTGCAGCATCAGTTAAGGATGGGTGTGGAGGGGGGGAACCCGGGTGGTGGGGATCCAATGGTAGAGTTGGAGGGCGTGGATTGGACTAGGCGGGTGTGAGGTCATGGGGGGCATCCTCAGTTGAAGATGGGCGTGTGAGATAAGGTGGTGGTGATGACGTTGGGTCTCTTGGAGGAAGAGATGTTGAGTCTTAAGTGCTTAAATGGGTGAAAGGGAGAGGTAGTGGGGGACTTGTTTTGGGGTCATGGGGGGTCATAAGGGGAGGGGGTGCTGAAAGAGGTCATGGAAGCGCCTTAGGGAAGATGGTGGTGGCTGTAAGGATGTGAATTGGCGGACGCACTCTGTTGGGTGCTGTCTTATTTATCTATTTTCGAATAGATAAATGAGAGGGATGCGGGTGGCGCTGTGGGTTAAACCACAGAGCCTAGGACTTGCTGATCAGAAGGTCGGCGGTTCGAATCCCCACCACGGGGTGAGCTCCCGTTGCTCGGTCCCTGCTCCTGCCCACCTAGCAGTTCGAAAGCACGTCAAAGTGCAAGTAGATAAATAGGTACCATTCCTGCGGGAAGGTAAACGGCATCTCCGTGCGCTGCTCTGGTTCTCCAGAAGCGGCTTAGTCCTGCTGGCCACATGACCCGGAAGCTGTACGCCGGCTCCCTCGGCCAATAAAGCGAGATGAGCGCTGCAACCCCAGAGTTGGTCACGACTGGACCTAATGGTCAGGGGTCCCTTTACCTTTACTTTTAAATAAGGATCTCAGAGGCCTACGTGGGTCTCTTTCTTCACAATAACCCTGTGAGTTAGGTTAGGCTGAGAGGCAGTGACTGGCCCAAAATTACACAGTCATGGCCAAGTGGGGATTCGAACCCTGGTCTCCCAGGTCCTAGTCTAACCCCTGCACCAAACTCCTTTCCTCAGGTCACGCACTCCACCAACGGCATGCAACCCACCCACCCTCTGGAAGGTTACCCACTATATTTCTTATAGTATATTCTCTTGTATTACAATTTGAATTCTGTGGAATTCTCCAGTTCATTGCCCAATTGATGGAGTTCTGTGGAATTCAAATTGTTATATGATAAAATTCGTAAGAAATACTATTAAGGAATCATCCAGCATAGCACATTACGATTGCCACAACAGGTAGGAAAACCGTTACGTGGTCTGCTGAGACCCTGAGCCATTTTTAAGTGGTCTGCTGGGATGAAATGTTTGGGAATTGCTGGCTTGGGAGGTAAATGAGGGTGGAACTGTCTGTAGGAGAGCAATGGCTTGAGAGTTGGCTGCGAATGAATCAGGTCATGGAGGGACCCTATCTAGGGTATGGCCTTGTGTATTTGAGGTGGGCGTCATTAGTGGGCTACTGCAGTGTAGGGTCTTGTGGAAGAGTAGTATTCTCAGGGCTGAGGATTCCCATTTCCCCCAAGATCAATGTTAGAACTGATGAGACCATTGTGGAGGCACACTGTTTAGGGAAGGGGGGGGTCATTGAAACACTCGCATAAGGAAAAGCAAGGGAGAAGGAGAAGTAGAGAATAGGGAGAGTTTGGCCTGATTGGGTAATGGCATGGAGCACTCCATAGAGGAGGAATCTGGGGGAGGGATGTACTGCAATAGGGGAGGTGGGCTTGATGGGGACACCGCTGTGTTTTACAGTATAGAATGCTTAACTGCTGAAATCAGCTACAGATTTTGATGAGCATCAGTGCAAATCTTCCCCACAGACTGGAACATAGGAAGCTGCCATCTACTGAATCAGACCATTGATAAATTTTGCTTAGTGTTGACTCCCCTGCCTGGTAGCAGCTGCCCAGGATTTCAAGCAGAGTTCTTTCCCAGTCCTACCTGGAGATGCCAGAGATTGAACCTGCAAAGCAGATGTCCCTTCCCTTGGATAGGGCAAACTGGTATATCTAACATGGCCAGAGAGGGCACTTGGGATATAAAGTGTGCACAGGTGTATTAACCATGAATTGCCATTCACGGAGGGATGAGGTTGTCAGACCTAAGCAGCATAGTGAGAACAAGCTTCAGGCCTCGCTGGCAGAAAGGGGACTTGATACCAGTATCTCTGGGTTACTCAGAAATCTCTCCCGTCCTCAATCTTTTAACAACTGAATATCCTAAGCTGAACATGTCAAAAGTGGCTCTTATACATTGACTCTCTGGTCTTCTGGATACTGCCTCATCAGCCCCACCCAGTATGGCTGACAGGCAGGACTGATGGGAGTTGTAGTCCAGCAATATCAGGGCGGCAGGTTCTCCCACTGCCTCTCTAACAGAAATCCTCTTGCTTGAGTTTTCTTCTACCGTTGTTTTTGGGTTTCCAGGGAGGAATGAGGCTGTCCTGACAGACTTGCTGAGGTCGTTGGTTCATTCATTTATCTCCCTGCGTGATTCTCTCCCTGATCGTTATTAGGGCCGTGAAATGTGGTGAACATCTGGAGATACGTAACCAACTAGGAAACATTATTTCGACAATTGGCTTTTTTATAAAAAAAAAGTTTTGTTTTGAACGACGCTTGGGGAATATGCTGATAAAGCCGTCGCCTTCTCTCTGGTTTCTGCAGTGCTCGAGGCAAAATGTTGGGCAGGTCCCCCCCTCTTCTTTTCATTCCGCAGATCTGGAACAATCTCCCACGGGAAAGAAGGGGAAAGTCTGCTCCCCGGAGATGGTTAAAATTAGATTGGGCAAAGGATGAGAAAACGCAAAAACAGCGGCCTGGCCTCGGCGGGGGTGGAGGGGCACATTGGATGCGGCTGTCTTGGCAGGTTCAGTTGGCATCACTTGCCAAGGTTGGGCCAGGCTGGAGCCCTGGTGGATTTCTGTGCCAGGAGTCTACCTGGAGTGTGTATTAAGCACCCTAGGATCTGTACAGATTTGGGGACTTGAGAGTGGCACTCAGGAAGTGCTTCTCTGTTTCCAGCGAAGGCTTGCCATGTTAGATCAAGCCTGGAAGGCCACACCTGCACCATACATTTAAAACCCTACGATACCACTTTAAACAGCTGTGACTTCTCACAAAGGATTCTGGGAGCTGTAGTTTATCAAGAATTCTGAGAGTTGTTAGGAGACACCCTACCCCCAGTTCTCCTCAAGAGCTACAATTTCCAAAGTGGGTCAACAATCAATCCCTGTTCCCAGGGAATGTTGGGAAATGTAGCTCTAGCAGGGAAATGGGGAGTGTCTCCTAATGACTCTTGGCACCCTTAGCAAACTACAATTCTCAGGGTTCTTCATCCTGTTGACTTGGGGTGACTTCCCAGCATTTGGCCCCTAGGTTGGAGGATCCACTGAGAACATCACTGGACAGGTCAGAGGGAGAAATGGAAAACTCTTTGGGAGGCCTGCCTGAGCTGTCCTGACACCTGAGAATTAATTTAGATGGATTGCTTTTCTCCATTGTGTTATCATTTACATAGGGTCGTATCCAACATTACATCTGCTCAGAGTAAGGCCCCTGAAATTAAGACATGAATAGACATGACTAACTTCGCTCCATTGATTTCAGTTGGTTTTCCCTGAGTGGAAATTAATTGGATTCAGCCCACTCTTTTTCATAGTGACATCCCACATATATGCGAAGTTTGTTTGACTTCTGCCGAACCACGTTTGTGTGAATTGAAATGGTGTGATTGACAAGCTGGAACGTGTGCAGAGGAGGGAGACCAAGATGATCAAGGGTCTGGAAACCTTGCCTTATGAGGAATGGTTGAGGGAATTGGGTATGCTTAGTCTGGTAAAGAGGAGATATGATAGCCATCTTCAAATATCTCAAGGGCTGCCACATGGAAGATGGAGAAAGTTTATTTTCTTCCACTCCGGAGGGTAGGACCCAAACCAATGGCTTCAAGTTACAAGAAAGGAGATTCCAGCTAAACTTCAGGAAGCACTTTCTGACAGTAAGAGCTGTTTGACAGTTGAATGGACTCCTGTGGTGGGCTCTCCTTCTTTGGAGGTTTTTAAGCAGAGGTTGGATGGTCGTCTGTGATAGATGCTTTAGTTGAGACATTGCAGGAAGTTGAACTAGAAGACCCTTGGGGTCCCTTCCAACTCTACGATTCCATGAAAGTGTGCATGTGTCACGGGGAAGGGAGGTGAATCAGTAAACTTTGACATGGAAGAGATGTCCTTTCCCCTAAGGAACAGCAGACGTCTGTTGGCTTCTGCCAAGGTCTTTGAGATATCAACAGCTGCTCCTCCAATGCCCTTTCATCATCTTGGACCTTTTTTGCATGCCTAGCAATCCACAAAAAGGAAAAAAAAGATGAAGGCTTCCATGCTTAAAATGTCCCAAAGCAAAGTTGTTGAGAATGAATAAGAACATAAGAGGGTCTGCTGGTCCATCGTCCAGCATTCTCTCAGAGGCCAACCAGATGCCCTGATGGGAAGCCCAGAACCAGGATTTGAGCACAAGACCCCTCTCCCCTCTTGTGGTTTCCAGCAACTGGTATTCAGAAGCATTGCTGTGGAGGCAGAGCACAGTTATCTTGGCTAGCAGCCATCGATAGTCCTGCTAACCATAAATTTGTCTAATCGATAGTTCCAGCCTTCCTGAACCAGACTTGCAAATATGTCTGCGGAAGTTAGTAGCCTGGAACAACACTGACTGGTCCACCTGTTAACATGCTAGTCGCTGGTGTCAAATCAGTGGCCTGAAGTAGGGGATGGATAAACCCAACTATCTCCCAAGGTTATGAAAGTTTTCCCTTGGCTATATATTCATCCCAGGTGACCAAGCAAGGTATGGCTTAGAAGCCTGCCTTGATCATGGGTGATTTTGTACTCAAACCAACGAAACCCTCAATGCCTAGAAACTTGAAGCTGGCAATATTTACCCAGCCCTTTGCTGTCTTTTGCCTAAAACTTGGCGGATTCCCTTAAGAAGGATGTGGATAGCTGGGAATCTTAAGACCTCTTTCCAGTTTTGCTCCTTGGCACCCCTTTAGATATCTCTGTGCAGTCACAAGGTCTAGTGACTTTATTTTTGCATAGAACACGAAATCTCCCTTCCGTGGAATCCGACTCCTGTGTCTGCCGCCGCACGCCCCGATTCGAAAAGGGGGGTGACGTCACCTCACTGCTTCGGGGCGGTGTTGATGCGCTCCCCTGTTTGCGCAAGAAACGGCTGGTTAATTTTCACCCGACGGCAGGCCGGCAGGTTGGTTAGGCTGCGAATTCTATACCTCGAGGGGACGTGCTCAGGTGTTTTCCCTCAAACCAGTCCTTCCAGAAAGGCTTGTGATACGCAGGATCCCCTAGGTAGATAAAATGAAGCAGAGATCCATCCTCAGGGCTCCAAAGGCAACCCACCCTGTGGCAAAACAGGCCAGATGCCACTTAACTAGTTCAGATTTGCCTCCCTCTTGTTGGGTGAGAGGTGGATTTACGAGCCAGTTAAATGTTGCACCGTGACGTGCAGAGAACCTCGACCGCATAAGTGCAGGCTCTTAAGCGCTAACCTGGACCTGCTTCGTGGGATATACAGTATAAAAAGGTAAAGGGACCCCGCCCTGACCATTAGGTCCAGTCGTGGCCGACTCTGGGGTTGTAGCGCTCATCTCGCTTTATTGGCTGAGGGAGCCGGCGTACAGCTTCCGGGTCATGTGGCCAGCATAACTAAGCCGCTTCTGGCAAACCAGAGCAGTGCACGGAAACGCCATTTACCTTCCCGCCGGAGTGGTACCTATTTATCTACTTGCACTTTGATGTGCTTTCGAACTGCTAGGTTGGCAGGAGCAGGGACCGAGCAACGGGAGCTCACCCCGTCGCAGGGATTCAAACCGCCGACCTTCTGATCAGCAAGTCCTAGGCTCTGTGGTTTAACCCACAGCGCCACCTGCGTCCCATTGATATACAGTATAGTGTGATCCAAAGAGCTGCTTTGTATTGACTCAGACTATTGTTCCATCTTGCTATCTAGAGATGCACCTAAACGTTGCTGGACTAAAACCCCCACTGTCAGCATCCCTGACCATTGGCCATGCTAGCAGGGAATAATGGCAGTTGGCTGCTCCAACCTGGAAGATCTCAGGTTCTCCTTTTGCCAACACTGCCTGGCAGCGACTGACCGCGGTTTCAGGCAGGAGTCTTTCCTATCTGGAGATGCTGTGGCAGTGTTAGAAACTCAAGATATATAAGCCAGGGGCCATGTGGCAAATCCGCTGGTAGAAGTCCTGTGTGGCGGAGGGGCGTGGCTTGTGGAGAGGGGTGTGGCAAGGGGAGGAGACACCTGTAGGAAAAGTCTTGAGAGCTGGAGAGAGAAGCCTGGAAGGCCGCATCCTGTCCCTTTGACTGAGGTCCCTTGCCCTTTGCGTAGACAATACAGTGGTACCTTGGTTCCCGTACAAATCGGCTCCCAAACGCCACAAACCCGGAAGTGAGTGTTCCGGTTTGAGAATGTTTTTTTGGAAGCCAAACGTCTGACACTGCTTCCGTGGCTTCCAATTGAGTGCAGGAAACTCCTGCAGCCAATCGGAAGCCGCGCCTTGGTGGTTTTCAAACCATTTCGGGTGTCAAACAGACTCCCGGAACGGATTAAGTTTGAGAACCAAGGTACCGCTGTACTGATCTACATCGACCAAAGATCTGATCTGTCTTTGGACAACTTCCTGTGTTTATATGTTCCATTTCCCTTTGTGGACAGTGTAGGGTCCCCCCCCCCCCGCTTTAGCTGAGCCTGCAAACTTGAAGCAAGGCTGGAGGGTTGCAATTCTGGCTGGCACGAGCCTCCCCAGCACCTCTCCTCTAGAGGGTACCTTCATATACGCTGAGAAAAACTCCAGGAGAGGAAACAGGAGATTCTTTCCGTTCTTGCACAAGTTGAAGGCGATCCTAAATGTCACCTGCATAACATCAATAGCGATGAAGTGGGCCTAGTTACAGGTGGCTCATTTTAAAGTGCTGCTTTTTCGCTTTAAAGCGGAGATGTGGAAGTCCATGTTCTTACAGCTGCTGTTAAAGTCCACCTTCCATCAACCCCAGGCAGCAGGACCAGTGGTTGGTGCTGATAGGAACTGTAGTCCAACCAGACATGGAAAGCCACAAATTCCCACTCTTGCTTTAAAGCCCAATATGGCCCGGATCCAAGATAACTTCAGGTTTGCCAGCTCCCCATATATGACTACAATCAGCCCTGTTTCAGGTTCTGGCAGGGGAGAAGCAAGTGCTGGTGAAGGCTGTCAGGAATCATAGCCCAAAGCATCAGGTCACCCTGGTTGTATAAGGGATAGCTCAGTTGGTAGAGCATGAGACTCTTAATCTTAGGGCAATGGGTTTGAGCCCCACATTGAGCAAAAGATTCCTGCATTGCAGTGGGTTGGACTAGATGACCGTCATAGTCCTTTCCAACTCCACAGTTCAATTATTCTATCCTTGCCCATGCTGACTGGAGGCTGTTGGGAGCTGCAGTCCCCACAATGTGTGGAGGAGGTCCCCACCTTCTGATAATAATAATAATAATAATAATAATAATAATAATTTAATATTTATACCCCACCCATCTGGCTGAGTTTCCCCAGCCACTCTGGGCAGCTCCCAATCAAGTATTAAAAACAATACAGCATTAAATATTAAAAACTTCCCTAAACAGGGTTGCCTTCAGATGTCTTTTTAAAGATAAGATAGCTGCTTATTTCCTTGACATCTGATGGGAGGGCGTTCCACAAGGCGGGCGCCACTACCGAAAAGGCCCTCTGCCTGCTTCCCTGTAACCTCACTTCTCGCAATGAGGGAACCGCCTGAAGGCCCTTGGCGCTGGACCTCAGTGTCCGGGCTGAACGATGGGGGTGGAGACGCTCCTTCAGGACTGAGGCCATAGTGGGAAGCTGGCCCACCTGTTGGGAATGTTGCAACAGCAGGTTCCCTGCATTGGTGGCGGGTTAGAATGAATGACCTTCAGCCAGGATTCAATAATAAATGTAAAGCAAGGGTTCATCTAGCTTAGCATGAAAGTACTCGGGAACCCCCTGTGTGGTATCTCTCTGCCATCTGCTCACTCTGAGGTATACTTCTCCTGGGCATTCAGGTTCCATTTAGCTACTAGCTGCCCCTCTTTCCTCCCATTATTCCATCCAGCCCATTTTCTTTTAACGAGAGGGAGGTTTGGAGAGTAGCAACAAGGGTGGGAGGGGGCTGTTCAGTTTTGGCACACTCTTCCCAGTGAGATTCACTGGGGCACCATCGTTAAGACCTATTTCAGCCCCAGGCAGAAATATCTCTTTTCTTCCAGGCATTTTGATTTGTGATCATTTTGCAGGCTGTCGACGGCAGGTGTTTGCTGCTGACCTTTTGTTATTGCGTCTGCCATGTACCGTATTTTTCGCCCTATAGGACGCACTTTTTCCCCTCCAAAAATGAAGGGGAAATCTGTGTGCGTCCTATGGGGCAAATACAGGCTTTTGCTGAAGCTTGGAGAGCGAGAGGGTCGGTGTGCACTCTCCAGGCTTCAGGAAACTATCAGCAAGCCTGGGGAGCTCGCGGGAGTTCCCACAGGGCTCCCTAGGCTGCGGGTAGCACCCTGCTGCACGGAGCGAGGGGCACGCTGAAGCAGAGCGCCTTGCGCTTCGGGCAGACATCGGCCAGCCCCCCAAGCTCGGGGGACAGCGGGGAGGCGCAGCGCTGCCATCCCGCTGTTCCTCGACCTGGTTTGGCTTCCCCGACCTGGTTTTGGGGGGGGGAAATAAAGGAAATTTTTTTCCCTTTATTTCCCCCCCCCCCAAAAAAAAAACTAGGTGCGTCCTATGGGACGGAGCATCCTATGGGATGAAAAATACGGTAGTTTACTTCATGGTTTCTCTCGCAAATCCCCCAATCTTTCAGTGTGGCTTTATACCAGGCACGGGGAAAACCCTGGCCCTCCGGATGTGACTGCACTACAACTCCCAGCATCCCTGGCTGTTGGGCCATGCTGGCTGCTGGGAGTTGTAGTCCAGCAACATCTGGAGGGCTTTTTAAGAACTTGGAAGCCTCTTGAAGAACTCTGCATGGCGAGTAATAATAAATAAGAGCACCAGTTAAATCACCTTTCTTCCAATGGATTCCATTCCTTTCTTTGTTACTGCCTGAGATTTATGCCATGGCTTGCCCTACGAGTGGTAAAAGATCTGTGTGTCCTTCTGATGTTCCTTTTCCTCCGCCACAACCCCAAAATCAAACTCTGTGCTTAATCTAAATTATGCAGATTGAGGGCGCCTTTGCATAGGATCCGTCAACTTTCTGTAGACCGTCCTGCAAGCACTCTGGGCTGTCTGGGTGATGGAATGTGGTGGTGAAAGTTGGGAAATGTGGAGGGGACGGTTAGATGGCCAACATGATAAGTTTGGAGAGGGAGGGGAAGAGGCAGGAACGAGTAGCTCCATGCTCTGAGAAGGCTCCCTCTGCTATCTTATAAAGTCTGTGTCCTCCATGTATTGGCTGAGTGGTAAGCAGGACCAGAGGCAAAAGTGGGCAGCCATGTTGATGATAATAGTCTAGTTTATTGCACACCCCTCTATACCTTCATCCCAGTGAGAGGCATGGTCCGAGTTCGAGGACACATCCCAGCCAGGCCAAACTCAATGCGGGTGCGAAGCAGGGCTGGTGATGAGGGGTGTGGCCTGAGGAGAGTCCTGAGGGCCAGAGAGAGAGATGTGGAGGGCCGCATAAAAAGGGCCAGCTGGATCAGACCCAACATCTAGTCCCGCATCCTGTTCTTACTAGTGTTAGAAACTCAGATATATAAGCTATTTGCTAAACGGCACCTTAAACCTAGGTTACAGTCACTGCAACAGAATGTCCAGTCACAATTTTTTCACAATATTTTTTAACAATTCAGTTGCACATTCCAGCAATTACAGTAATTTCCGCCCCCCCCCCCAAAAAAAACACGTGAATGAATACACAATCCACATCGGTGACACATTTTTAATGCCACATTTTTAATCGCAGTTGTCAGTTGGAAACCACAAATGTAAACTGGGCAATCTTACTTTGAATTCAACCAAGGAATGAATCTGTGGTAGCCAAAACCACAATACAGTCATATCTTGGGTTACAGCCACTTCAGGTTGCGTCTTTTCGGGTTGCGGACCGCCGAAACCCAGAAGTACCAGAACAGGTTACTTCAGGTTTCGGCGGCCGCGCATGCACAGAAGCACTAAATCGCGCTTTGCGCATGCGCAGAAGCACCGAATCGCAACCTGCACGTGCGCAGACACGGGTTGCGAACGCTGTGGGTTGCGAACGTGTATTCCGCGTGGATCACGTTCACAACCCGAGCGTCCACTGTACGTGCTTATCTTACTCTCTCGCACAGCCCAGGGTGGCAATTTTACTCTTGAGTCGTCAGCCAGCTGACTTGCACGGCAGCAATTTTACTCTTGCGCTGCAGTGCGCAGCCAGGTGGTGGAGATGTCAGTCGCAGTACCTGCAGCAAGACATTTCAAATTGGTTGCAAGTAGACCATTCCCAGTCACAAAACACGCTTGAATACCGGGAAATTCTGAACACTGGTTCTTACAGTAGCCAGACACCATATCCTGGCGGCGAGGTCACAAGCAGGACCCGGGCACAAGAGCAACTCTCCCCTCTTGGGGTTTCCAGCTAGTGGTTTCAACACACCCACCACCATGGAACTTACTTGACTCTTGGCTCAGCTATCCGAAGCGAAATTGGAGAGATTTCTCCCCCCTCTCCTATTACTAGAATTTGCAGAGCGGAGGTTGTGGGGAGACCTCAGCGCACCACAACAAGACTGCAGTTGCAGGATTAGAGGGCTTTAAGGAAGGAATTGAAACAACTGCATGCTTAAACTATTGCCCTGGCTGCCCACATTTTACCGTGTTTGTATTGCAGGGCCACTGCGAGAACAGGATATTGGACTCAATGGGCCCTTGGTCTCTTCCACTAGGGGTCTTCCTAGATTCTTATGTGTGTGTGTTATTGAGGGGTGATGGCGGCTTAGACGAGGCCCCCAAAACCCGGTTCTAGTGCAGGGAGGGGTTTACTTCTCCGGGGAAGTTGCGGCATCTACTGTCTTTATGAAGTTCATTTTTATCACCCATTTGAAATTCATTTATTTTTATTTAGCTTATAAAATTTTATGCTGGTTAATTGTTAAAAAAGAAAACCCTAAAAGTGGTTTACAAAAAGAATAAAACTATAAGTAAAGACACTAGTTAAACACTTCATAAAGTCAGTAGTTAAACACAGCTGTTTAAAACATTTTTTTGAAAATTAAGATCGGCGATAAGCGAAAAGCAGATTGAGACACGTGAATGTTTTACCCAGAGCTCTCCGATCTCTATCTTCCTATGTGCGTAATGTGTATCCATTATATCTGTCTGTCTATCTCTTTATTGATTAAGTGGTATATAAACCTTGCTGAGTAGGAATAAATAAATGTTCTGGCACTGAAATGGCTTTTTTTCTTTTTGCTCGAATCGCCGATTTAGCTCCAGGCCCAGAAGCTGCGTTTGGCGCATAGTCGAGGCCCGTACTATGGCGGCTCTTTACCCAACGTCAACCAGATTGGGAGCGGCACCTCTGAGTTTCAGGTAACTGGGGACGCAGGCCTTGCATTGGTCCTGGGCTGCTCTTCCTCTGGCAGAGGCTTCTTTCCCGAATTTGGTTCTCTTTCCACAATGTGACTGAGCCTTAGATAAACGAGGCCTTAGATAAATGAGGGCAGAATTGGGTCCCCCTCCTGTGCTCTTGAATAGCCAGGGGGCCAGTTGGAAACCTAACAGGTGATGTTTCCCCCATCTCTGAGCTGGACCTGTTGAATTAGTGACTCAGACAGTTGCACTACACAACCCTGCTGTGAAGTGGATCTGATTTTTCTATGGTGCCCCCAGCAGAAGTGTGGGAGGTGGTAGTAAAGGGGGAGTGTTGATAAACCCTGAAGTTGTAAAATCTCCTTTCCGACCTATCTATAGGAGTCTGCATGTGAGCGTGATTTCCCCCACCCTCCTGGCTATAGGGAACAGTCTCTTGCTTTGGATCAGGACTGAGGTGGGTGGGGGTTAGGAAATATCTGAAATTCCGAGGCGCTGGCATTTAATTTTTGACATACCAGCCCTCTAAGAGCAGGCTGATAAACATCGTAAATCGGAAGGAGGGTTGGCTTGTGCCTAGTTGTGTGGGTGTGTGGGGTTTTCCCCTGATCAGTCCCTCTCGAAGAGTTGGGCCACCCACCGTTGCCTGTGTGTGGTATGGTATTATTCTCACTTACCTTTTCCCTCTGTCTAGGAGGATGCTCTAGAAAACAGGGGTGTTAAATGAGAGATGCTATTAGAATGGGCAGGGGTGTATGACTGAGCATCTGCCAATAATAATACAGTGGTACCTCTAGTTACGAACTTAATTCGTTCCGGAGGTCCGTTCTTAACCCGAAAGTGTTCTTAACCTGAAGCACCACTTTAGCTAATGGGGCCTCCCGCTGCTGCCGTGTGATTTCTGTTCTCATCCTGAAGCAAAGTTCTTAACCCAAGGTACTATTTCTGGGTTAGCGGAGTCTGTAACCTGAAGCGTATGTAACAACCTGAGGTACCACTTTAGTACCTTGGGTTAAGAACTTTGCTTCAGGATGAGAACAGAAATCGTGTGACGGCGGTGCGGCGGCCCCATTAGCTAAAGTGGTGCTTCAGGTTGAGAACAGTTTCAGGTTAAGAACAGACCTCCAGAACGAATTAAGTTCTTAACCGAGGTACCACTGTATTTGAACGGCAACCCCTGTCAATTTTTTGGGGGGGGGGGGGCAAAGACCCCTTGGCCCCTAGGAACTGGCTCCTATGATTCAGTGCCCCATACCTGTGTTTCCCCATTTCTCCTCTGGAGATCCTGATTCTAAAACCCCTTGGGTGCCTTTAAAAGAGGATTGGACAAATTCACGGAGGAGAGAGAGAGAGCTGTCAATGGATGCTAGCCATGGTGGCTGTTCTCTGCCTCCGCTGCTGGAGAAAACAATGCTTCTGAATCTCAACTGCTGGAAGCCACAGGAGGGGGAGAGTTGCTGCCATGCTCAGGTCTTGTTCCCCACAGGCATCCGGTCGGCCACCGTGAGGACAGGTCGCTGGACTAGGTGGGATCCAGCAGCCAGGCTTCTCTTATGACTTCTCCTAAGGAAGTCAGATTAGCCTCAACCAGAGCCAGGGCCTTTTCAACACTGGCTCCAGCCTGGTGGAACGCTCTGTCTCATGAGACCAGGGCCCTGCAGGATCTGATTTCTTTCCGCAGAGCCTGCAAGACAGAGTTGTTCCACCTGGCCTTTGGCTTGGAATCAACTTGATCCCCTCCCCCTCTTTCCTTTTTCCTTTCTCCTTCTGTGATGGAACCCCTATTTGGGGACTTCCCTGGCTTTTTTCTGGCCCACGTAGGACCAGTCTGGATAGTTGGCCTTGGTGAAGATTTGACATTTTCATCCCCCCAAAAGTTTTTGATTTGAGTTTCTGCTGAAATGAGGCTGCATTTTAATGTTGTATTTTAATCTTGTTTTTAAGTTGTATTTTAATCATTGTTTTTATACCTGGTGTTAGCTGCCCTTGGCTGGGGAGGGCGGCGTATAAATAAAATTTATTATTATTAGTATTATCATCATCATCATCATCATCGTCATCTCCTTTAACTCTGCTTCCCCCCACTCCCTTCTTGTTTCCGTCCAGGGTCCCCTCCATTCGCCGCTGGACTCTGCCCGCGGCACGCGGCACCACGGTTTGGTGGAACGGGTGCAGCGGGATCCCCGGAGGATGATGTCTCCGCTCCGCCGCTACATGCGTCAGATATCCTTTTGGCCTCCCGCGTCTTCTCCTGCACCGCAGGTGTCCCCTCCCCTCCCCACCCACAACTTTCCCCGCTTTGATTCATCTCCACGCTGGGGATTAAAAAGCATTAAGGGAAATCGAACCAAAAAAATAGAAACCACTGCACCGCTCCATCTGTGGAGTCTTGCTCTAATGGCAGCAAACTCCCTCCCCTCCAAATCTCTGAGCCGACTTCTTCCTTAACCTCCTGCTCACATCGACAGCTCCCCCTACAGCCCTGCCTATGTTTCGCCACCGGCCGAACCCAGCTGGAGGAGGTAAAGCTCGTGCCGTCTCTTGAGTGAGGTCTGAAGTCCTCCCCCCCCCCGCACTGTGAAAACCTCCATCTCCTTGCCTTTTCTTCTTGGCCAGATGCTGTCGGACTCCATGAGAGCCAGTGTGGTGTAGTGGTTAAGAGCGGTAGTCTTGCAATCTGGGGAACCGGGTTCGCTTCCCCGCTCCTCCACCTGCAACTGCTGGGTGACCTTGGGCCAGTCACACTTCTCTGAAGTCTCTCAGCCCCACTCACCTCACAGAGTGTTTGTTGTGGGGGAGGAAGGGAAAGGAGAATGTTAGCCGCTTTGAGACTCCTTCGGGTAGTGATAAAGCTGGATAGCAAATCCAAACTCTTCTTCCAGTCCCTATTGGTCCCAGTCTGCATGGTTGGTGGGCAAGGATGATTGGAACTGTAATTTACAACCCCCAGAAAGGTTGTAGTCCATAACTCCTGGCCTTAAGCTCCCTTAAGCATCTTTTTGCATGGAAGAGGAGAGGCACAGCTAATATCTATGGGGCGGGTAGAGGGAAGTAGCCAAAGCGATGTGCACTGTGGGTGTTGTCAGACTCTCGGCTCCCGTCATCCCCCGCAGCCAACATGGCAAATGAGCTCCTTCCTAGTGGATGCCCCAAACAATCAGGGATCACACATTAAATGCAGGGATGGGGAGCCAGGTGTTGTTGGACTCCAGTGCCCATGATCTTCAGCCAGCATCCCCAAGGATCAGGCATGCTGGGAGTTGTAGTCCAGAAACCTCTGGAAGGCTGCTTGGTTTCTTCACTCTTGGTGTAGCAGTTGGCACTGTTGGCAGGGAGACTCAGGGTCAATTCTCAAAGCTCATTGGGTCCCCCTGCGCAAGTCACTCTCCTGCTCAGCTTGACCAGCTAGAGATGGCAGGTGTGAGGGTACCATTCTGTATGATCTCCCCTGCTAAAAAGGGCGGTGTCCAATGGTAGGCCTACGTGCAGTAGATTTGCTGAAATTAATGGTCATGTGTAACTTAGGCCCATTAATTTCAGTGGGCTACACTCAGCAGTCATGGGACGCGGGTGGTGCTGTGGGTTAAACCACAGAGCCTAGGGCTTGCTGATCAGAAGGTTGGCGGTTCGAATCCCCGCGCCGGGGTGAGCTCCCGTTGCTCGGTCCCTGCTCCTGCCAACCTAGCAGTTCGAAAGCACGAAGTACAAGTAGATAAATAGGTACCGCTCTGGCAGGAAGGTAAACGGCGTTTCCGTGCACTGCTCTGGTTTGCCAGAAGCAGCTTAGTCATGCTAGCCACATAACCCGGAAGCTGTACACCGGCTCCCTCAGCCAATAACGCGAGATGAGCGCCACAACCCCAGAGTCAGCCACGACTGGACCTAATGGTCAGGGGTCCCTTTACCTTTTTACTCTCAGCAGAATATGGCTGTATTCACCCCAAACATTGAAAGTGCTTTGATACTGCTTCAAGCAGTCATGGCTTCCCGCAAAGAGTTCTGGGAGCTGTAGTTTGTTCTGGGTGCTTAGAGCTGTTAGGAAACCTCATTCCCCTCCCAGAGCTACATTCCCAGAGTTACCTGGGAAGAGGGAACGGTTGTTTAACCACTACGGGGATTGTAGCTCTGGGAGGGGAACGGGGGTCTCGTAACAGCACCTCGAACAAATTACATCTCCCAGAATTCTTCACTAATTGTTTAAAGCGGTGCCATAGCACTTTAAATGTCTGGTGCAAATGTGGCCTTTGTTGGACAGGATCCCAAACCATCACAAGTTCAGCTAACTATAGCAGGCTTGTTTCCAACCTGCAGAAATGTATTTATATTTTTAAGGAGGGGAACATTCCCCAAAAACGTTCCCTCCTTGCGGTCTGAAGTGGTGCAGATCATTCCTTTCTCGCCTCAGAATTTCTCTGCCACGTTCTGCTGCCTCGGTAGAATGGGGCCCTTCTTTTGCCTAAGACAGGAAGGGACTTTCAAAATCACTTTCCTCCTCTAATGTTGTCCCTGTAGCAGGAGGCTGTGTCAAATGTCATACAGCTCTCTGAGAAAGCCTCACTTGAGAGAGCACCTCCTCCCCAGTCCTTCACTGCCTCGTCTCTTGGACCTCTGAGCATGTTCTGGCAATGTGGATGGGAGACACAGTGAAACTGAAAGACTACTGGTCATGTGTCCTCCCTTATGCAGGGAAGTTTGGTAGTACATTTCATCTACAGTGGTACCTCGGGTTACATACACTTCAGGTTACACACTCTGCTAACCCAGAAATAGTGCTTCAGGTTAAGAACTTTGCTTCAGGATAAGAACAAAAATCGGGCTCCGGCGGCACGGCAGCAGCAGGAGGCCCCATTAGCTAAAGTGGTGCTTCAGGTTAAGATCAGTTTCAGGTTAAGAACAGACCTCCGGAACAAATTAAGTACTTAACCCGAGGTACCACTGTATTAAAAACACATGCATGCATTTCCCAGTTTTCCTGGGGTGGGGGTGGAAGGGGGCGGTTCCCCCTGCCATTCTGTTGGGTAATTAAACAAACCCCTGTGTTGCAAAATATGAGTCAGCAATATCAAAAGCAACACGATGGGCCAGAAACAATTACAATGTGAAAAACTTTATGGAATAATTCAAAACATCAAAACTAACTAATGGATCTAAACTACAAGAAAGAAGATTCCACCTAAACATTAGGAAGAACTTCCTGACAGTAGGAGCTGTTCGACAGTGGAATTTGCTGCCAAGGAGTGTGGTGGAGTCTCCTTCTTTGGAGGTCTTTAAGCAGAGGCTTGACAACCATATGTCAGGAGTGCTCTGATGGTGTTTCCTGCTTGGCAGGGGGTTGGACTCGATGGCCCTTGTGGTCTCTTCCAACTCTATGATTCTATGATTCTATGATTCTGTCATTCTATGATTCTAACAAACTGAAGTCTCTGAAAGTCCTTAAATGAATCACGGTGCCAGACTTTACTCTGGAACATTGACTACATAATCGCATGAGCACTGTTCCAGAGTATTTTTCATTCTCATGTATATAATATCTATTCAAAAAAAGATTGGTTAATGAAGAAATTGCATATCTTTCTACTTACGAGTGTTGAACTAATTGGCTGATGAAGAATTCAACGAAACAGTAGTTGTTATCCGGAAACACTGTACAGCAGAGTTCAGAGTTGGGCATCAGAACTGCGACATTTGCTGATTATACAAAGCTTCACAGCTTGCTCTCCACCGGGTAAAGTCAGGGACCGTGATTCGTGATTAAGGACTTTCAGAGACTTTCAGAGACTTCAGTTTGTTAGTTTTGATGTTTTGAATTATTTCATAAAGTTTTTCACATTGTAATTATTTCTGGCCATCGTGTTGGTTCTGTTGGGTAAGCAGAAAGTACTTTTGGGTATTAACAATGCCAAGGGCGTCCTGAGAGGACTCCCTGGCTTGTTTTTCTATTCAAGAGCATTATGGGTAATTAGAGCGAAGGAGAGGAATTTTGGGATAGCCTTCTGCAGAAAGCGCTATGATCTTACTTCAAACAGTTATGGCTCCCCTCAAGGAATTGTGGGAACTGTCACCAGTAATCGTTAGTTCCCAGAGTGGCAATTCCCAGAATTCCCTCTGAAGAGAGATTGATCGTTGAACCGCTCTGGGAATTGTAGCTCTGGGAGGGGAATAGGGGGCCCTAAGACTCCCCACATCCCAGTACCGATCTTCCTTTTCCTCTGTTTACTTCCCCCTGACATGTTTCTGGTCCCTTAGAAGTAATCCACTTGCTTTTTCCCCACCCCATTGTGAAGGACAATGCCCTGGGGGAACTTTCCGATGGAGAAAGGACACTTGTTTAGGCTGCCGGCAGCACTCAACAGGTGAGCCACTTTTTCGATTCTGTATTTCCTTCCCCTTTTATTCCGTGCCAGGTTCTTGCTAACTGGGCTGCAAGTGTGTGGTCTTGAGTACAGAAGGAAGGGCGGCATCATCTCTTGTGGGGGGCTTGGCGAGCAAATTTGTTATGGTATCTTCTGCTGCCGTAGTCATCGAAGAAGTTTAGTCTTAAGGCAGGGAAGAAATGTCCAAGCCCGCAACAACTCTCGCTGTTCACTTTTTGTTCCTAAAGATGCTTTCAAGAGATGCCTTGGCCAATGTATTCTGTGCTTTGGTAACGCTGAGATCGTATTGTTGCAATGTGCTCTACGTGGGGCTGCCCTCGAAGGCAGCTCCGAAACTTCAACCCGTCCAAAATGCAGCGACTGGCCATTTTAAAGCAGCAGCACCTGTTGCCAGTTTGTTTCCTGATCCAATTCAAGATGCCCACGTTACCGTTTGAAGTCCTAAATGACAAGTCCCAAATTCTTGAAAGACCACCTCCTTCCCTACAGACCCCCTCAGGTTCTGAGTTTGGCGGGGGGTGGGGTGCTGCTGTTAGCGTTTCTCTGCCCTCAATAGCTCAGGGTGGCGGGCGCCCAGGAGAAGGGCCTACTCTGTGGTGGCCCCTAAGCTGTGGAACTCCCTGTTGGCAGAGGTGCATTGGGCACCTTCATTATTCAGCTTCCAAAGGTTGCAGAAGACACACCTCTTTGCCCTGGCTTTTGACCCTTGAGGTGTATATTTTTAGGACTCGTTTTTGTGATTGCAAATTGCTTTTTTTAACGTTGTGTTTTAATGGTGTAGGGCAGGTAATGATAATAGCAATAGGAATAATAATGAATCATACCATTTATGTGCAGCTTAAGCCTTACTCTTTGCAAAGCTTTAAAGTATTTTCATATCTGTCTTACAAAAAAACATAAGCTATCCATTTATTATCCTGACTTTTTATTTCATTTTCTGCATCTTTTTTAAAAAAAATTTCACCAGGGAGGTTAGTGCAAGATTCAAGGTTTTTATTTTGAAACAAACCTTTTTTTCCAGGTGCAAGGATTTTCCTGCCTACACCCCCCCTTATCTCACAGGGATAGATTTTATTTTACCTCGCCACCCTTCTCATCTTCCCTGTTTGTGTGAGAGACCCTGGCCCAGAAGAACCATCTTTTGCTGCTGCCCCCTCTATATAAAAAAAAGAAGTCCCGTTTTTGCTTCAGTAGACAAGGGAATGGCTTCCGGCTGGTTGCACGCATCTCTGCTGGGCTCGGCCAACAATGCCCCTGTTGTTTTCCCCTGGGGAGCGACACGGATTCTTCCCCCGTGACGTCACTCCCTCCCTCGCCCTTCTCCCAGCCCCGGGTCCCAAAAGCACAGTTAAAAAACTCTGGGAAGCTTGTGGAAGCGAGGAGCCTGGCAAGGCAGCGGCTGTTCTTCCCCTGCCCACGCTTCCTCCCCCTGCCAGCCGACGGACAGGCTCTGCCTTGTCTGGGTCTCTGGGTGCTTTCTCATTGGCAATGGCTCTTCCTTCTCTCCCATCCCCACCGCCCTGTGTCTCCCACCGCATCTTTGCCTCCGATCTGGGCGCTAATGAGGAGCACGGAAGACAGAAAGCCCTCGAAAAAGCAGCACATAGGATGATCATGATCACTGCAGATGGTGACAGCAGTCGCGAAATTAAAAGACGCCTGCTTCTTGGGAGAAAAACAATGACAAACCTAGACAGCATCTTAAAAAGCAGAGACATCACCTTGCCAACAATGGTCCGTATAGTTAAAGCCATGGTTTTCCCAGTAGTGATGTATGGAAGTGAGAGCTGGACCATAAAGCAGGCTGATCGCCGAAGAATTGATGCTTTTGCATTATGGTTCTGGAGGAGACTCTTGAGAGTCCCGTGGACTGCAAGAAGATCAAACCTATCCATTCTGAAGGAAATCAGCCCTGAGTGCTCACTGGAAGGACAGATCCTGAAGCTGAGGCTCCAGTACTTTGGCCACCTCATGAGAAGAGAAGACTCCCTGGAAAAGACCCTGATGTTGGGAATGATGGAGGGGACAAGGATAAGGGGACGGCAGAGGACGAGGTGGTTGGCTAGTGTTCTTGAAGCTACCAGCATGAGTTTAACCAAACTGCGGAAGGCAGTGGAAGACAGGAGTGCCTGGTGTGCTCTGGTCCAGGGGGTCACGAAGAGTCGGACATGACTAAACAACAACAGGATAGGACATGGAGAAGAACTGGCCCTGCTGTAGACAGATCCAGCCCCTCCTGCAAAACATAGGGTGCCCTCCCCACCCCACGGAGACCCCAGTATGCAACACAGTTTTGCACAGGAGCTTCAGGGAGAAGAATTATGTGTGCGCAGCCGCAGCTTTTGATTTGATTTGATTTAGTAGTTATATTCCACTTTTCCAGCGACAAAATGTTGAGCCCAAAGCGTCTCACGACCAACACGGTTGCATTATAAAGCAACAAAAATCGCAAACCCGGTAGCATATAAATAAAGCAAACAGCAGCAAATTCATCAAAACAATTAATACCATTCAGTAAAGTCAAAGGAATTCAAAATTTCAGAAATATCATACCTGCACATTTACTTACTTAAATGCACACACCACCCTTCTTCCAAAGGTCACAGGACGGTTTGCAGCATAAAACCACAAAATGCATAACCCAGTAACAATAATTATAATACCCCTTCCCGCTACTATACATTTTTAAAACCCTATGACACCACTTTGACAAGTCATGGCTTCGCTCGCAAGGAATCCTGGGAAAACAGTTTGTTGTGTGTGCTGAGAGTTGTTAGGAGACTCCCCCTGGTGGTGTGTGGTTGTGGGTCAAATTCAAAGGAGTGGTTTGGTCTGTGTTGGGGAAGGAACAGCTATTAGCTTATCGAGCTTGCCTGTGTGCTAAGAATATCCGGGATTCCCCACCTGCCCCCTTGTTTCCACAGCAACCTCCTGCGTTGCTGTTCCAGCTTTGACAATTCTAAAGACTTCACGTGTCAAATTTTTATTGAACTTCCAAATCTTGACCTATGAATTCCAGATTTCAGATTTGTTGTACATTTCTCTTTAAACTTTGGCTTCCCTCCTTTCCTTCTGTGCTGTTCTTAATCCTATCCCATTTACACTGGTCCTGAAAGACCTACATTGGCTCCCAGTATGTTTCCGAGCACAATTCAAAGTGTTGGTGCTGACCTTTAAAGCCCTAAATAGCCTCGGCCCAGTATACCTGAAGGAGCGTCTCCACCCCCACTGAGGTCCAGCTCTGAAGGCCTTCTGGCAGTTCCCTCCCTGCGAGAAGCGAAGGCACAGGGAACCAGGCAGAGGGCCTTCTCGGGAGTGGCACCCGCCTTGTGGAACGCCCTCCCACCAGATTCAAGGAAATAAACAACTGTCTTGACTTTTAGAAGACATCTGAAGGCAGCCCTGTTTAGGGAAGTTTTAAATGTTTTATATCTTACTGTGTTTTTAATATTCTGTTGGGAGCCACCCAGAGTGGCTGGGGAAACCCAGCCAGATGGGCGGGGTATTTATTATTATTATTATTATTATTATTATTATGCATTCTAATGTTTGTCTCCCCCCCCTTAATTCTCCCCTCTACCCTTGCAAAGCAGAACAAATTCTGATTCCGCCCTGCACACGAGCGTGATGAACCCCAATCCGCAGGACACGTACCTGGGGCCCTCCCAGGGCGCCCCCCCTCCAAATCGCAAGAGCGGTGAGTGGTCCTTTTCCTCTGTCGGAGGGCAGGGGAGATCGCCTCTTCCCTCCCATCAAAGGGTGGATGGGTCAGAGGAAAGGATGGGAATGACTTTGGCCGTCCCCAATTTTGTGCCATCCAAACTCCTTGATTTTTATTTTATTTTTTAATGTGCTGATCAGCAGACTAGCCAGGGAAATTTGGCTCTATTCCCACTATACATTTAAAGCACTATGCTGCCCCTTTTGAACAGTCATGGCTTCCCCCAAAGGATTCTGGGAGCTGTAGTTTGTCAAGGGTGCTGAAAGCCTGGTTGAACTTGATCTTATTCTGCGCCCCCTTTCTCCTTCCTGCCCCCCAGGTTACTTGGATAACGACATGGATAGCAAAGGTAACCACTGTCTCCTTGCTTCTCTCCCCCCCCCTTTCCTTGCCTGGTGAATTTCTTAGGCCCTGTAATTCTATTCCAAGAAAGGGGAGTCCCTTGCCAGCAAGGCTGGCCTATACGTTTGGGGCGCTGGGTTGTCCGTTCCCATGGTGATTAGGAAAAGGGTTTGTCTACCCCCCCCCCCAGCAAGGGCACTGAAAACTCCCAGGCTGACTGGCGAGTCAGCAATGGCGTAGCGGTTAAGACTATGACGCAGAAGAGACCGTAGTTCAAATCCGCAAAGCTTGCTGGGCTACCTCAGGCCAATTGCTGTCTCTCGGCCTCAGCTACCTCACAGGGTTTTTGTGGTGATTATTATTATTATTATTCTGAATTTGCATTTTATTTATTTGTTAACATTCTTATATTACATTGGTAAACGTTGTCATATTACATTACAGGGCTTACTATAATATAATTTCCAACACATATACATAAATTATATACAAATTTTATATACCTAGAAAGAAAACGAAACAAAAAAAGAAAGAACAAAGAGAAAAAACAAAAACTAATCCTCCCCAAAAAACCATATACATACCATTTCTGTCTTTCCCGTTGTATATTCTGGGTTTTTGTGGTGGTCAAGTGAGGAGAGGTGGGGTCTGAACCACAAACACCACGCTGAGCTCCCTGGAGAAAAAGGCGGGATATAAATGCAAGAAATTGTGAAATAAAACCACACACAACAGTGCAACAGTGGGGCAGCCACTGTGTAAAAATTTAAGGCGATTTGGGTGCCCTTGCAAAAAAAAAAAGAACATCAGTGCTTCCTTAGAATCAACACAGTTCCCCCCCCTCAACTGACCGTTTCCTGACATTGAGACTACATATCCCATCATGCTCTGGTGGTCTATGTGCTCGATCAGGGCATGCTGGGAGATATGGTGTGGACCCAGCTGGGGAAACGCCAGTTCCCTGCAGCCTTGCCTCTCAACACCACAGGGGCGTGGCTTCCCCAGGCTCCACCCCTGAAGGGGAGGAGCCACAACTGGCCTGACCAGCTGTCCTGTCTCCACCTGACCCCAGGGGATAGCTCAAGTCGGTAGAGCATGAGACTCTTAACCTCAGGACCATAGGTTTGGGCCCCATGTTGGGTGAAAGATTCCGGCATTTGCAGGGGATCGGACTGGATCAGGGTTTCCCAAAACTGGGTCGCAGACTGTTTTTGGACTACAGTTCCCATCATCCCTAGATAGGAGGACCAGTGGTCAGGGATGATGGGAGTTGTAGTCCCAAAACAGCTGGAGACCCAAGTTTGGGGAACCCTGGGGCTAGGTGATCCTCATGGTGATCCTTCCAATTCTACGATTCTGTGGTGTTCTTCTCTTCCAGTGTTTCCTTTCCATGTGCCTTCCATCGAGGAGAGTCTCCTGGACGACGGCAAGCAGTTGCTGAAGCCCTGGGACACCAAAAAAGTAGGTGAATTGTGCACAGTTTGAGATTCCGACAAAGGCTACAGCCCCCAGACACTTGTTTTTTTTGATTTGGCATTCCTTGATCACATAGGCATTGGAACCCCATGTGGCCAATTGGTTCCCCATATCTGTATATTGATTTTCAGTTGACTCCACCTTCCTCTTTTCCTCTCTCAGCTCTCCTCATCGTCTGCCCGTCCAAGGTCCTGCGAGGTGCCTGGGATCCAGTAAGTATCAGCGCAGATTTCCAACTTGGAAGCCCTTCTATCCCGGCTCAGTCCCCAAATTCCAGCCTCAAACACAAGTCAGTCATTTAGTGTCACCAGTCCCATGCTAGGGAACGGCCTTCTAGCAGAGAGATGATGGGCAACCCTCACTTTTGACTCTCAGGCATCTCTTTTATTTATTCTTATAACAAAGTTTGTTTCATTGCATACCGCCCTGATAATTTACGATTTTGCATTGTGGGAAATACATTAATATATACCGTATTTTTTGCTCTATAAGATGCACCAGACCATAAGACGCACCTAGTTTTTGGAGAAGGAAAACAAGAAAAGAAATATTCTGAATCCCAGAAGCCAGAACAGCAAGAGGGATCGCTGCACAGCGAAAGCAGTGATCCCTCTTGCTGTTCTGCCTTCTGGGATAGCTGCGCAGCCTGCATTCGCTCCATAAGACGCACACACATTTCCCCTTACTTTTTAGGAGGGAAAAAGTGAGTCTTATATAGAGCAAAAAATACGGTAAATATAGATCCACCTGTGTCTAACTTACCCTCTTAAATGATAGGTTGGGGATTTGCAGCAGGCTGGATATTTAGGCCTATAACAATAATGATGGTGATCATGTAATTCTGTTCTTTTTTTAAATGAATATTACCTCCCCATGTTAAAAAAGCGAAGCACAACTCCCTGCAGCTAGAAAGGATGCACGTGCGGGGGTGGGGAGAGGTTTTGTGCACATTTTCTTTTCTTTTTTTTAAAAGATATTTATTAGGAGTTTACAAGTTACAGAAAAAGAAAGAGAACAATAAAGAATTAAACAAAACAAAACAATACCTTACAATACATCAAAAAAACAAAAACAAAAAACAAAAAAATACAATAAAACAACGAAAAAACAGAACAAAAACATTTAAAAACACATCCAACCTTTCCATGTCTTTACCTTTCATATACTTGTTTCATCGACCTCCTCACACCTCCCTTTTTTGTATTCTAGTTCAATTAGCTATTTCAGCAAGTCCTTTCCATCTTTCTCAATTTTCGTTCTAAAATTTCACTTAAGACACTCTAACCTTAAATTTTTTTCCACTTTGGTCCATTAACAATCTATTTTTACTTAATTCTTTATAACATTTCTGCTAAAGCCATATAGCTCCGTTCCAGCATCCTTCTAACATTCATTAATTTTGCAATATTTCTGTAAATGTACTTTAAATTTCTTCCAATCCTCTTCCACCGACTCTTCTCCCTGGTCTCGGATTCTGCCAGTCATTTCCGCCAGTTCCATGTAGTCCATCAGCTTCATCTGCCATTGGTTTTGTGCACATTTTCTAACTGCAGGGATTTTGGAGAATTGCATTAAAAATGTGATACCTGCCAACCTGCATTTGAAGTGATGCATTACGCTCTCTGTGTGTAAACCCATCTGAAGTTTGAGTCCTCACCAGAATGACATCTCTCCCTCTGCCGGTCTCTCTTTCAGCATCTTCCCATCCCCAGACCAGCCTGCCAACCTGCCTCTGATCCCCACCGCCCTCAACACGGGGGGCTCCCTCCCGGACCTCACCAACCTCCACTTCCCCTCTCCGCTGCCCACGCCGCTGGACCCGGAGGAGTCCGCCTACCCTAGCCTGAGTGGCGGCAGCAGCACCGGCAACTTGGCCAACACCATGACACACCTGGGCATCAGCGGCGGCATGGGGCTCGGCCCCGGCTACGACTCCTCAGGTGACACCTTGACCGTGCGCAGAGGAGCCCAGCCGGGCAACTCAGGAGAAGCGCTGGGGCGGGGTGTGTGTGTGTGAAGGCTTGGTGTGTGTGTGTGTAGCCAAACAGTGGGCAGAACCACAGGATAGCCCCACGATTGGCCCTTCTTCAAACCACCAAACCGTGGGATATGGGGGAGCTGAAAGGACAGGAAATGTCTGTTCTGTAGGCCAGATGTAAATAAAAACAAATCAAAATTTATTATTGTTATTACAGTGGTGCCTCTGGTTACGTACTTAATTCGTTCCGGAGGTCCGTTCTTAACCTGAAACTGTTCTTAACCTGAAGCACCGCTTTAGCTAATGGGGCCTCCCGCTGCTGCCGTGCCACTGCCGCGCGATTTCTGTTCTCATCCTGAAGCAAAGTTCTTAACCCGAGGTATTATTTCTGGGTTAGCGGAGTCTGTAACCTGAAGCGTATGTAACCCGAGGTACCACTGTATTATTAGATGTGGGCCACCAGGCATTGGGTCTGGGGGGGCTGTTTTCACCACACCACCCCCCTGTGTCCCAAACAGGGCCACAAACAATTGGGAGCTTAAGAGTGAGTCCCTGATTCGTCCTTTGCTGGAGTATGGCGCACTGCCCCACCCGTTCCACTGATGGGCAAGACAGGGAGATTGCCTTCCTCCAGGGCCACTGGGGCTGCAGTGTTTAGTCGATCGACTGATCGGTTAGATCAACTGCCCCGCCAACCTGATGCCCTCCAGATTTTGCTGGCCACACCTCCCTTCACCCTCGACCTTTGACCCTTCCTGGCTGGGGCTGAAGGGAAGTGGAGTCCCACAACATTTGGAGGGCCCACCACCAGGTTCATCCATTTCAGTAGGTCTGCTCTGGGTAGGACTTAGTTGCATGCGACCCGTCAGACGCTGAGACTCTCGGTTGTATTCAGTCAAGTCCTGCTCAGAACAAACCCATTGGGGGGAATTCATCATAGCGCTAAGGAGATTGTTCCATCAGATAAGCAGAGATTGCTTGCAGTGGTGGAGCAGTCTTCTCTCTTCTTCTCCTGTGTGGGTTCTACACACACAAGCCAATTGTGGTGGGGGCACCGGGAAGAGAGTGGAGAAGTCCCATTGCTTTAGCATAAGTCCTCTGGCGGACTTCCACTAGTGGGATCTGTTAGTTACACCTGGCCTGTCAAAAGGAACGAACCCAAGTTGGGCATGTTCATTAACGGGTTTCTAAACCACAGAGCCTAGGGCTTGCCGATCAGAAGGTCGGCGGTTCGAATCCCCGCGACGGGGTGAGCTCCCGTTGCTCAGTCCCTGCTCCTGCCCACCTAGCAGTTCGAAGCACGTCCAAGTGCAAGTAGATAAATAGGTACCACTCCGGTGGGAAGGTAAACGGCGTTTCCGTGCGCTGCTCTGGTTCACCAGAAGTGGCTTAGTCCTGCTGGCCACATGACCCGGAAGCTGTACGCCGGCTCCCTCGGCCATTAAAGCGAGATGAGTGCCGCAACCCCAGAGTCGGCTACAACAGGACCTAATGGTCAGGGGTCCCTTTACCTTTTAAGTATGACAGTGCCATTAGCCCAGTGCCATCTGCTCTGGCAGCAACTTTCCAGGGTCTCCAGTCTTTCCCATTTCCCTGGCGCCTGAATCTATGACATGGTTCTGAACCCGATAACTTTAGCATAAGCTGGGGGCTCCCTCTGCCCTCCCATTCGGGTGGTGGGCATGTATCAACTCCCAGCCCTCTTGGGAGGTCTTCCTTCCACTCCCTTCTGAGGCCCATATGGTGGGCGTATGTGTCCATGACATTTTTCTGTTCTCACCTCCATCCGTGTGCTCCCATTCCCCCCCCCCAGTCCAAGATTGCGACACACAGGGCAGGGGGTGTTCATGTATCTCCATGGGTAATTGTGTGTGTGTGTGTGTGTGTGCACGCGAGGGAGACGTGGTTCACACCTAACGCTGAGCTAAACCGTGGCTTGCTGTGGTTTGGTGGATGTGCGGGTTCCCAGAGCAAAGATGCTCAGAGTGAAGAACACAGCTTCTTTGCTGCTTCCTTGTTCCTGTAAATGAAGCCATGGTTTGGCTTGGCACATTGCCCAGTCCTGGGCTCATGGTTTTTCTTTCTTCTGGGTTCGGACCTAACGGTAATCTAAATCACGGTTTAGTCCTGGATCGTACCTGAGCAGCAAGACTGGGTGGGAGGGCAGTTGTCATTCTGGGAACCTACAGTGCACCATGGTTTGGTTTAGCACATTGTGCCAACCAGGACTCATGGTTTATCTTGTTTCCGGGTTCAGATCTAACACCAAGCTGAACTGTGGTTTAGTCCTGGGTTGTACAGCAGCAACATGAGCATGTGGGGTGATCCGGAGTCCCATGGCTGTGACCAACACTCTGGGAACACACTGGTTTGCAGTACACCATGGTTTGTCTTAGCCAGGGGTCAGCTAACTTTTTCAGCAGGGGGCCGGTCCACTGTCCCTCAGACCTTGTGGGGGGCCGGATTATATTTTGAAAAATAAAATAAAAAACGAACAAATTCCTATGCCCCACAAATAACCCAGAGATGCATTTTAAATAAAAGGACACATTCTACTCATGTAAAAACACGTTGATTCCTGGACCATCCACGGGCTGGATTTAGAAGGCGATTGGGCCGGATCTGACCCCCGGGCCTTAGTTTGCCTACCCATGGTCTTAGCACATCCTCCAAACCCGAGCTTGCGGTTTATCTTGCTTCAAGGTTCAAACTTAATGCTACGCTAAACCAGGGTCGTGCGGCAGCAGGCAGACCGTCCTTCTGGCAAGCTGCTCGTTCGTTTCCACTCCATAGTTTGGCTCATAGCTGTCCACCTTTCCCTTTTCTTGCGAGGAATCCTATTCAGAATAAGGGAGTTTCCCTTAAAAGAAGGGAAACGTTGACAGCTATGGTTTGGCTCAGCGTCGGGTGCGAACCAGGCCTGTGTGTGGGTGTGTCTCCATTTCCTCTCCCTCCCCCCCACTCACATTTATTTATTTCGTTCTGTTCTTTCTTTTTGTCCCCACAGGGCTGTGCTCATCTATGCAGAGTTCCCTCAGTAACCCCTGCATCCAGTCCTCGCTTAGCAACCCCTCGCTGCAGGGCTCCCTGAGCAACCCCTCCCTCCGCTCTTCCCCCAGCAGCTCCTCCATCCCTTCCTCCATGAGCAACCAGTCCCTGCCCTCCTCCCTCAGCAACCCCTCCCTCTCGTCCTCCCTCAGCAACCCCTCCCTCCCCTCCTCGCTCGGCAGCCAATCGGGGCAGCCCAATCCCACCCTGCAGCAGCCTCAGCAGCAGCAGCAGCCCAGCTATGGCGGCTCCCCCTCCTCTGCTTCCTCCTCCGCCCCCACCTCCTCCTACGCCCCCCTGAACGCCTCGCCCCGCCGCCGGGTCCCCCTCAGCCCCTTGACCCTCCCAATGGGCGGAGACTCGAGAAGGCCGCACCCAAAACAGTTTTCGCCAACTATGTCACCCACATTGTCCTCCATCACGCAGGTACGCACGGGGCGCTCTTGGGCGCTCGCTTTCGGCCTCTGCCTTTTTTGAAGGATAACTTTTAGTTTGGTTCTTTTCCATCGTTGTGTGTTTTTCCCTCCCTCCATCTCATCTCAGCTTCCAGGGAAAAGCACCCACCCTCCTTTTCCTTCTCAGGTGGTAATTTTATGGAATTTCCCCCCCCCCAGGCCTCGTTTATTCTAGGCTGCTTCCAGAACCTTTTCCTGGTTCCTCTGTTTTTCCCCTCTGAAAGATTCCCAGGGGGGTCTAAGCAGGGTTGGCAGCGGAGCAACAGCGCCGGCTGCTGGGCTGTTTGGGAAGTGTTTCCTTCCTAGGCGCCGCGGCACACCTTAATGCGGCTCAAGCAACGTCAGTGCCATTCAGTTAAACGTCGCAGTTGGATCCGTAAATCCACACATTTTTGTTCCCATTGGCTGGAGACTGTTCAGGCCTGTGCATGTGTGCATTCTCTCCCAGTCCCTGACTTTAATGACCTCATCTCTTGCCAGTAAGGAGCAGGGCAAAGCCTCCGTCTCCCATCAACTCATTCCTCCTGGGCAGTTGTGGCCATCTCTCTGGGTTTTGGAGCTGCCTTTTCCCTAGGAGATGGCACCAGCTGTTCAGTGGAGCCAATGAAGGAAGAGATTGGTTTAAAAAGACAGCCAAGGAGAATGCAATGCTTTGGGGCAACCAGCAATCAGCCAGTTTCCTATCCGAGAAATGTGGCAGGCCTCCTAAATGTAAAAGATTAAAAAAAAAGAGGTGAAATTATTAGGACTCCCGTCCCCCAGCACACATGCATTAGGAACCTCCTTGCATAGCTAGTTTGCAACGAAATCAGACATTGTCCTGAGTGGTGGGGTGAATCAATATCTCTCCCCTCTCCTCACTTCACCCATTTGGATCTCTTGGCCTCCCCAGAGACTATTTGAGGGCTCCGTGTAGGACACATAAGTGCAACCCTGCAGGATCAGACCCAAACACCCATCTATTCCAGCATCCTATTCTCAGAGTGGCCAGTCAGATTCCTCCAGGAAGCCAAGAGGCAGGGCAGGAAGGCCCTCGCTGTTACTCGTAAGAGCAGCTCTGCAGGATCAGGCCCCAGACTCCATCAAGTCCAGCATCCTGTTCTCAGAGTGGCCAACCAGGAGCCAGACCGGGGGGGGGGGGAGAGAGACTTTGGCACAGTGCCATCCATGCCCCCCTCACACCTAGCGCAGGGCTCAGCCCTACCCTGACTTTAGAGCTATGAAATTAACAGAGATGGGGCCAGTGGGTAGCGGTGAGGGTCCCTTCCACACCCCTTAAGGCCCTTGGCCATTGCCAGGCCTGTCCAACAGGGAAGTCGCAAACAGGACCCGGGTACCACCCTGAGTTCCTGGGTGGGGAGAATGGCAGGATGTAGAAAATGGACTGTAAAAAGCAGCAGTACTGTATTTTTCACTCTATAGGACGTACTTCCCCCCCTCTAAAAATTAAGGGGAAATGTGTGTACGTCCTATGGAGTGAATGCAGGCTCCTTGGCTTCAGCGATAGCCGCCTGAAGCCTTCGGAGCGCAGCGCAAGTTCTCGCTGCGTTCCACAGGCTTCGGGTTCCTTTTGCTGAAGCCGGGAGAGCAAGACTCTCCCGGCTTCAGCAGAGAGGGAGAGCTGCGCAGCGCCCCTTCAGCTAAGTGGGAGGAGAAATGGAAGGGGCTCTGTTTCTCCTGCCGCTTCGCTGAAGGGGCGCTGAGCAGAGAGGGGGAGATTTTTTCCCCCCCTTATTCTCCCCCTCTAAAACAAGGTGCGTTCTATAGAGCGAAAAATATGGTACTTTTTACTTCGATATATGCCCACTAGGTGGAGCTCTCGATCTCTCCCTTTCCTTCCTTTTCCTTCAATCAGGTCTTTCCACTAGACTCCTTGAGTGGGCTGTACCATTTCAGGCTTGTGGGTAAGAGCGAACCATTTTGAACGTTCCTCTGGGTAACACTGAATTCTCTGCGTTAAAAAAAAAGAAAAAAAAAGATCTGCTCCTTCAGCCTGCTTATTCATGCAGGAATAGTTTTGTTTAGCTATAAGCCATAGCAAAACAGGAAGGGGGAAAAGGAACTGTTCAAGAGTTGAGCAACGAATTTAGTTATTAATTCCCAGGCAACAGCGCAAATAAGGAGATGTGCGCAGTAACATGGTTTTCATGATCAAACAGCAAAAAAGCAGACAAACTCAGTAGGTGTGACTAAACCTCCAACAGATTTCCCCCCACAGGGATCTTTTATAAAGCAGACATAGAGTTGTATATAATTGCCAACCTCTCCCTGTGGCAATTTTGCAAAATACAAGAAGACATTGTGACTTATTATTATTAACCAGGAAGACATTGAATCTTAGCTCTGTGAAGCGTTTCCTACATGGAGCTGTGTAGTTACTTCTTCTTTTTAATTTTGTGTGTGTGGCAAATATCTATTTTTATTAATACATGTCCAGAGATTTCCAGAAACTCGGGCCCAATACAAACCAGTAAACACACCGGGATAAAAGAAGTGCTTTTAAAATCTAAAAAGGGGACAAAAGAAAAATAGAAGAAGAAAGGGAAAAGAGAGGGAGAGGCAAAAAGAAAAAAGGGGGAGAAAAGAAAATGAAAGTAGGATAAAAAGAGCTGTGTGGTCATTTTTGAGGCAGATTCATGGAGGAGGTTTGTTGTCTGAATTGCAGGGAGTGACTCTTTTTGCGGGAGCATTAAATGGTTCCGTTCCCAACCTGCAGTCTGAATTGGTACAATCTGCTTTTTTTAGGGAGGGTGGAGTTCACCTCTGAACTCTCCCACCACCGAACCCTCTGCACCCCGCTGCCCCAATACTTGGCGGGGTGCAGCGATGTAGGGAAGCCCCTTCCCTCCTTCCCCCTGCGGCTGCAGACTCTCTTTTAACAGGACTGGAACGCCTCTCTTCCCTCTCCAGGGGGTTCCGCTGGACACCAGCAAGCTGCCGGCCGACCAGAGACTGCCCCCGTACCCCTACAGCCAGCCGGGGATGCTCCTGCCACAGAATCAGAAGTCCCTCCACCAGGCGCAAGGGCCGGCCTCTCAACAGGGGCGCCAGCCTGCCCAGCACCAGCACCAACACCAGCAACAGCAACAGCAACAGCACCAGCACCAGCAACAGCAGCAGCAGCAGCAGCACCTGCAGTCCCAGTGCCCCTACCCGATGCATTACCAGTCCAATTCTATGCTGCAGAACCAGTTTGGCCAGCAGCTGGGTGACTTCGGCCTGGGCAATGTGAGTATACTTGGTGTCTCCTCGTCACTTGCCCCACCTCCTTTTAATAATAATAATATCTTTATTGTCATTGCCCCCTTCGGGGACAACGAAATTACTTGACTGCTCCATAAAAACACTAATTAATCAAGACAGTATAATACAGCAAGGGAGATTAGATGACTTTCAAAGTCCGGGCTTCCCATTCAGGGCCGAGATCGCTCTGGAGAAGAAGCTGTTCTTAAGACGGCTCGTTCTTGTCTTCATCGTCCTGTATCTCCGTCCCGACGGCAAGAGCTCGAAGAGACAGTGACCAGGATGCGATGGATCTTTTACTATGTCCAGTGCCTTCCTATGGCACCTTGTGGCATAAATCTGCTCTAAGGTGGAGAGTGGGCAGCCAACAATGCTCTCTGCTGCCTTAACAACCCTGCACAACCCCATCCTGTCCTGGGTAGTACAGCTTCCGTACCACACACATAAGCCATAAGTGAGCACGCTCTCAATGGCACAGTGAGAGAAGGCAAGCAGCAGTTTCTGCGGAAGATGGTTTTTCCTTAGTATTCTCAAAAAGTACAGTCTCTGCTGCGCCTTCTTCACAAGCCCCCTTATGTTGACACTCCAGCACAGATCCTCTTGTAAATCAGTGCCCAAAAATCTGAACGTTTTTGTGTCTGGGAGTTGCATAATGATGATGATGATAATAATAATAATAATAATAATAATAATAATAATAATAATAATTTTATTTATACCCTCCCGGCTGGCCTCAATCAGAGCCCGGGCTTTTTTGGCTGTGGCTCCGATCTGGTGGAACGCTCTGTCACAAGAGACTAGGGCCCTGCGGGACTTGACATCTTTCCGCAGGGCCTGCAAGACAGAGCTGTTCCACCAGGCCTTTGGTCAGGGCACAGCCTGACCCCCTCCTTTGGCAATCCTCACAGAACTCTAGCCCAATGGTTGCTATTAATTTGATTTGAACTGATTTTATAATGAAATGATTTTAGAATGTTGTGTTATTTTACTGTTGTTAGCCGCTCTGAGCCTGGCTTCGGCTGGGGAGGGCGGGATATAAATAAAAATTTATTATTATTATTATTATTATTATTATTATTATCCCGCCCTCCCTGGCTAACACGAGTAAAATTACGGCGGCTAACACAAGTAAAATTACAATAAAAGCATAATGGGGGGGGGGGGGACCAATTTAAAATACAAGTTAAAATGCAATTTAAAATGCAGCCTCATTATATTAAAATATTAAAAGCAATATTAAAAGCAGCTCAAAACAACTCGTAAACAGAGAAATAAGGCAGCTCCTAAAACTGCACAGCTCAAGCACTGGCAACTCCTTGATTGCAGCCAATTCATCAGGCAGCTTCTTCCTATCTTCCCATACCAAGCGGGTGAAGCGAGGGGTGGTTTTCTGGGCCCGCCTGCCTCAGGGGTGTGTGTGTGTGTGTGTGTGTGTGTGTGTGAGAGAGAGAGAGAGAGAGTGCCCCATCCTGCAAAGTAGCACCGAAACCAGCCCAGGGCCACACCAGTCTTCCTTTCCGCAGTTCGATCAATACGGCTACGTGGACAACATGAGCGGAGGCTTCGCGTTCAACAGCAACGCCTTCTCGGACGACCTGGGTGCCTTAAATTACCCGCAAGGCGACAACATGGGCTTGTCGGGCAGTGGGACCACGAACACCAGCAGCAGCAGTAGCAGCAGCAGCACGCACGACCCCCACCTGCTCAACCGCCAGAACCTGAGCAACTCAAACCGCCACGGCCCCATCCCCAACATCATCCTCACAGGTAAGGGGAGAGAGTGGGGAGGAGGGAGCGAAACCCACCCCGGGGTGGGGGGGAAACATCTTGACAGGTAGCCTAATGTTTTCGGGCAGGAAAAGTAAGCGCAAAGAGGCAATTGTCCGGATCCGCTGTCTGAAACAACTGCGTTTCTTGTGCAAGGCCGGCTCTGGGAACTGCAGAGGCAAAGCATAGCCATCGTGGTGATTTTAATTGATTTATTAAATTTCTGCGCCCGCCTTCATCCGAAGATCTCGTGGCGGTTCGCAAGATGAAAATGCAGGATAAAAGCACAAATAAGTAGAACAAAAGCAAAACAGGATAGCAGCGCACACCCACCCACCCCAGACAAATTTAAAATACTGTAGAATATTGATCAGCCCAAGGCCTGGTGGAAGAGGGAACGTTTTTGCTTGGCGGAATAGCATGAAGGTGCCAGACAAACCTCCCTCGGGAAAGTGTAACACCAATTCTAGTAGCCTTCGATAGATGAATTTGTCTAATGATGTTATTATTTGTACCCTTCCCATCTCAGTTGCCCCAGCCCCTCTGGGCGGCTTCCAACACATATAAAAATACAGTAGAACATCGAACATTAAAAAACTTCCCTAAACAGGGCTTCCTTCAGATGTCTTCTAAAAGTTGTTTAGTTCTTTACCTCCTTGACATCTAATAGGAGGGTGTTCCACAGAGCGGGTGCCACTACCGAGAAGGCCCTCTGCCTGGTTCCCTGTAACTTCACTTCTCGCAGGGAGGGAACCGCCAGAAGGCCCTCGGCGCTGGACCTCAGTGTCCGGGCTGAATGATGGGGGTGGAGACGCTCCTTCAGGTATACTGGGCCAAGGCTGCTTAGGGCTTTAAAAGCACCAACACTTTGAATTGTGCTCGGAAACATACTTGGAGTCGGTGTAGATCCTTTAGGACTGCTATTATACTGTCCCGGTGGCTGCTCCGAGTTCAGCTGCCGCATTCTGGATTAGTTGTAGTTCCTGAGTCGCCTTCAAAGGCGGCCCCACGTAGAATTCTGCAATTTAACTACCGTAGATTCCGGCGTATAAGACGACTTTTTAACCCCGGAAAATCCTCTAAAAAGTTGGGGTTCTCTTATATGCCGGGTATGGGTTTGCTGGGCAGCTTCGCCAGGCGGCTTCCTCCCGGCGCGGAGCCCACTGCCCACTGCCGCTGACCAGTGAAGCTGCCACGTATAAGACTGGGCATATAAGTCAACCCCCCAAATTGGCAGCTGCCAATTGAGGGGGTCGTCTTATACGCCCACTTGCCTAATACGCCAAAATCTACGGTACGCACCGTGTGAGGAAGAAACTTCTCCGTGTCTGTTCATCTCTTTTTGCTCTCCGGTCCTTCCCTCCTCTAGGGGACTCCCCGCCCGGGATCTCCAGGGAGATCGCCACCGTTCTGGCGGGCATGCCGGGCTTTGAGATGGACTCTTCCTCCCTGGGTCTGGATGAGGACCTGAGGATCGAGCCGCTCACTTTGGACGGACTCAACATGCTGAGCGATCCGTACGCCCTGCTGACCGACCCGGCCGTCGAGGATTCTTTCCGCACCGACCGACTCCAGTGAAGGAAGGGGGAGGGCCGCAGGGCCGAGAAACGCCACCCCTGCGAGGTGGACCCTCTTGAGCCACGAAAAAACAAAAGGACGACTTTTTTTTTGCTTTCCTAAGCCAGAGGCGCCGGGCAAGAGGGGCTGGGGACAGAAGAGATTGTGTTTGCCCGCCCTGCCTTTCCACCCCCAACTGCAGTGTCGCCATCCCCCTCCAAGCTTAAACGCCTCCTAGGGTGCTCTGGGACCGGACTTTGCAACGAGCACTTGCAATCCCAGGTTATAGGGGACCGGGGCACGGGTCGACCCCCCCCAGGGGCAGGGAAGAAGCCTCTGCACTATTTAGAGGCGGGGGGCAGACCACGAAAGTTTTCAGCATCCTTCCCAAAGCGGGAGAGAACGTACGCTATCTAGGTGTTAGAGTTCCAGTTCCCTTGAATCGGGGTGTTGGGGGGCACTCGCATTCATGTGAATCCAAGTGTCTGCCCCCCCTCAAAATCAATTCCAGCCATTTCGTTTCCCCAAGTTTATTCCTGTGTATATTTCGTACCTGCACCCGATAGCTATAGAGACTTTTGTAGCGTGCAGAGCATTTTTGGGGGGGCGGGCGGGTTACGTTCTCGTTTTCTCTCTCTCTTTTTTTGGCCTAATCATGTTTTTTAAAAATTTTATTTTAAAGAAAAGCAATTATGTACATAACTGCCCTTCTCTCCTGCCCCCCCACCCTCTCCTCCTGAGCTGCCGTGTACATGTGGGGGAGAGGAAAAAGGGGGGGCGTTTCTCTTGTAAAGCACTTGTAACTTTGCATCCTTATCTGTCGTGAGGTCTGGCTTCTGTGCTTGAGTTTGGGGCGGAGGGGGGGAGCTCAAAGTAGGGGGGGTCTGTGGTTGGGGTTCAGCCCATACCTCACCTTTCCTTCCCCTCCGCCCCCACTGTGGAAGAGATAAACCAGAGTGATTTTATTATTATTTTTTAAAATATATGTTAATTATAACAACATTCCGTCACTGGTTTTTGTGTGGTTTTCCGGGCGGCGGTTCGTCCCGCCAGATCAGGGTGGGGACTGTCCCAGCCTCGGGTCCTCTTTTTTCCAGAGCAGCTGCCCAAAGTCTGCAAGGAAGGGGCTCAGGGCGACGCCTGAGCTACATTTTGCCCCCGGCGTCTGGTCTGCTTCTGACGCAAAACTTTAAGAGCCCATCCGCCCCTGGTTTTCAGAAGCCGCTTGCCACGTGGTCTCAGCGAAAGAGGAAAAACCGATGCAAAATTCTCCGGACCGGTTTCATGTGATCTTGGGCGGGATACCTGGGCGCACGAATTTACTCAGGGAAGTGCTGCTGGATCAGACCCATATCCCATCTAGTCCTGCATCCCTGTTCTCACAGGGGCCCCAATGGGGCACCCACAAGCCGACCCCGAGTGCGAAAGCAGCCTCCCCTCCTGCGATTTCCAGTCCTTGGTATTCAGAAGGATACTGTCTCTGACCCAGCGGCAGCCCAGGCGGCTTGAAGCAAAACAGAATATGGCAGCTCTTGGCCGCCTCCTCTTCCGCAGCCAGAGACGAGGGGGCAGCAGTGGGCTCCTCGGAGGCCGGTTCTACTGCCTGGGGAAACTGCCACAGCTTGCCTCATGGGTGCGCTGGCCCTGCTCTGACCATGGTAGCTAGTAGCCATTCCTAGCCATATCCTCCAAGAATTTGCCCAGTCTTCTAGAAACATCCAAGTTCATGCCCGTTATTGGCATTTACAGAGTGAATTCCATAGTTAAAACAGCAGCACAGAGCTTTCAGCGACTGCCCTTGATTTTAGCGTGCAGTTGTTCAGTTGGCCAACTAGATACCCCAATGTAAACCCAAACACTATGGCAACTCTTCCCACTTGCGACTCTGGCGCCGATTCTGGAGGCAGAACATCCTGGCTAGTGGTCACCGATCGCCTTATTCCTCCCCGAATTTTGCATTGGCCAAGAGTCAATGGATAAATAGCAGAAAGCTCCACATGTGAGATCCAGACTTTTTTGGTAAGACTACAAAACTTGCGAGTGACGGCTGCCTGGAGAATTATGCATCCAGAGTGCCACCTGGTGGTGCCACAAAATTAAGTACACCTGCAAAATCTCCCTCCACCCCATTGTGTTGACCTTACCTGGCAGGTGAGAGTCTGAGTGCACTTTTAACTAGGTGAGTAAGGGGTCAGTCCCATGAGTGGTACTCCTTGAGGAGAAGAGCTCTGACATAGATGGTCCACTTGGTCCATTTCCCCCCACAATAATAATAATAAATTTTACTGATACCCCGCCCTCCCCAGCCAAGACCGGGTTCAGGGTGGCTAACACCAGGTATAAAAACAATTGATTAAAATACAACTTCAAAACAAGATTAAGTACAACATTAAAATTCACCCTCATTTCAGTAGAAACTCAAATCAAAAACTTTGGGGGGATGAAAATGTCAAATCTTCACCAAGGCCAACTATCCAGACTGGTCCTACATGGGCCAGAAAAAAGCCAGGGAAGTCCCCAAATAGGAGTTCCATCACAGAAGGAGAAAGGAAAAAGGGGGGAGGGGGATCAAGTTGATTCCAAGCCAAAGGCCAGGCAGAACAACTCTGTCTTACAGGCCCTGCGGAAAGAAATCAGATCCTGCAGCCAAAGCCCAACCAGATTCCCCTGGAAAACTCAGAACAGTGGTGGACTAACATTTTTGGGTCCCCGAAGGTCGAACTGCTAAGAGGGCCCCTTCGCAACCACAAACGGGATCTGGGTAACCACTGCTTTCTTTGCCACATCTGCACTACCGACTCTGAAACTTGGGGGTTCTTGAAATATACTGCAAAAGATAAATTGTGTGCCTCAAACTGTGTCTACTAGACCGCAAAACGCTAAGCAGCATGGACTAAATTTGCTTCTGGGGTCTTTGGGGGATGAGGCGCTCTGAAGCTTAAACATCATTAGTTTCGTAGTAGATCCACTCCTGGCTCAGCAGCAGAGCAGGGAGGCAATAGCGCTCCCTGCTGTCGCCCTCCGGCAATTGCCACTGCATTGAGAGAGACTGAATCTGGGGGCTCTGCTTAGCTGCAGAAGGCAGGGTGGTGTGTCACAAGCTGCTGCTGAAAAGGATCTATACCCAGGAAGGGAACCAGGTCAGTGGCAGTGAGCACCTGCTGTCCATACCGAAGGTCAAAGGTCTCAGGGTAGAAATGGGAATGCGTCTGTCTAAAACACTGTAGAGCTGTTGCTGGACAATGTGGACAAGACTGAACCAGATCAGCCCAGCAGTCTGGGCTGGCTCCATGTTCTGTGTCGTCCCCCACCCAAAAGGGCTTTCAGAATCCCACTCAGCAAATTTATTGATGTTCTTTAAAGGGGCTTCTGTTTCTGTTCGTTGGTTGGGGTGTGTGTGAGACTAGGGGGTACGAACCCCTGCTCCCCAATCCGACTTACCCCTTTCCCCATTCCCCACCCCTGACCAAACCCTTCTCCCTTTACAACTCGCCCTCTCTTCCTACTCCCAAATCCTTTTTGCTTGCTTCTTTAGCCCCTTCATCTATTTATTGATATTTTTAACATGCACACTGCTTTTGTGGATCAACGGTTTGGTTTCTGTTCAGCGCTATTGTGTGAAATCTTTTCTTTTATATCGCAAAACATGCTGCTGCAATGGTGTTGACTATGGACCTTCTAAGGTTCCCTATTTTCCAGGGTCCATAGTCCTGGATTTACAGAAGCTGTCCCGGTTTCTGATTTGATCCTGGAATGTCCCATTTTCCCTTAGGACATCCCTATTTTCATCGGAGAAATGTTGGAGGTTATGGAGTTCTCTAACCCCATAGCCATCTAAAGGCAGCCCTGTATAGAGAAGGTTTTCTTTTAATGTTTTGTGTACAGTGCTACCTCGGGTTACATACGCTTTGGGTTACATACGCTTCAGGTTACAGACTCTGCTAACCCAGAAATAGTGCTTCAGGTTAAGAACTTTGCTTCAGGACGAGAACAGAAATCATGCTCCGGCGGCACGGCGGCAGCAGGAGGCCCCATTAGCTAAAGTGGTGCTTCAGGTTAAGAACAGTTTCAGGTTAAGAATGGACCTCCGGAACGAATTAAGTACTTAACCTGAGGTTCCAGTCTGTTGGAATCTGCCCAGAGTGGCTGGGGCAACCAGTCAGATGGGCAGGGTATAAATAGATGATGATGATGATGATGATGATGATGATAATAATAATGGAATAGAAGGTGCTTATTTTCATCCGAAAAATGCTGGGGTGTGTGTTTGTGACTAGAGCACCAATGCTGAAGGTGAGAAGAGGCCTGGCGATAGGTCTCAGCCACATCTTCAGGTAGGTATGGGAATGGTTGCTGGCCTGAAACTCTGGACAGCTTCTGCCAGCTTGGACCACCTTGTGAATATAGGACCCCCCCCCCCCGGAACCCGCTGTTTGTAAAAATGGCGGCCATTTTGACTTATGCCACTCCTCTCTCCTACATCCATTTTGTGACTGACACCCATAGCACTTCCCTCAAAAATCCAGATATGCCCGCTGTTCTAAAAATATCGGTGATGCTGCTTTTAGGCCACATTTGCACCATACATTTAAAGCACAACCTCCAACAGTCATGGCTCCCCCCAAAGGATTCTGGGAGCTGTTGTTAGTCAGGGGTGCCGAGACCTGTTATTCCCCTTACAGAGAGAGAGTTGTTTAGCAATCAATACCTCTTCCTCATGAAATTCTGGGAAATGTAGCTCTGTGAGGGCAAAGCATATAGTCAAAACACTGTGTGCAATGATGGGTGGGAATGCCCATCTTGCCCCCCCCCAAAAAACCGGTCCCCTTTTTAATTTCAGTTTTTTCCCTTTCCTTTTTTGCCAAGCACGTAAAGCTGAATGCATAGGACTTGCGAGTTACCTGTTCACACACCATGGGATCTCTTTGGTAAAAGTCACGGGATGCGGAGCCAAACTTTACAAAACTTAAATTTTATTGGACGTGAAACCGCCTACAGAGGTATAATCCCGAACCACAAAGCCTCAACCCACCGGCGTGTACATTTACGAACTCAAAGCTTCGTTGTAAATCATTGCCAGGGCACCCAGGAAAGTGACGTATTCCTGGAAGTTCACCACTTGGTCCCCATTGCGGTCCAGATCTTTCATTAATGCCTGTATCTCTGAATCTTGCAGTTTCTGGAATAGACAACGAAATCACGAATTTAGAATGCTCAGTGGAACAAGGCCTTTGCTTTCCGTTTCAACATTTGAGGCGATTTTCTGGGAAACTTGTGGGGGGAGGCAAGGTTTAGTATGAATAATAGCATTATTTTTATCGCAGGTGGGGGAAAGCGATGGGAGATGCTGTTGGTGACACCTTGCTCCTCTAATGCTGTCTGAGTCTCACTCTGCACACGCACCGAAGGCGTTCTTTATATCCTCCTTTTGGGATCAAGACCACGCCCTGGCACCTGACTTATCTCCTACACTTTCTCATTTCCTGAGGCCATCGCGTGACAAATTCGTCTATGCGGCTTCCTGATCATTTGATGGAATTTTAACTGAAAAGCTCCTTTCTTGAGGATTTAGCCCAAAGCGGAAGACTGCTGGGTCATGAAGGGACTGCTTCACCCGCTTCCCACCCATTCATATCCGCCTGCTCTCTCTCCATCCACCCAGATGCTTCTCCACTTGTGGGGAAAGGTCTAGGGTGGGTGGGTGTCCTTCTGTATCCGAGACCACATAACACCAGTCTTGAAAGACCTACATTGGCTCCCAGTACGTTTCTGAGCACAATTCAAAGTGTTGGTGTTGACCTTTAAAGCCCTAAACGGCCTCGGCCCAGTATACCTGAAGGAGCATCTCCACCCCCATCGTTCAGCCCGGACACTGAGGTCCAGCGCCGAGGGCCTTCTGGCGGTTCCCTCCCTGTGAGAAGTGAAGTTACAGGGAACCAGGCAGAGGGCCTTCTCAGTAGTGGCACCCGCCCTGTGGAACGCCCTCCCATCAGATGTCAAAGAGATAAACAACTACCTGACTTTTAGAAGACATCTGAAGACGGCCCTGTTTAGGGAGGCTTTTAATGTTTGATGTAGTACAGTATTTTAATATTTTTTTGGAAGCCGCCCAGAGTGGCTGGGGAACTACCTACAACTACCTGACTTTTAGAAGACATCTTAAGGCAGCCCTGTTCAGGGAAGTTTTTAATGTGTGACATCTTAGTGTATTTTTGGTCTTTGTGGAGGCTGCCCAGAGTGGCTGGGGAGGCCCAGCCAGATGGGTGGGGTACAAATAATAAATTATTATTATTATCATTTCCCCCTCTGGGAGAAAAGCAACTGGGGCAAGCCGTTTTGAGGCAGTGGGGATATAGGTCATACGGCTTAATCTACCCCACCATGGTCACATTGCAGAGCTTTTTATTTGGTGGGGGGAAGAGAAAGCGAGAGACACAGGATGTGTCCCTGTGCACCCCCAGCTTCCTTTGTCCTCAAACAGGAACTCTGAGCATATTTGGTCCTTTTCCCCTATCCTCACCGGTCCAATGGTGAGCTCCTTCTGGATCAGCTCCTTCAATTCCTTCTTGCTTAGGGTGTTCTTATCGCCATCCTTGCCGGCGTACTTGTGGAAGGTGACAACCAGCAGGCCGATAGCTTGGTCAAGAGGTGCTGCCATGGCGAGAGATCTGAAAAAGGGGCAAGACAGAACGGGGGAGAGTTCAAGAGGCTGTACGGATTGGGAGGGGAAAGCCGGCCTTCCAAAGCTTTCCTGCTGCCTACCTCTCTTAACGCAAAGGGACGCGGGTGGCGCTGTGGGTTAAACCACAGAGCCTAGGACTTGCCGATCATAAGGTCGGCGGTTCGAATCCCCGCGACAGGGTGAGCTCCCGTTGCTCAGTCCCTGCTCCTGCCAACCTAGCAGTTCGAAAGCACGTCCAAGTGCAAGTAGATAAATAGGTACCACTCTGGCAGGAAGGTAAACGCCGTTTCCGTGCGCTGCTCTGGTTCGCCAGAAGCGGCTTAGTCATGCTGGCCACATGACCTGGAAGCTGTACGCCAGCTCCCTCGGCCAATAAAGCGAGATGAGCACCGCAGCCGCAGAGTCGGCCACGACTGGACCTAATGGTCAGGGGTCCCTTTACCTTTACCTCTCTAACGCATTTACTTTATTTTTATTTAATAAAAATCCCATAAGCATCACTGCATCTGCGTGAGCGGCAGAGAACAAGTTTAAAGAGCTGCAGGCACAGGTTCGAGTTGCACTTGTTAATGTAAAACAGGGCTGGGGAACGTTTCTTCAGCTTGAGGGCCAGAGAGCCTTCCAGGGGCCACAGGCAAAAGTGGCTGACGTGACAAATGTGGATTTTGCCCTTGTACACTAGGCAACTTTCTCTGTACACTACCCTCCATCCAGGCTAGGAAGAAGCCTCTGTTGGACTTCTAAGCCAGGCAGAAACAAGGAACGTGGAAATAAGGTCTGGCAAGGGGTATGGCTCAGGAGAAAGAGAGGGTCCCAAGGGCCAGACAGAGAAGCTGTAGGCCCACATTTAGTTCCTGGGCCTGAGGTTCACTACCCATATTCCTTTTCTTTTTAAAAATTGGTTCCAGTTTTTGTTTTGACTGCAACAAAGAAAGAAAATATTTAGATGAAGGGGGTGGGGATGTCAGTCTGGTAGCACCACATTCACTGCAAAAATAAGGCAATTGCTTTCCCCAAGGCAATTGCTGGGAGGGGGGGGACTTGCTCTACAAGCTTGCAATGTGGTTCGGTTTAAACCCGGAAGGGTATGCATGTAGGGTGGCTATTGGCTAGCATCTGTGATGTCACCTGGTTGCCTCTCCTCACAATCTGGGGGAGAGTTTCCCAATGCTTTTAGGATGCTTAAAAAAAAGGATTAGTATAATGCATCGCTTTATAATACTTTTTTTAAAAAATAAAACGTTAGCCCATCTGAAAGAAGAGGTGAAGGAAGGACTTGTAGCTCAGTGATAAGAGCGTCTGCTTTTTATGCACAAGATCCAGGGTTCAATATCCAGCTAGACTGGGGGAGACCTTTGTTTGAATCTCTGGAGAGCCGCTGCCAATGGTTTGACTCAACAAAACAGCTTCCTATGTTCCGGGGGGCAGAGGCCAGGCAGGCTTACGACTGAGCTATGATTTGTCTTGCAACTAGGCCCACTCGCCCATTGTGCTATCTTCTCTTGGCATGGCCTGGTGCCAGGAGACAGAGTGGCCTTGTGGCATTCTCTCATCCCAGCTGATCACAGGGTGCGGTCTCTTAATCCTGGGAAGGAACATGCCCGTAGGGTTAAGGACCAGAAGTCTTAGCAGTCACAGCAAGAGGTGTTATTTTAGGCTTAATGCTTCTCATGTGCTGCAAGGGGAGCGATGAAAGGAAGAGAATACTCTCTCGTCCCAACCCACATCAAGGGAGCCACTCTCTCGCTGAGCTGCCTGCAGGCCTTCCCCTAAAAATAAAGTAAGATTCCAGTCCTCATGGTTCCGGATTAATAATAATAATAATTTATTAGTTATACCCCGCCCGTCTGGCTGGGCTTCCCCAGCCACTCTGGGCGGCTTCCAAACAAATATTAAAATACTGTACTACATCAAACATTAAAAGCCTCCCTAAACAGGGCCGTCTTCAGATGTCTTCTAAAAGTCTGGTAGTTGTTGTTCTCTTTGACATCTGGTGGGAGGGCATTCCACAGGGCGGGTGCCACTACCGAGAAGGCCCTCTGCCTGGTTCCCTGTAACTTGGCTTCTCGCAGTGAGGGAACCGCCAGAAGGCCCTCGGTGCTGGACCTCAGTGTCCGGGTACAACGATGGGGGTGGAGACGCTCCTTCAGGTATACTGGGCCGAGTATATCTCGGATTAAGGTCTGACTTAATTGGGAACAGAGGAAGCTGGCGTATATTGAGTCAGAGCTGTGGTCCATCTAACTCACTACTGTCTACACTGACCGCCAGCAGCTTGTCAGAATTTCAGGCAGGGTTCTCTCCAAGTCAGGGATTGAACCTACAAGGCGCTGTGCCGCAAAAACTACGGTGAGCAGTGGTAGCCAACGCCGTTTCAAGATCCAGTTCGGCAAGTTCTCATTTTTGCACAATCTTAAGGAAGAATCAACAACCCACCCTGAATCTGTCATGATTTATGAGAACAGCAGTGGTTTCTAGATGGGGTTTTTAAGGTGGTGGTGATCTTATCTGGCCTCTTCAGAGAGAGTGAGAAAGCATAGAGGGTGTTCTTGCTGTGCAGAAAAAGATCACCACCTTATCTACAGGTGCGATAGCAAACAGAAGGGGCACGGAGGCAGCGCATCAAATCCTCATGGGGTCTCTGCCATGGGAGCATATTCACCCAGTGCTTTTCCAGCTGTACTGGCTCCCGGTGGAGCACAGGGTCAAATTTAAGGTGCTGGTTCTGACCTTTAAAGCCCTTCACGGCCTAGGACCCTCGTACCTACGGGACCACCTCTCCTGGTATGCCCCACGGAGAGCCTCAAGGTCCATAAATAGCAACACCCTAGTGGTCCCGGGCCCTAAGGAAGTCAGATTAGCCTCAACCAGAGCCAGGGCCTTTTCAACACTGGCTCCAGCCTGGTGGAACGCTCTGCCTCACGAGACCAGGGCCCTGTAGGATCTGATTTCTTTCCACAGGGCCGGTAAGACAGAGTTGTTCCGCCTGGCCTTTGGCTTGGAGTCAATTTGATTCCCTCCCCCTCTTTCTTTTTTTCCTTTCTCCTCCTGTGATGAAGCTGCATTTTAATGTTGTATTTGAATCTTGTTTTTTAAGTTGTATTCATTCAACTTGTTTTTATTACTGGCTGTTAGCCGCCCTGAGCCTGGCCTTGGCTGGGGAGGGTGGGGTATAAATAAATATTATTATTATTATTATTTTTGCTCCGTTTGTTTGCGGTTTGGGGCATCCCCAGCACCATCACCTGGGAGGGCCCCCGTCCCCCCAACGCAGTAGCAAATGAAAACCACACGAGGCCCGATGACATGTGCTCGACAGCTAGATTTGTGGAGAGAGAGAGATAGCAAGGTCCAGCCACGCCCTACAGGTTTGCTGCCTCACCCTTAAGCAAACTGCATAGGGACCAGTTGCCTGTGGAAATGAGGGCATTGGGGAGCAACCTGGCGCCCTATAGAACTACAGTTCCCATCAGCCTCAGCTGGCACAAGAAGTGGCTAAGGATGATGGGAGTTGTGGTCCAACCACTAACCTGCGGGCCCTTCAGGATGCTGCTGGACTACAATTCTCATCACCTTTGGCCATTGGCTGATGGGAGCTGTAGTTGTCCCATCCCTGGAAGGTCACAGATGCTCCCATCCCTGTTCTAGAGGATGGCACATAATCACACCCATCTAAAACACTCTTATTCCATGGCTTCCCCCTAGGCACCCTGGGAACTGCAGGTAATTTATTATTATCATTAATATCATCATTAATTTGTACCCCGCCCATCTGACCGGGTTGCCCCAGCCACTCTGGGCAGCTTCCAACATATATAAAAACGTAATAAAATATTAAACATTAAAAAAACACTTCCCAATACAGGATTGCCTTCATAATAAAAGACTGAACAGGGCTGTTTTCATGGAACTTTCAGCTCCCTGAAAGAACTACAGTTTACAGCATGGGTAGGCAAACTAAGGCCCGGGGGCTGGATCCGGCCTTCTAAATCTGGCCCGCAAACGGTCTGGGAATCAGCATGTTTTTTACATGAGTAGGAAGTGTCCTTTTATTTAAAATGCATCTCTGGGTTATTTGTGGGGCATAGGAATTCGTTCATTATTATTTTTTTCCAAAATAATAGTCTGGCCCCCCACAAGGTCTGAGGGACAGTGGACCGGCCCCCTGCTGAAAAGGTTTGCTGACCCCTGGTTTGCAGGATGTTTGTAGGGAAGTTAAAAGGGCATGGCAGCTAAAACCGGCATGAGAGCGCTTTAAATGTAGGATGCAAACGCTCTACTAATAAAGTAGCAACGAAATTACTGGGACTCTGACTGGAGGAATGGCAGATGAAATTGATGGACTATATGGAATTGGCGGAAATGACTGGCAGAATCCGTGACCAGGGAGAAGAGTTGGTGGAAGAAGATTGGAAGAAATTTAAAGACTACTGTATTTACAGAAATATTGCAAAATTAATGAATGTTAGAATGATGTCGGATTGAAGTTAAGTGGTTTCTAGCTGTACAGGTACAAAAGAATATGGAAAAATTGGTTTTTAATATGTAAAAATTTAATGTTATAATATATCAAGATTAAAGATTAGGATTAAAAAGGAGGGAAAGGAATTGCTGGATTAACAAATTGAATTGGAATACAAAAGAGGGAGGTATGAGGAGGTCCGGGAAACAAGTAAACGTAAAAGAAGTGATGAAAAGATGGAATTGTTTTTAACTGTTTTTTTCTTTCTTTTTTCTACTTTGTATTTTTCCTTTTTATTGTTAATCTTTTTATTAATGTGATTTTTCTTCTTTTGAAACTTTAATAAATATTATTTAAAAAAAACAAAACGAAATTACTGGGACTCTGTGTGCATTATCACGCCTCCCCACCAGAGGCCAGGAGGGCGTGTGGCGCAGGGTTGCTGCGCAAAGTTTGCAAGCGGCACAAGCTAAGCAAGCATGAAGGGGGGGGGGGAGCCGTGGGTGCGTGTGGTGCCCCACCCTTGGGCAAGTCCCTATTTCCATCACCCAACACCCCCCCTCCCCACACATCCTTCCTTTTTCCTGCGCTCTTGCAGTACAGCTTCATGCGTCAGGCTCCAAACTCTCCCCGTTTGGACTCTGGGCGCCTCCCAGTTCTCGAGAGGGTTGCAAAATTCCTCGGGTGGGGAGCGCAATGCCCACCCGCTCCCTCCCGGCAGCCGTGGAAAAACCCCACATGGCAAAGGCTTGGGGTGTGTGGAAGCACAACTTGTCCAATGGGAGTAAAGCCGAGGGAATGTAAGTTTCCATTTACAAGGGAGCGGCTCCCTGAGCGCAAAAGAGCGACGCGCTCGCTGCTGTAGTTCAGCGGCGAGAGGACAAGCGCTCTGCGTATGCCCAGAGGCACCGCCTTTATTGCAGCTCAAATCTCAAACCGGCGGGTGGGGCAGAGGAGAGAGAGAGGCGTTGGATTCCAGAGCTGTTCTAACGCCGGATTTTCCCTGTTTGCATTTTAGCTTCTGGTTAAGTCGCTTTCAGACTTTCTGCACAAGAGAGAGAGAGTCTGAAAGCGACTTAACCAGAAGCCAAAATGCAAACGGGAAATCCGGAGTTAGAACAGCTCTAGAATTCAACGCCTCTCTCTCTCTTTTGCAGAAAGTGACGTCTAAATGAGAAGAGTAGAAGTAATGAAAAGGTTTTTAAGAAAGAGGTTTAAAACGAAAGGGCATCCAATATTTGAATGGAGGTGGAACATCATTAAATAAACCATTGCACCCTTAACTTGGGAGGGTGACCCACTGAGCTCAACGGGACGAAATACCGTTAAATAAATTACAAAATCAATATATAATCAATTGCACGTTTAACTTGGGAGGGTGCCCTACTGAGCAAAATGGAACTTAACTTCTGTGTGGGCCCCGGTAAGAATTACGCTGCCATCCTCTGCGCTCTTACTTCCGAGGAGACCCGTATAGGCTCGCGCTGCTAAGCTGCTCTCCTGTACTTACTTAGCAGTATGCAAACCTCGCTGAACTCAAGGAGGCTTACTTCCGAGTAGACCTATCGGATCTCCCCCTTAAGAACGAGGGAGGGGAGGGCTAGGGAAAAGGATCTTTCTGATAGGGCAGAAAGGATATTAAAAGGTTCGACTTTTTTCCAAACTATTCCTAGGTTAGCGGGGAGGAAACCGCATCTGTGAAATGGTCTCTTGACTGTCCCTAAGGAGGCAAAAAGAACAGGGGAACTAGGAATGAGGAGGGAGGGGCACATCTGGAGCAAAAAGCGACACATCTGGCTCATGGACCAGGGAAATCTTCTGCAAAAGCTCAGGAGATGATGGAAACGAAATGGAGGAGCTGTGGATGGGAGGAGCAGGATTCAAGACTTACCAGAAGCGAGATGGTCCAGTACTGAGTGGCAGGAAGCGATGGGGAAAGTGGAAGCCCACAGCTGGGGCAGCCTGGACTTAATAGGCAGAGGCGGAGCCGAGGCTGTCCCAGGAGGCAGCTGATTGGATGCAAAGAGGAACAACGCCCCCCCACCCCAAAACTTTCTGTGTATTAAAACTCCACCTTTATTTGCTGTATTAACTCTTTCCCAGGTTCCAGAACCCTCCAACACTTCTCAGGTGCAGAGAGAGAGAGAGAGAGAGTGGAGAGGGAAGAGAGACCTTTTCCCTAATTCCACCCAGAGGGCTAGAAACTTGTTATTTCTTTCCTTTCACAGACTTTTTCTCTTTGCTCTGTGCCTCGGTTTCCCTTTCCAGGTGAGCTTCCTTCTTTCCCTTCCATCCACCCACCCACCTCTCTTTCTCTCTTCTTTTTCCTCCGTGCCTCAGTTTCCCCTCCAGGTGTTCGTTCGGTCCTGCGTTTGCTCTTGCTCTTGTGCCTCAGTTTCCCCTCCGTGTCCGTCTGTTCGTCCTTCAAATCAAACTGGGATTTGACGGGCCCTTAAACACACAGCCGGATCCCCCAATCATTTTCAAAGAAGGTGTGTGTATACATACATATACAGTGGTACCTCGGGTTACATACGCTTCAGGTTACAGACTCCGCTAACCCAGAAATAGTGCTTCAGGTTAAGAACTTTGCTTCAGGATGAGAACAGAATTCATGCTCTGGCGGCGCGGCGGCAGCGGGAGGCCCCATTAACTAAAGTGGTACCTCAGGTTAAGAACAGTTTCAGGTTAAGAACGGACCTCCAGAACGAATTAAGTTCTTAACCAGAGGTACCACTGTACCTTTTCTAAGCATGGCAACAGGCAAAGACTTACAGCAAGACTCACTGCCCCATCACCCACATCCTCATATTTACAGAATACCCTCTGCCTGCATCCTACAAAACCAGTTGTACCAGTTCCTTTAAGAGCGATAAATGAGTGTTTGGCCTTGCCAAGGAGATCTGCTTGGACGTCTCATTTTCACACAAGGCGCCACCTTCCCTTCTGAGTGACCGGCCAGTGGTTGGCGGTGCTGGAAGCAGAAATAACGAATATACGCATTCAACTTTTCTATTGTTGGGAACTGTAGTTTGCCAAAGGGTCTCCAAACAGTTCTCAGCACCCTGAACAAACTACAGTGCTACCCTGTTACCTAGTCCCTGTTCCCCGCCCTTGTTGACACACAGACCTCTCACTCTCCCTAGCTAGCAACGTGCCTCAGATTCTCCAATATTTTCTCTCTGGGCTTTCACGTATAGGACAGGTTGTGTGTGGAATGAAAGGATACCGGTTTGCATGCGAGTCGATTTGCTAACATGTACGTACTGGTGCCAATTTTAAAATGATTACTGTAATTTAAACAGGAATCCGGGATGTGTCAGCCTCGTGGAGAAGACGGTGACTGCGTGATGTGGGTGCCTGTTCAGTCTGCCGCACGGGTGTTCGGTTACCGGCAGACGGGCTGTTTCATCGCTTCTCCCTTTTGGAGTTCCTTATCCTTAAGCTAGATCAGGTACGGCCGTTCAAATGGAGCTGGAATGGACCAAAGCGGCCCTCCAGCTTCTCTGCCTGGCCCTCGGAATTCTCTCCAGCCACACCCACCTTCTCCAGGCCACGCTCCCTCACTGCCCTTGCTAGACACGCTCCTTGAGTGTTTTTGCCTGGCAGGAACGTGTCTTTGCTCTCTGGTAATGTCTCAATACTTCCCCGATTGGAGGGATAAATTTGTTTGTGTGTGTGTGTGTGTGTGTGTGTGAGAGAGAGAGAGAGAGAGAGCTAGCTTACTGTACAAAGATAAAGTTGACTATTTTCGGACTATTTAAATAAATATTATAATATGATGAATTTGCAATCAGGATTCGAACTATGAGCAACAGAAAGAATTATGGTTATGATATTTAAAAAAGTGAAGATAGGGTGACACAAAGGGGTAGAATTAAGAAAACACTGCAGAAAATGGGATGGGAAGTCGATAAAACAAAAGAAAAAAATATTATGTTTTGGAATTTTATGTGAAATTTGTAAAAATTTAATAAAATGGTTTTTGATTTTTTTAAAAAAAGTTGACACTTGTTGCTCCGCACTGCTGTGTGGCCCCTAAATCATTACCAAGAAGGAAGGCGGCCCTCAATCTGATAAAGTTCCCCCCTCTTTGCAATACAGGACAGGGCACGTGACCAGCCTATCCACCAATCAAAATTGAGATGCTCTTGTGCACAGTGGTAGTGGGGATTGACTGGTAGGGCAGAAGGCAGGGAGCCTGGCAGTAGGTGGCGCCAGAGTCGATGACAGGCAGAGCCCACTAATCCTACTTTTGTCCCCATCCTCCTCCTCCTTCCTGCTGAGGAGCAACCCTGAGACTGAGGAAGAGGAAGCAGTTGTAAGAAGGAAGGAAGGCACCTGCAGACTTGGGGTGGGTCGAGGCTGGTGGGGCAAGTACCCCCTTTCCCCCTAACGGGCCAGCCCCCTCACTGCATATTGTGCAATGCCTTCATTATCAGATCAAGGGGCGCTGGCTAAATTCCGCCCTGCAAAATTGCTGCTGCTTTGTTATTTTGGCCCTCTGTGTTCCAGTTTTCATTTTTTCTGCAACAGCCTCCTGCCTCACCCTACACTGCCAATTAAAAAGTATTCCCCCCCCTTTTCTCTGGGTAAAAACACATTAGATCAAACGTAATTACCTCCCGTAAAATGCATGCACTGCAGCCCAGGCAAGGACCACACACCATGGCAAGAGCAGCCCTGCAAAATTGGCTTGGAACGACACAGAACCATTTGGAAGGCCTTCGCTTCCTCCCAAAACCGCCCAGAGGATTGTGAGCACATTTGAATGCATCCTAAACGGATGCAACCCGCAAGGAAAGGTTGCAGTGTGTTCCCGCTGAGGGTTGTGGCTAACAAGCCGCACCCTCTTTTAGGAAATTCCATTCTGTTCTCCCTCCTTGCTGCCCTGGTTTTTCTGTTCTCTTCCATCCCAAGTGAGCCAACATAGGAATTTCCCTGACACCAAGTCAGATCATTGGTACACCTGCACACAGACAGTGGTTTCTCCAGGAATTCAGACAGGGAGTCTCTCCCAGCCCTTCCGGGAGATGGCACTGGGGATCGATCCTGCGACCTTCTGCATGCCAAACAGCTGCTCTTGCACTGGGCCACGCCCCTTCCCCATAACATTTTGATGTATTTTTAATCCTTGTTGGAAGCCGCCCAGAGTGGCTGGGGAAACCCAGCCACATGGGCAGGGTACAAAAAATAAACTATTATTATTATTATTATTATTACACCCTGCAGCCACGGAGCACGTTCTGCCCTCGTTGGACAGGGTTCCCTTCCACGTAAGGTTTTCTTTTCCCAGCCTAAATATGTGCTTTTGGGTAGTTCTGCAAACTTTGATATGGCCGGCCCTAACATTAGGTAGCGCAAGGGTCTGCTTCAGGCTGGATGTGGGTAGTTCTGCAGGCTGAAAGCTGCTGGTTGCTGCCTTCTGCAGCCCATTGGTTTGTTTTTTATATATGTTTTGAAATAAAAAAATTAAGGTCTGATAGATAGATAGATAGATAGATAGATAGATAGATAGATAGCATCTTAAAAAGCAGAGACATCACCTTGCCAACAAAGGTCTGTATAGTTAAAGCTACGGTTTTCCCAGTAGTGATGTATGGAAGTGAGAGCTGGACCATAAAGAAGACTGATCGCCGAAGAATTGATGCTTTTGAATTATGGTGCTGGAGGAGACTCTTGAGAGTCCCATGGACTGCAAGAAGATCAAACGTATCCATTCTTAAGGAAATCAGCCCTGCGTGCTCACTGGAAGGACAGATCCTGAAGCTGAGGCTCCAATACTTTGGCCACCTCATGAGAAGAGAAGACTCCCTGGAAAAGACCCTGATGTTGGGAAAGATGGAGGGCACAAGGAGAAGGGGATGACAGAGGACGAGATGGTTGGACAGTGTTCTGGAAGCTACAAACAGGAGTTTGACCAAACTGCGGGAGGCAGTGGAAGACAGGAGTGCCTGGCGTGCTCTGGTCCAGGGAGTCACAAAGAGTCGGACACGACTAAACGACTAAACAACAACAAAGATAGATAGATAGATGATAGATAGATAGATAGATAGATAGATAGATAGATAGATAGATACAGTGATGCCTTGGGTTACATACGCTTCAGGTTACAGACTCCACTAACCCAGAAATAAGGCTTCAGGTTAAGAACTTTGCTTCAGAATAAGAACAGAAATTGTGCTGTGGCAGCGCGGCGGCAGCAGGAGGCCCCATTAGCTAAAGTGGTGCTTCAGGTTAAGAACAGTTTCAGATTAAGAACGGACCTCCGGAACGAATTAAGTACTTAACCCGAGGTACCACTGTAGTTCATAAATGCACCAACCAAGCACGTACATCGATATATAAACCACATGTCTGAAACCCCACAGAAAGTCCTGAAACCATTTTGTCCCTCTCAAATTGACCTCAAACATTTCTCTGCAAGGTCGAAGGAAAATGGAAAAGCCTCCCCATTGTCTTTTCGTTCACAAATCCTGTCTTAAGGGTATGTCTGTGTATGAATCGGGTGAGCCTGTGACCTGGCTCAGGAACTAACTATTTGTCATTGCAAAAGACTGGCCAGGCTCCCCAGGGTATCCAACCAAGTGACCATTAACAGGTCTGCCCGACAGGAGATAAACAACGCAGTCAGATTTCTGTTGTAGACCGCCCTTTCTGTGATGTAGGGATGATGTATCTAGGGGGTGGTCTTGAGTTACACCCCTTCTGTGATGTATATATGATGTTTCTGGGGTGGTCTTGGACTCCAGGGTGGGTAATTTAAAATGTCTATATAAGGGCGGGCACGCCTTTGTTCTGGGTCCTCCTCCTTTCCTGCATGAGAGGGGAGGACCCTGTTGCAACAGATCAATAAAGATCAGGCTTACTAGCTGCCTTGCTTCTCAATATTCTCTGGTTGGCCTCTGTTATTTTCTCCGACTGATGGAGAAACTGCAAAGGACTCTATCAGGGCTCTTGTGTCCCCCATAAGGGAATAAGGGCAGATTTTTGTTTATTACAGTTTAAATCAACCAGCCATTTGCGTATTCGTCGGTGAATTCACCCCATCCCAGATGCTGGGTCTCACCTGGAACACAGCCCAGCTCCTCGGCTGAACAAACAACGGCCTTGAGTCCACATCAACCTGCTATGGCAATGAATAGGAAACCGGAGCATGCATGAATGAGATCATGCCTCTGAGAGCTTCTCTGTTCTCTGTTCGCTCCAGTTGCAACAGGAAACCTTTGATTACAAAAGGAAGTGTTCTCGTGATGGACTACATGGAACTGGCTGAGATGACTGGCAGAATTCGAGACCAGGGAGAGGGGTCGATGGAAGAAGATTGGAAAAAATTCAAAATATATCTTCAAAAATATTGTAATATAAAAGACTGTTAGAAAGATGTTGGAAAAAGAAAATTAGGTCGTTTTGGTAGATATGGTATAAAGGATTAAGCAAAAATGAGTTGATGAAATTGATGAAACAGAGGATGTTTAACTATATTATTTTAAATTAAAATACGTAAATGAAAATAAGGTTAGAAGGATTTGCTGGAAATACGATCTGAACTAGAATACAAAATTGGGAGGTGAGAGGAGGTCATGGAAATAAGTAAAGGGAAAAGGTTATGTAAAGGTTTAATCTGTTTTTGTTCTATTTTAACTCAATGCATTTTTATATCTTTTGTTTTGTCTTCTTTTTTACTCTATTTTCTTGTTCACTTTTTTCTTGTTACTTTTTGCTTTGTTATGGTTAAATTTTTCTTTGTATTTTGTATTGTTTTTTTTCCTCTTTTTGTAATTTTAAACTTGGAATAAATATCATTAAAAAAACAAAACAAAAGGAAGTGTTCTCTAGCCAGGACTGGAGAGAGCCTGAGTCCCTCTAGGCATTGTGGGAACCTGACTCTGCTCCAGTCCTAGCTAAGGATGGGCGAATGTTGCCCATTTCGGTTTCTCAACTCCCCAGGGTTATCTTCTGGTCTCCACATTACCACACCTGTTATGTACTGAAGTTCTCAACCTGGGCAAGCAGGGGGATACTGTAGATAGTTATGCAAATGAAGGATCGAAAGTGACGTTCAGTGATTGGATAGTTTTTATGCAAATGAAGGATCGAAAGTGACGTTCAGTGATTGGATAGTTTTAGAAAGTTGCTACAGTAACGTTGTTCTGGAGCTCTATATAAGCAGGCTGACTGAGCTCCTCAGTTCAGTTCTGTTCTGGCCTGTGAATAAACAAGAGCTGTTTGAAGAATCGCTGTGTCGTCTGATATGTTCACCCACAACTTAACAACAGCGGCTCGTGGTTTTGCCTTAAAATGGGGGGTGTATGCTACCTTGATCATCTCGGAGGTAAGGTGGAATATAAATGTAAAAATAAATAAATTGGCTTTTGTACTGCTTAGAAGCCTATCTTGGCCTTTGCAGGATAAATAAATACACATTATTATTCGTAGCTCGGCCCCTCTCAGAAAACCCTCGGTTCACTTACTTTGGAGTAAGCCCTGTGGAACCCATTGGGACTTACTGCCGTCTTAAATGCAGATCTGAGTTTTTGTCTTAAAGGAAAGGGCACTGAGATTGTAGCTCAGCTGGGTTTCCACTGGGCATTGGCACCTAGTGGCAGAAGGAAGCACTGCACTTCCTGTCTGCCTCCACGGAACTTCCTGCCTGCCTCATCTACAGAGACAGGTCTCCTTATCTAGAAAAGACTTTGAAGCATCTTGCGGGGCCGTTTGTCAACTCTTTCATTTTAAAGTTGGCAACTTGTGGGTGTGCTTGCTAATATCAAATCTGAGTGTTGGCCCATTGACAACACAGCTCAGCAGTGGCTTTCAAGGGCTTTAAACAGGAGTCTCTCCTTACCTGGAGATCCTGGGGGAACCTTCTGCGTCTAAAACTTGGGTGGGGAATCTGTGGCCCTCCAGGTGTTGCTGGATCCCAACTCCCACCAGTCCCTGCTAGCAAGGCCAATGGTCAAGGATGATGGGAGCTGTAGTCCAGCAACATCTGGAGGGTGCCAGCTTCCTCCAGCTCTGGCGAAAACACCTATCCCAACCAATCAGGGACCACGTATTAAATGCCACTTAAAGGTAAAGGGACCCCTGACCATTAGGTCCAGTCGTGGCCGACTCTGGGGTTGCGGCGCTCATCTCACTTTATTGGCCGAGGGAGCCGGCGTACAGCTTCCAGGTCATGTGGCCAGCATGGCTAAGCCGCTTCTGGCGAACCAGAGCAGCGCAAGGAAACGCCGTTTTCCTTCCCGCCGGAGTGGTACCTATTTATCTACTTGCACTTTGACGTGCTTTTGAACTGCTAGGTTGGCAGGAGCAGGGACCGAGCAACGGGAGCTCAGCCCGTCGCGGGGATTCGAACCGCCGACCTTCTGATCGGCAAGCCCTAGGCTCTGTGGTTTAATCCACAGTGCCACCCGCGTCCACAGCGCCACCAAGCTGGCATCATCAATGGTCAGGGGTGATGGGAGTTGGAGTCCAACTACATCTGGAGGGCCACAAGTTGTAGCCTCCGGACTGATCCTGCCTGCCTTCTCAAAGGGATCCATGTTCCATGTGGCTACGAACAATCAACCCTCAGGACTAAATGGTTGAACCAGTTTCTGGAGGTCGAGACCTTTATTTAAAGTTGCCACATGGGCTCTGGGTGACGCAGGGCACCGACTGCTGGAGATTTACCCCACCCTCTCCCTTATTTTGAATCCTGCTGGAAGAAATCGTTGTAGGTCATGCAGAGGGCCGTCAGGAAGCCCGTGTACTCCTTGAAGTCAATCTCATCATCCTTGTTCTTGTCCAGGGTCCCCATCAGCTTGTCAATTCCGCCTGCCTTCATCTTCTGCGAGGGAAAGGGGGGCAAAGGAAAGAGAGAGGGGAGAGATTGGGGTACATGTCTGATTATGGGGGGCACTGAACCCCCCTCACAAATTTAACTCTCTTTCAAAACTTACAGGTTGCATCCAACCGAGGCTGTATTCACGTGATACATTTAAAGCTCTCCAATACTTTAAATGGGATGTGGGTGGCACTGTGGGTTAAACCGCAGAGCCTAGGACTTGCCGATCAGAAGGTCGGCGGTTCGAATCCCCGCGACGGGGTGAGCTCCCGTTGCTCGGTCCCTGCTCCTGCCAACCTAGCAGTTCGAAAGCACACCAGTGCAAATAGATAAATAGGTACCGCTCTGGCGGGAAGGTAAACGGTGTTTCCGTGCGCTGCTCTGGTTCTCTAGAAGCGGCTTAGACATGCTGGCCACATGACCTGGAAGCTGTACGGCGGCTCCCTCGGCCAGTAAAGCGAGATGAGCGCCGCAACCCCAGAGTTGGCCACGACTGGACCTAATGGTCAGCAGTCCCTTTACCTTTAATACTTTAAATTGTCATGACTTCCCGCAAAGAATTATGGGAGCTGTAGTTTGTTAAGGGTGCTGAGAGTTGTTATCAGACGCCGGCTATTTCCCGCTACAGAGCTCCACTTCCCAGAGTTCCTGGGAAGCAGGATTGGTTGTTAAACCACTCTGGAAGTTGTAGGGGAATTGGGGCTTCCTAACAACTGTAGGCGCCTTTAACAAACCGCAGCTCCCAGAATTATTTGGGGGAAGCCATGACTGTTTAAAGAGGTATCATAGTGCTTTAAATATATGGCGTGAATAGGGCCTAAGCTGTACTCAGAGTTAGATCCATTGCCATTCACTGAACTATATTACATCATGCTCATTCCTTTTAATGGGTTTACTTTAAGACTGAGATGGGATATTGCCCTGAAAGAAGAAAGGAAGGATTACTGAGATATTTATAGAATAAATTTGGAAGAAATTCTTCCATTTTTTCTTCTTCCAATTTTTCTTATTTTTTCTTTTTCTTTTCTTCCTTTTTTCTTTTTTGTTCTTTTTTTATATATGTGTGCTTATCTGAAAAATATATGTACGTACAGTGGTACCTCGGGTTAAGTACTTACTTTGTTCCGGAGGTCCATTCTTAACCTGAAATTGTTCCTAACCTGAAGCACCACTTTAGCTAATGGGGCCTCCTGCTGCTGCTGCGCCGCTGGAGCACAATTTCTGTTCTTATCCTGAAGCAAAGTTCTTAACCCGAGGTACTATTTCTGGGTTAAGAGAGTCTGTAACCTGAAGTGTATGTAACCTGAAGCGTATGTAACCTGAAGCATATGTAACCCGAGGTACCACTGTATTTGTATGTATTTTGTAATAATTATGTTAAATAAAGTTTAAACTTTTTTTTAAAAGGAAAGTCAGTCACCTGGAAGGAAACTAAGGCATAAAGTGAATAAGGGAAAGATGGGGGAAGGAAGGAAAGACTTATCCAAACTCCAAACTCCCCACTGTTTATCCCATGCGCAAGCCCCACATTTTGACTTGCTGCACCTCCTGTGTGTATCAAGGTTGTGTATCAAGGTCAGCCCCTCGCCACTGACTGTCCGTGGCTCTCCAGGGTTTCAAACTGGGAGTCTTTCCCAGTCCTACCAGGAGATGTCAGGACTCGAACCCGGGACCTTCTGCATGCAAGGCAGATGCTCTGCCACTCAGCCGTGGTCCTGATGGAAGATGCACATCTTGAAGGTGGAACGCTGGTTTCCCCAACCTCACGTTGTGTTTTGGGGCCACTATTCCCCCCCTCACCCGATCCGCTGGGGCACTGACCTCTCCAAGTGCCAACTCCTTCTTCACCAGCTCCTTCAGCTCTCCCTTGCTCAGAGTGAACTTATCCCCTTCTTTCCCTGAATATTTGTGGAAGGTGTACACAAGCGTCGCCAGGGCTTTCTCCAGGGGCGTCTCCATGTCCATCGGCCAGGCAGGATCTGAAAAGGAGAAAACAGGGAAGTGAACTGTATGGCGGGATTTGTTCATTTGTTCATTAAATTTATATCCTGCCTTTCCCCCTGAAGGAGCACACAGTTAAGAACATACGAAGAGCCTGATCCAGACCCTCCAAGTGTCCCTATTTTCCAGGGATGGTCCTGGATTTACAGAAGCTATCCCTGTTTCTAATTTGATCCCCCAATGTCCTTTTCCCCCGTAAAGGTAAAGGGACCCCTGACCACTAGGTCCAGTTGTGGCCGACTCTGGGGTTGCGGCGCTCATCTCGCTTTACTGGCCGAGGGAGCTGGCGTACAGCTTCCGGGTCATGTGGCCAGCATGACTAAGCCGCTTCTGGCGAACCAGAGCAGCACACGGAAATGCCGTTTACCTTCCCGCCGGACTGGTACCTATTTATCTACTTGCACTTTGACGTGCTTTCAAACTGCTAGGTTGGCAGGATCTGGGACCAAGCAAAGGGTGCTCACCCCGTCGCGGGGATTCGAACTGCCGACCTTCTGATCGGCAAGTCCTAGGCGCTGTGGTTTAACCCACAGTGCCACCCGTGTCCTTGCTTTTCCTTACAACATCCCTATTTTTACCAGAGAAATGTTGGAGGCCAACCCAGGAATGGGAGAAGGGCCCTTGGTTTCTTGATTTGAACCTGTGGGGCAGCTCAGGCCATAAAGCCTTTGATTATACAGCATTCGCCCTGGGTGCAAGCTTGGGAAGCTCATCCTGCAAAGCAGAAAGTATACATAAAAAGAGATCTTGCAAGCAAGCGCACATTAGAAGCAGCAGCGAACAACTCTGCAATTAAGGAGGGTGGAAACAAGCTGATAAGAGCTCCATTAGCACAAGTAGGGATTTCCCTGGGAACGGCTGGCCAGCCCTGGGCGAACACACCCGGCACCAGCGCGTTCTCGACGCTTCCCACTCCCAGCACTTTAGATCTGCAGCTCGTAGCATTCAAGTTGGCAGGCGAGGCAGCCCTGATCATATGATGTAAAGGTAAAGGGACCCCTAACCGTTAGGTCCAGTCGTGGCCGACTCTGGGGTTGCGGCGCTCATCTCGCTTTATTGGCCGAGGGAGCTGGCGTACAGCTTCCGGGTCATGTGGCCAGCATGACTAAGCCGCTTCTGGCGAACCAGAGCAGTGCACGGAAATGCCGTTTACCTTCCCGCTAGAGCTGTACCTATTTATCTACTTGTAGTGGTGTGCTTTCGAACTGCTAGGTTGGCAGGAGCAGGGACCGAGCCACGGGAGCTCACCCCATTGTGGGGATTCGAACTGCCGGCCTTCTGATCGGCAAGCCCTAGGCTCTGTGGTTCAACCCACAGCGCCGCCCGCATCCCTTCCAATCACATGATGTACTCCGTTGTATATGCTAGGGGTGGGAAACCTGTGGCCCATGGGTCACATGCGACCCGCCAGGCCTCTCTATCTGGCCCACAAGACTCTCCCAAGACCACGCCCCTCATTGGGCCCTTATGTTTCGCACCTTGAGTATTTTTGCCTGCGGGGAATGTGCCCTTAAACTCTGCCCATGCCTTTTGCTTGTATGGATGGAGAACAGAGAGGGATATGTGAGCGTTTGTGTGTGTGTGGAAGCTAGCCGACTGTACAGTGGCAAATTTTTACATTTTGTTGGACGCAGAGGAATGGTGGGAGGCATCGACTGGAGGACCCCCAAGGGATGGAGGTTCAGAGCCTAGAGAAGGGTGGTGGGATGACAGTGCAAGTGGTCAGAGGGAGAAGAGGGTGAAGACTGGGAGGAGGAGGTATCGGAAGCTGAAGAGGTAACAGGGTTTCGTGAGCAGGAAGAATTTGTGGCAGAGAGGAGTCCAGAATCAGAGGCAGAAGCAAAAACTGGAGTGCGTGCAGGAGCCAGGCCCTGTGACCCATAGGGCTTCGCAGGACTGGGGCTTTCCTAATTTTGTTCTGAAGAGGCAAGGCACAGCCACACAGGTGAGGCCGATTGGTAACTCACAGCACCAGGTGGCAAGAGCTGGGAAGGGATATAAGGTCAGCATTTCCCTTTGGCTCTTTGCCACAGCAGCACGCTTCCTGCTTTGCTGCTTTGGCTACTTGACTCCTGATTTTCTGACCCTCAGACCCTTGGCTTCTTGACTCCTGGGTCTCTGACCCTTGGCTTCCTGACTCCTGGGTCTATGACCCTTGGCTTCCTGACTCCTGGGTCTATGACCCTTGGCTTCCTGACTCCTGGGTCTCTGACCCTTGGCTTCCTGACTCCTGGGTCTATGACCCTTGGCTTCCTGACTCCTGGCTTCCGGACTCTCGTTCCTGCTCCCACCCTGCCGCCTTGCCCCTGGTCCCGACATCCTCCACCAGGACTTTGACCACCCGTAAACCGGACTGTGACACTGGAGAGTAGGAAGGCCAAGAGGCAGAGATGAGTCAGGCTGGTCTCCCTCTCCTGCTGTAACAAACTCTCCTCTCCTCTGGTCTCCCAGAACCAGAAGAGGCATGAAAAGGGTGGAGAAGAAGTTAGCTTTGCGCAGGCACTGTCTCAGATTGCTTGGGGGAAACCTGAGAAAGGAGAAGGCTTAGGCAGCTGTGGGAAGGAGGGGGCCTTCAGTCTCTGTAACTGCCTACCAAAGAAGAATTGCTGTGCTTACTAGGCCTGGTACTCTTTAGCAGATCCGGTTTCCTTGAATAAAGAGTTACCTTCACTTACTCTGTGTGATTTATTGCTAGCTCGCCCTTGTCACATTTGTTGCCCCGCCCACCACTGGCCTGTGGCCCCCAAAATGTTTCCCAGAAGGGAATGTGGCTCTTGGGCCATATCCTTGACCTCTGATAACACCACTAGCTTCCCTGGATGGAGAATAGGGAGAGGGATTTGTAAATGAGCGTAGAAACTAGCTTACTGCCCAAAGTGAAAATTTACACCCATCACTCCGCCCACTTTTGACACCCACCCACCACTGGCATGTGGCCCCTGGGAGGTTTCTCAAAAGGGAAGGTGGCCCTTAGGCTGAAATAGGATCCCCAAGCCTTTTAAGTGAATAGTGAACTTGCTCTCTGAACCCGGATCCTTACGCAGCCAGAATGGCATCCCTCAGTAATGAGGCGGATATATCAGCAAGCTTGGAGGGAGAGAGAAAGGAACCGAGCAGAGCCCAATAAGGGCTGAGCATGCCCAATGGCTGCAGAATGTTGGGGCTGGCTGTAGCGTAATGGAGTTGTTTGGAAAGGGTGTGGCTGGCAGCCTGAACAGAAGCACTTTCCCCTGAAGCATTTATTGTAGTGGATATATATATGCATTCACCTCTCCCTCTGTGGATTAGCCGCTCCCCTCTCCGGCAGTTTCCTCCATTCATTAACCTTTACAACAAATTAACTAATAGCTTCTGGAAATCTCGGCGGATCCAAAGGGCAGATTTCCTTCGCTAATCACCTCAAAACTGTGGATGGTGCCGCTTTTGGGAGCCACCCACACGCATGAGGGAGAGAGCAGTGGACCCCGAGGGAACCCCAATGTTTACGGAAATTACAAATAAATGAATGAACATGTTTGGGGGAAATAAAACCGATGGGGAAGGGATGCTGAAACATCTGAGTCAGTGCTGATCATACTCAACTTAACCCGAGGTAATACTGTAATAATAATAATAATAATAATAATAATTTATTATTTATACCCCGCCCATTTGGCTGGATTTCCCCAGCCACTCTGGGCGGCTTCCCACACAATATTAAAATACAATAACCTATTAAACATTAAAAGCTTCCCTAAACAGGGTTGCCTTCAGATGCCCTCTAAAAGTCTGGTAGTTGTTTTTCTCTTTGACATCTGGTGGGAGGGTGTTCCACAGGGAGGGCGCCACTACTGAGAAGGTTCTCTGCCTGGTTCCCTGTAACTTGGCTTCTCACAGCAAGGGAACCACCAGAAGGCCCTCGGCGCTGGACCTCAGTGCCCGGGTAGAACAATGGGGGTGGAGACGCTCCTTCAGGTACACTGGGCCGAGGCCAGTATGTTCTTCATAAGCAGACGCTTGTGAAATATTTGCTGGGGTGCTTTGTCCCTAAACTACACCCCACCTGCCGGTTTGGTGGGCCACAGATTCTACAGCTCTAAGCATCGGCACATGAAGAATGGAGACTGAAGCTGACTGACTATGCAGAATTGGACAGATTAACCGGGAAAATTAGATATCTTCGAGACCAAAAGTTCATCGAGGACTGGGGGAAATTTGTTGAGTATCTGAAAAGAACATGTGATGTGCAAACAACACTGGTGGGATTTCAAGAAGCACTGTGAAAGTTGAGATATATTGTTAAAAAGAAATAGGAGTGGGAGGGAAGTTTAATGGCAATATAAACAGAGGAATGCGTAAACTGAGAGGTAAATATGGATGATTGTCAGAGAAGCCGTAGGAAGTCTAAAAAGAAACAAATTTGTGAAAATTTGATAGAATTGTATATTTGTGTTGGAAAATAATAAAAATTATTTATATATTAAAAAAAAGCATCGGCACATGATGCTCCGCGCATCAGCTGGCAAAGTTTCCCACCTGTTCCCATGGCCTCCCTGGCATCGATCTCTGCTGCCAAGCCTTCGCTTCATCAGCCAAGAGGAACAACGAATCACATAAACTCTAAAACAAACACAATTTTGAAACGGCTGCTTTGTGGTTAACCAAGCATTGAAGCCACCAGAGGGCCGAACCCACCTGTGAATCAGGCAGCTTGAATTCAAATCCAGTTAGCTGTGACCAAGGTGGGGCTGGGATCCTGTTCAAGGTGATGCAACCGTCCGCATGAGCTCATGCTAGCAAATAGATCCGAGAATGGTGTGTTAAAGATTAAGGTTGCCAGCATCCAGACTCGGGGTGTGTGTGTGTGGTGTTCCTGTGCCTTTTAAGGCAGGGGGTGCCAACCTTTTGGGGCCTATTTTAATTTTTAATTATTACTTTATTCAAAGAATAACAAATAGAAATATCCGTTATCTCCCACAAACTTGGAAAGTAAGCTGGAGTCCATGTAGATATTTTGATTAGTGACAGTGTTTTCCTTCTGTGACTTGTACCCCCAAGTGTGTTTTATAAGTTGGTCTCCGACCGTAATAAATTATCTATCTATCTATCTAGTGACGGTGCACATTTGGATTCTAGAAAGAGTGATGTGAGTGCCACCAATTCTGGTCACTACTTCCCCCTCCCAACATTTCTCCGATGAAAATAGGATGTCCTATTCTGTTGTTGTTGTTGTCGTCGCTGTTGCTGTTGTTGCTGCTGTTGTTGTTTATACCCTGCCTATCTGTCTGGGTTGCGCCAACCACTGTGGGCAGCTTCCAACATATATAAAAAACATAATAAAACATCAAACTTAAAAAAAAAAAACTTCCCTGTACAGAGCTGCCTTCAGATGTCTTCTAAAGGTTGTATAGTTACCATATTTTTCGCTCTATAAGACGCACCAGACCACAAGACGCACCTAGTTTTTGGAGGAGGAAAACAAGGGGGGAAAAATTCTGAATCTCAGAAGCCAGAACAGCAAGAGGGATCACTGCACAGTGAAAGCAGCAATCCCTCTTGCTGTTCTGGCTTCTGGGATAGCTGCGCAGCCTGCATTCGCTCCATAAGACGCACACACATTTCCCCTTACTTTTTAGGAGGAAAAAAGTGAGTCTTATAGAGCAAAAAATACGGTACTTATCTCCTTGGCTCGCATAACTCCATACCCTCCTACATTTCTCCGATGAAAATAGGGACGTCCTAAGGAAAAGTGGGACATTCTGGGATCGGATCAGAAACCGGGGCGGCTTCTGTAATTCCGGGACTGTGGACCCTGGGAAATAGGGACACTTGGAGGGCTGAACATACCGTGAGACAGGAAGAGAGAAAGTACCCACAAAATGCACCCGTCACAGTTCCCAAAAGTAGGACTCAGCTGAATTAATCTTGAGTTCCCTAAGAAGCCTGAAGATCTGAAAGAGGAAGTGGAAGTGAAAGAGGAAACTTCCTCTTTTAGATTTCTAGAGACTTTTTGAGGGAAGAAAAGAATAGGAACTTCCCTCGCTGCCTCACGACCAAGCGAAGGGCTGAAAGGTTTTATGGAGACCCTTGTTGTAAGAGTTACTGGGATTTTCACCCCGTACGGCGTCACTCATCGCCAGGCTGACAGGCCTGTGGGTGATACAGCTGTATTTGAAGCTTAAAAACATGTCGGAGAAGGTATATGCCTACCGTATGGAAGTTAACTGGACAACAAAAAAGGATTTTACGCGCTCTCATGGTAGCCAAGAGGCTGATACTGATGAACTAGAAGACAATATATATCCTTTAATCAGTGGATCGATCATATGATAACACTTGCAACCTATGAACAGACTGCTTACAGACGTAGACTGCTTAGTTAACACAGCAATATCTGGAACGAATGTATAGAAAATGCAGTAGGCTGTTAATATTTCTACAGTGGTACCTCGGGTTACATACGCTTCAGGTTACATACGCTTCAGGTTACAGACTCCACTAACCCAGATATAGTGCTTCAGGTTAAGAACTTTGCTTCAGGATAAGAACAGAAATCGGGCTCCGGCGGTGTGGCGGCAGCAGGAGGCCCCATTAGCTAAAGTGGTGCTTCAGGTTAAGAACAGTTTCAGGTTAAGTACGGACCTCCGGAACGAATTAAGTACTTAACCCGAGGTACCACTGTATTAGTATTGGGATAATAATCTCAAATTTTTGTCTATATTCATATAACGCTTCCCCTTCCCTTTACACAGTTCTGTGTTTTGATTTCCCCCCTTCTTTTTGTATCACTTTACTGCTTTATATTTGAATTTATGTTTCAATAAAATATCAATTAATAAATGATGCAGGAGAACGGTGCGCCGGAGCATGGACAGAGTTACTGTACATCCCCTGCTTGCAAGGATCGCTGCCCACTCCTCCCCTGACCGTGCCTTTTAGCAACAGTCCAGAAATGTCACCTGCGGACACTTCTCACCCCCCCATTACTTTATCTGCCCGTGGACTGTCTCGCCAGAGTGGTGCATGCTCTAGTTATCTCCCGCTTGGACTACTGCAATGTGCTCTACGTGGGGCTACCTTTGAAGGTGACCCGGAAACTGCAATTAATCCAGAATGCGGCAGCTAGACTGGTGACTGGGAGTGGCCACCGGGACCACATAACACCGGTTCTGAGAGATCTGCATTGGCTCCTAGTACGTTTCCGATCACAATTCAAAGTGTTGGTGCTGATCTTTAAAGCCCTAAATGGCCTCGGTCCTGTATACCTGAAGGAGCGTATCCATCCCCATCGTTCTACCCGGACACTGAGATCCAGCGCCGAGGGCCTCCTGGCGATTCCCTCATTGCGAGAAGTGAGGTTACAGGGAACCAGACAGAGGGCCTTCTCGGTAGTGGCACCCGCCCTGTGGAACGCCCTCCCTTCAGAGGTGAAGGAAATAAGCAGATATCCTATCTTTAAAAGGCATCTGAAGGCAGCCCTGTTCAGGGAAGTTTTTAATATTTAACGCTGTACTGTTTTTAACACTTGATTGGGAGCCGCCCAGAGTGGCTGGGGAAACTCAACCAGATGGGCGGGGTATAAATAATAAATTTATTATTATTATTATTATTATTATTATTATTATTATTATTATCTCTGTGTCAGGCTCTGTGCCTGTTCACATGTTCATTCTGCTCTTCAGAGGCACAGGAGGCAGAGAGAAAATTTGGCAACAGCGGCCTCTGGAATCTAGGACCGTTACGCCTAGCAGCCCCAGACGAGTTAGTGAGCTCTTTCCAAAAGGTCAAGAAACAGGAGCCCAGTTTCCTTCTGGAGTCCATCTCCCAAAACCCGAAGACGAATGAAGGATCTGGATTGATTTAGCTGGACTCTGACTCACAAAGAGATGTTGTAACGTGGAAAAGGCGTTGGCTGGCTTAGCGATTGCAGGCTGGGGATTTGCCAGCTTCTGATAGCCACGGGCAAAATCCAGAGCTCGACATTTTAACTTGCAGGGTTGTGTGGGTGTGAGACCTCTGAGCAGCTCATGTGTCTTGCACATCTGGAATCTGCGTGGACATCTGGAGAGAAAAAGCCTCCTCTTCTTCCAGGAAGGGCTTGCTCCCAGCCAGAAATGAGGGGAGAAGGCTGTGATTCCCTGGCAGAGGACCTGCTTTGAGTGCAGAAGGCTCCCAGTTTGATCTCTGCCATCTCCAGTTCCGGCTGGGAAAAGAGGGCTGGTTGGCTGGGGGCAGTGCCGGATTTACGTATAAGCTAAACAAGCTATAGCTTAGGGCCCCACTCTCCTGGGCGCCCCCCCAAAAAATTAAATGGAAAAAACCCTGGATGTACATTTCCAAAATATAAGATATAAAATAAAACCTACATTCAGCAACTGTGTTTTGTGTTGTGTGGGCTCCTATGATGTAAGGAATGGGCCCCACCTGCTAGCCTGCTCCCTAAAATATCACTGGTTTGCTCATTTCTATATCAATTACTTTGATAAAATACATATTTTGTTATGCGCAAATGGCTTTAGATACCTATTAGGTCCATAAATTACCGTATAGCATATATCCAACACAAAAAACAGCGACAATTTGTTGTTGACAAAGGACAGCTGGACATATAAAGGGCCCCATTACCTTCAGTAGCCGAGGGCCTCATCAAACCTAAATCAAACCTAAGTTTCCCAGGGTGATGGGGTACCGTTAGTGAGCACTCTTTGGGTTCGCTCAGCCAACCAGCTGCAAATCCACCTAACAGTTACCATGTCCAGCCCACATTTGACCAGCTTCTCCACAAGATTATCATGGGGGGCTTTGTCAAAAGCCTTACTGAAATCAAGATACGATAATGTCCACAGCATTCCCCTGATCCACCAAGCTTGTAATTCTATCAAATATGAGATCCATCTGGCATGACTTGTTTTTGAGAAAACCGTGCTGAAGCCAGCGCAACCGAACTGGCCGTGATCCCCTAAATTTGCCTACTGCCTGGCCGGTATAGTGCCTGGCTCCAATCAAGTCTTGGTTGCGAATTACTGGCACATTGCCTTTCTGGATCAAACCAAGGATTTGCCCAGCATCCTGTTTCCAACAGAGGGCATCCCGGAAGCCCCTAAAGCGAGGCCTGAAGGCAGCAGCCCTCCTTCCCTGCTGTTCATCCCCCAGAAGCAGGCATTCTGTGATAGACTGCCCTTGCACAAGGAGGCTCAGTTCGAGCTAGCATAACTAAAAGAGCCGCTGGGGGAAGGAGTTTGGGGAAGGCTGAGGCGGCAGCGGAAACAATCTAGAAAGCATCACAGAGAGGAAAAGCAAGCCAGTTGATAAGTACAGATGGATGTGAAATTAAGGATGCATAGCCGTTTAAAAGGAGCTAAAAGCAACTCACCGGATGAGAATGTGTATGGCAAGCTTGAGTGGTGAAGCAGGGAACTGGTATAGCATCTCCCTCTTATGCAGTTTCATGGGGGGTCCCCAGAGATTGAAGCTGGTAAAAGCAGGAACATGATCTCGTTGCCAGGATATGTCCTGAGGGACTGCTGGCATCCAGCCATCTTCTCCTCGGGTTGTGAACAACTCTTTTTCTTTTCTTTTCCCCCCTTTCCCGCTTTTAAATTAACTTTATTTACTGAGGCTTATTCATAGATCTTCAAAAATACATACCCATCAGAAAGCATATTTTTTACAATATACTAAGACAGCTACTTGGTCTAAAAAAAGAAGAAATTCAGAAAGAAGACAAGGCAAGAAATGGAGAGACCAGGAAAAAAGAGAAAGGGAGAGAAAAGGGGAAAGAAAGAAATAACTATGGAAAGATAGGTAAAGGGACCCCTGACCATTAGGTTCAGTTGTGGCTGACTCTGGGGTTGCAGCGCTCATCTCGCTTTATTGGCCGAAGGAGCCGGCGTACAGCTTCTGGGTCATGTGGCCAGCATGACTAAGCTGCTTCTGGCGAACCAGAGCAGCGCACAGAAATGCCATTTACCTTCCCGCCGGAGCGGTACCTATTTATCTACTTGCACTTTGACGTGCTTTTGAACTGCTAGGTTGGCAGGAGGAGGGACCGAGCAACAGGAGCTCACCCCGTCGCGGGGATTCGAACCGCCGACCTTCGGATCGGCAAGTCCTAGGCTCTGTGGTTTAACCCACAGCACCACCTGCGTCCCATTAACAACTCTTGCTTGAGCCTAAATTAGGATTCTCTTGGCCTTATCAATGTTCTGCCTGAAGGTGGCCAGCTTTTAATTTTAGGAGGCCTCCTGCGCCTTTAATGCAGGGAGGGTTCAGTTTCCTTGGAATGAAAGCAAGAGAGAGGCAGGCCGGTGGCAGAAAGAGGAAATAGCGGGTGGTTTCACCCAGTGGTGCAGACTACAAAGAGAGAACTTCTGTCGTGTCTTAAACACAAGCTGATTTTTTTTTTGTGTGGTGTGCTACTTTGTCATCCGTGAGGGTTGAGTCACGTTAAATTCTGTTTGCCATCGAGGCATAGCTGTCAAGTGTCCCTTATTTGAAGGGACAGTCCCTTATTCTAGCGCCATGTCCCACTGCGGTCCCTTATTGATGGATGTCCCTTAAATGTCCCTTAAATGATGTCCCTTAAATTTCAAAGGAAGCAGCTCCTCTCCCTCCCTCCCTGCCGGCCAGGGAGGAGGGAGGCTCCAACTGTGTTGCTTGGCTGTGTTGCTCACCCAATAAGAAGTCTAAGAACGACTGGGAGGGTGGAGCTTGCATGCCTTGTGTGTGGCTAGTTAATGCAAGCTGAAGAGGTTTTTGAATGCTGGACGCCATTTTGTTGCACGTGCTGCTGCAAACTTTGCAGTGCAAAGCCAGGCCGGGGAGCCATCTTAAGTTGAGGCTGCATAGGCCTTGTGGTGCATGTGATTCAGATTCTATTCAGTTGAACCTCTGGTTACAAAGTTGGTTGGACAGTGTTTTCGAAGCTACCAGCATGAGTTTGACCAGACTGCAGGAGGACAGGAAGACTGGAGTGCCTGGAACAGGTGAGGCTGCAGGTCCCTTATTTTGGCTGCTGGTCCCTTATTTTCAAGGCTGCTGGTCCCTTATTTTCAAGGCTGCTGGTCCCTTATTTTCAAATCTGTAAGTTGACAGCTATGCATCGAGGTGCCACGAATGGAGGAGAACTACATGCTGCAATCGAGGGCCGCATTCCTTTCTGAGCAACATTTGGAGGGCCATAGGTCCCTCCCCCCCAAAAAATACCCCACACAGCTAACTTACAGCTGGTTCTCAGCTTCTCTCTGCTCCGCCGATTTCAAAGCAGAAAGGGCGTTTATTCTTTTGGCAAAAGGCATAATTTGAAAGGCGTAATTATCTTGCAATGTTATTACCAACAGTTGAAAGAAAAATACACATTGGCAGCTGCAGCTGCGTGTTTGTGGGAAGGAGCAGGTTTTTACGCTGCCTTGCCACCCGCCCCCCAGGCACATGTTCACACTAGGGACTAGAAACTTCCTCCCACCTGAGCCTTCAGAGATTACACTTCCCAATAATCCCGGGGAGGAACTGTGAAGCACGACAAGTCTTGCACCCTGCATTATTATAATAATATGATTTCTTACATTCATGTACCACTTTTTCATCCAAGGAGCTCCAGGTTCCCCCCTCCCTCCTCATTTTATCCTCAGAACAACCCTGTGAGGTAAATTAGGCCCAAAGCCACCCAGAGAGCTTCATGGCTGAGTGGGGATTCGAACCCCAGTCTCCCAGGTCCTAGCCCATGCCGGCTCTCAGTCACGCTCTCTTAAAAGCACATGTGGGGATCTGAACTCACAGCCTCTGGATCCCCAGCCACTGGCTTTCCCTCCCTACGAGTAACAGGCCCAATGGTCTTCCTGGCTGGGACAGTTGCCGCTGGCAACATCAGTCTCCCTCCCTTCTGTTCAGCCAGGTGTGGCAAACAGGATGCAGGGGACAGGTGGGGAATCTGTTGCTAAGCAACAAGAGGCCAGGGACCGCTCAGTGGGATGACGGGACTAGGAAAGATGCTGGAGTTCTGGCCGTGTGTGTGTGTGTGTGTGTATATCTTTTTTTCTTCTGAAGTTCAGCATGCCTGACTTCGTCCTTAAAACCAGCAGAGAATGGAGCTGGTTTTCAGCTGTTTTCTTGGAGGCCGAACAATAAACCTCTTTGTGTACAAAATACACAGAGAGAGATCAGGAGAGAGAGAGAGAGAGAAGTAAGGGGAGGTAAGGGAGAAAAACCGGCCCTTCGGCCTTTCAGGGTGCGGCAGGGTTGGGTTTGGAAAGGGACCCTGCAAAGGCAATAATTTTGAATCCTTTACAGTGGTACCTCGGGTTAAGTACTTAATTCGTTCCAGAGGTCAGTTCTTAACCTGAAACTGTTCTTAACCTGAAGCACCACTTTAGCTAATGGGGCCTCCTGCTGCCGCTGCACCTCCGGAGCACGATTTCTGTTCTCATCCTGAAGCAAAGTTCTTAATCCGAGGTACTATTTCTGGGTTAGCGGAGTCTGTAACCTGAAGCGTATGTAACCTGAAACATATGTAACCCAAGGTACCACTGTACTGGGAATTGAACGAGATCTACACCCAGTATAGGCCTGACCAGCCACTTTGTTCTACAGAACAGAGCTGTGCATTTAGTTCACTCCACACTTGCAAGGAATCCGTCTTTCAGGGTGGCAGGACCTAATCTCTGGAACTCCCTGTCCCTTGATATTAGCAGGCGCCTTCGCTGTTTCTGGCGTTTGTCTAAAGACTGCATTGCTTTCAGCAGGCCTAACCAGACGTGTAATTTGGACCGGTAATTATATTTTATAATGTTTGTTTTTTCAGAGCTGCTGATTTTGCTTATCTTTGGATCCATTTTGGGTTAGCTTCCTTTTACTGTTAGCTAAGTTCCGTTGCCAGTTCCAGCAGCCAAGCCCTTTTGATATTCTTGCAGAGCCTCCATATCCAGGCACAGTCTATCTTGTTCCCTAGTTCTTAGGGGCATTTTGGCCACTGTGAGAACAGGATGCTGGACAATGATGGGCCATTGGCCTGTTCAAGAACTGGGCTTTTCTGATGTTCTTAATTGTCTCCGCCAGTCCTTCTGGTACGCTGACATTCTCCCCAAGCCATATTGATAAGAATGACCAGAAACTGTTTTTATATGCAACAACAGCCGCGAGGCTTTTACTGGCCCAGGTGTGGAAACAGCAACAATTGCCAACAGTAGAAGAGTGGCAGTACAAGTTTATGGAGTATGCAGAAATAGCCAAACTAACGGCAAAAATTCGACATCAGGGTAATGAAACATATCAAAAAGAATGGGGGAAATTTATGTTATATATAGAGAAGATGATGTGAAATAGGGAAATCAGTAGAACCGAAATAAACCTCATAACGGGAAAATACAAAGAAATTTATTGGACAATAATATCAAAATGAATTAAAAATGTATATTATGACCAAGGTTGAACAGTATTTGTAAATGAATATAGACAAACAACAAGAATTGTATATATAGAAAGATTTATTTGTTTATGGACATTTCATGGACAAAAATTAAAGAACAACTATATACAAAATGGATAAAGACAATGCGAAAAGATAAAGACGACACAAAAAAGATGGAAGAAGGAAGGAGGGAAGTCAGCTCTTGAGAGCAAGAATAAATGTAAAATGTAATATAATATGTGTATGTATTTTTGTTTAGTCGTGTCCGACTCTTCGTGATCCCATGGACCAGAGCACACCAGGCACTCCTGTCTTCCACTGTCTCCTGCAGTTTGGTCAAACTCATCTTGGTAGCTTTGAGAACACTATCCAACCATCTCGTCCTCTGTCGTCCCCTTCTCCTTGTGCCCTCCATCTTTCCCAACATCAGGTTCTTTTCCAGGGAGTTTTCTCTTCTCATGAGGTGGCCAAAGTATTGGAGCCTCAGCTTCAGGATCTGTCCTTCCAGTGAGCACTCAGGGCTGATTTCCTTCAGAATGGAGTGATTTGATCTTCTTGCAGTCCATGGGACTCTCAAGAGTCTCCTCCAGCACCATAATTCAAAAGCATCAATTCTTCGGCGATCAGCCTTCTTTATGGTCCAGCTCTCACATCCATACATCGCTACTGGGAAAACCATACCTTTAACTATACGGACCTTTGTTGGCAAGGTGATATCTCTGCTTTTGAAGATGCTGTCTATGTGTGTGTATGTATAGTATGTAATTATAAAAAAACCAATAAAGATCATCTTTTTTAAAAAAAGACATTCTCCCTAAGCCACGCCAGCCACCCCTCCAGGCCCTGGACGCCAGTCAGCCCACCACAAAGATACTTCTCCTGTTTGACAAGAGAGCACCCTGAGTCGGCTGGGAATAAGCCCTGGGTGGCTCGGCGGAGTTCCGTCTGGGCTTGCAGGCCTGAGGGGAGCAGCGGTGGGGCAGGCGGGGAGCAGGGGTGGCTCGAGAACGCCTGCGCTCAGCAGAAACCTTTGCATCCCGTTGAAAATGCAGCCCTGGCAGTTTCATTCAAAGGCAAAACTCTCTCGGGTGCTCAGCGTGAGCTAGACAGGGCTGGGGCTCAATTGGTAGCTGGAAAATCAGGCCACGCGACTGGAAGTTTCTACTCTTTCCCAACTTTTAAAGCGAGAGAGGGTGGCTGCTATGGGCAGGGTTGGTGTGTATAGCCCTCTATTTATTTATTTTTTTCAAAAAAAATTATTGGTTTTGCAAGTTTATAACAAATATAACATACAAAAAATAAAAAAATTAAAACAAGAAAAATAAAGAAAAAAGAACATACAAATAAACACTTAATCCTTCCAAAATCCAATTTAGTTTTCATTGTTAACTGACTTCCTCAACCCCTCCAACTGAATTCCATTGTATCCCCTTGTAACAGTTTTCCAATATCTTCTTTCTAACAAAATTTACTTTTTCAGATTACTTCCTTTACTTCTTTTCATAATTTCTCCCACAACGTTTTACAATTTAGTCATATTCTATTCCTAAGCCAAATTGATAAATTCAAGTAGCTTCGACTTATCTTATATTACAATATTTAGCTAAATAATCTTTGAATTTCTTCCATTGGGGTGTATGGACCTCTAGGCCGCTCTGTCTGGCCCTTGTAACTTTCCCCAAGCCACGCCCCTTAAACACAGGCCACGCCCCCTCACCAGCCCTGCTTCTTACACACTCAACATATTATCTGCCTTAGCTTAATAACCACTTTTGTCTCTTTCTGGCTGCTGTAAGTTCCAGAAATGATTTCCTGAAGCTGACTACACCTGAAGCCAGCACGTCAAATGCGGCCCTCCGAGGCTCTTAGCCCGGCCCTCAGAAACCTCCCCAGGGTCACGCCCCTGTTTTGCACACTCCCCCCCCCACTAAACCCTATAAATTAATAAATGGTGGGGTTTTGTTGATTTGGGATGTGAAGGGAGAAACGCCAGCTGCAGAGGAATTCCTGGGCTAGCCTCTGCAAAAAATAAAATAAAAAAACGACCTGCCCAAGCCAGGGCTATTAAGAAGCAATGCAGGGCCATTGAGGGCACAATGCAAGAGAACTGTTCTTCTACCATGGTCCTGAGGTGTGAACAGAGACTGGGGAAGGTGGTCAAGGTAACTGGGTGTGAGGTGACAGGTAAAGAGGTGTTTTCGGAAGAAGAAGGAAGAGTGGGATCCATCTTTGGCAGGCTGGCCGGAGGCTGCTTGCAGTGCTGTGGGGGACAAGTCCCTCATGAAACGACCGTGCTGTAAGATCTGGACTTCCTCCATGCAGACTGAAGGTGTAAATAGGTGAATAAACCATATTTCTGAAAGCTACACCGGTCTCCGCCGTGTCTCAGTTCTCCAAAGGAGCACAGACCCTGGAAGACTGCCTGGAACCACCTGGGAGCTTGCTATCGCTCAGCAAAGCGTGAGGAGCAGTGCTGGATTTACATATATGCTAAACAAGCTATAGCTTAGGGCCCCAAAAAAATTTCAAGGAGAAAAAAACCCTCAAATATTTTATTGGGGGGAGCAAAGAGACCTCGACCCTAGAAGTTAGGTCCTATGCCTGGAGAAACGGGGACTTCGGTAGCTGTGTTAAAGCAGGGACATTCAATCTCTGCAACTGCTTCATAGGCACAAGACCTACCGATGAGCATTCGCTGTGCTGACTAGGTCTGACATCCTTGTGCAAATCCTGTTTTTTTCTAATAAAGAGTTAACTCCCCTTGCTTTGTGTGATTTACTGCTGGCTTGATCCTAACACTGTGGTTTCCGGCAACTGATGTTCTAGGGCTGCCATAATTCAAACAGTGAAATATTTTAGTTTTGCCCAAAGTTGTTGAGCTTTTTTGGCAAGGCTGCTGACTGATATATCAAGGAAATGCTGGTTTTTCAAAATCATGGTTAGTAGCCATCGATAGCCTGCTCCATGGCTGCTCCACCCTCTTTTGCCTCTGGCATGTGGTCCCTGGAAGGCCCTTGGGCTGAAAAATAGCAGAATCAAAGAATTGTAGACTTGGAAGGGACTCACAAGGGTCATCTAGTCCAACCCCATGCAAGGCGTGAATCTCAGCTAACGAAGCTCAAGACCACCCCTCTAGACATCATACATACATCACAGAAGGGGTGTAGCTCAAGACCACCACCCCCAGATACATCATACCTACATCACAGAAAGGGTGGTCTACAGCAGAAATCTGAGTGCTTTGTTTACCTCCTGTTTGCCAGGTTACCTGTTGAATGGTCACTTGACTGGATTGCCTAGGGAGCCTGGCCAGTCTTTTGTAATGATAAATACTTAGTTCCTGAGTCAAATGTGCCCTTAAGACAGGATTTGTGAAGGAAAAGACAACGGGGAGGCTTTTCCATTTTCCTTTGACCTTGCAGAGAAAACATTTGCTCAGTTTGGGAATCAAAATGGTTTCAGGTTGGTCTTCCTGTGTTGATCTATGTACGTGCTTGGTTGGTACACTTATGAACATTTAGCATATATCTAAGACCCCCAAATTCCTATCACAGCATCCAACCTCTATTTAAAACCATCCCACGAAGGAGAGCCCACCACCTTCCGAGGTCGTCCATACCACTTGTTCCCCTGGCCCTAGAATGATGCAACGGAAACATTCATAGAATCATAGAATCCCCGAGCTGGAAGGGACCCAAGGGTCATCTAGTCCAACCCCCTGCAATGCTGGAATCTCGGCTAAAGCACCCACAGCAGATGGCCAATGAGGGCCTACAATACATAGTTGGCTAGAGCATGGTGTTGATAATGCCACAGCTGTAGGTTCGATCCCCGTAAGGGACAGCTGTCTATTCCTGCATTGCAAGGTGATTCGACTAGAAGTGTTGAATGGTCTCTTTAAATCTGAAGGTTCATTATTGTTCCACAAGATGTATATTTCTTTAAAGGCCAGAGCAAATAACGTAATCAAGTTTTACAGCTGTGAAGCAGTATAGCAGGTGCTGTTAAGTTATGTTGAGTAAGCTGTTGGGTATAGTATATAAAGAGCAGCAAGTAGCTCTCTCAGTATCCTGGTGGATGGGTCATGCTTATTGATATAGCGTAAAACGGTAAAGGGACCCCTGACCATTAGGTCCAGTCATGGCCGACTCTGGGGTTGCGGCGCTCATCTCGCTTTATTGGCCAAGGGAGCCGGCGTACAGCTTCCGGGTCATGTGGCCAGCATGACTAAGCCGCTTCTGGCGAACCAGAGCAGCACACGGAAACGCCGTTTACCTTCCCGCAGGAGCGGTAGCTATTTATCTACTTGCACTTGACGTGCTTTCGAACTGCTAGGTTGGCAGGAGCAGGGACAGGAGCTCACCCCGTTGTGGGGATTCAAACCGCCGACCTTCTGATCGGCAAGCCCTAGGCTCTGTGGTTTAACCCACAGCACCACCCGCGTCCCCTGATATATTGTAATTTAGTGTAAAAGGAGTTTTTGTTATTAAAACCAAGCAAAAGTTATTTTGCATTTCTGGAATGTGTGGTCTCCCCAGCACGCCTTCTGCAGAGCAACTAATCTGCAAAATAGCCAACAAGAAAACCCTCAGGGTCTTTCTCAACCATGTCCTTGTATGAGTCTGTGCTTCTAATCTTGCCTCCCTTCTCTCCCCTCCGAAAAGAGAAGGCAGCAGCAATGAAACAAACCCAATGAAGTTTTAAAGCAAACTTTATTGTGGAAAGAGAAAGAGGCGTGGAATAATCTCCATCACGGCGGAGCCTCCAGATCAGAGAGGCGTCGTCGATGGGGCCTTTGTGAGGGAGAAGGAGAGAACAGGCGCGAGGCTGAGCTCTCAGGTCTCCGGCCTGCACAGACACCACAATTGCCCTTGATTCTGCCCCCCCCCTCAGATCACTTGCCCCTGGGCATCTTGTCGGGATAGCCCTGGAAGAAATCGTTGCACATCATGGCCACGCAGGCCAGGAAGACGGCGTACTCTTGGAAGTCCACCTCGTTGTCCTTGTTGTTGTCTAAGTTGCTCATGATCCTCTGGAAATTCGTCTCGTCCTTCTTTTTCTGCGGGAGGGAGGTTGGATTTCATTGGTGGGCGAGGTTTAAAAAGAGATCTGGGGTTGCCACGACGTGGCCGGGAAGGAAGGGGGGGCTGTCCGACCCTTGCTGCGTTGTGCGAGAGCTTTTGCCTCACCAGCTTTGCAGGGGAAACTGGCTGTTTATTGCTGAATCAGAACGAATGCCGATTCGCAGAAAACCCAATTGACATTCATTCTGATTCAGCAGTAAACATTGGGGGGTAGTTCCCTGTTGCCCCAGCCACTCTGGGCTTCTTCTAGCCCCAGAGGCTAGGATCCAGAGAAGGTCTAACCTTTTTGCATGTACGTGTTTTTAATTATTGAGGTACCGTATTTTTCTCTCTATAAGACGCACTTTCCCCCTCCTAAAAAGTAAGGGGAAATGTGTGTGCGTCTTATGGAGTGAATGCAGGCGGGAGGCTCTGCTCAGCGCTCCCTTTAAAGAGCCCCGTGGAGCTCTTTTCACGCACTCTTTAAAGGGAGTGCAGCTCTTGGGGGAGCCTTCATCCCCTTGCCCAGGAGAGGCTGTGCGCGGCTATCCCATAAGCCAGGACAGCAAGAGGCTATCCCAGAAGCCAGATCCCTCTTGCTGTTCTGGTTTATGGGATTCAGAATATTTTTTTTCTTGTTTTCCTCCTCCAAAAACTAGGTGCATCTTATGGTCTGGTGCGTCTTATAGAGCAAAAAATGCGGTAAGTAGTGCCATCTGCTGCCTTGGTAAAATGCACACCTTGCTGAAATGCACACCTTTCAATTACGTCTGTCTCTCTGACTTGCTTATGTGCCCTGCTTCCCCATTGGGCTTTTGTATAGCCTGCACATGGATGGAGGACGATGGACACTCATAGCCACCAGACTGCTCCAATGGCCTGGAGCGCAAGGCACACCCGTCTGCTAGTTGGGTCTTGCCCAGGGACGGGGAGCCTGTGGCCTTCCAGACTCCAGCTCACATCAGCCCCAGCCATAATGGTCAGGGATGAAGGGAGCTGGCCATATCTGGAGGGCCGCAGGGTCCCGCACCCCTGTCCCGGACACATGTCCCAACCAATCAGGGATCACCCATTAAATGCACATGCAAAGGTGTGAAGCAGGAATGGGGAGCCTGTGGCCCTCCAGATGTGGTTGGACTTCAACTCCCATCAGCCACTGGCTGATGGTCAGGGATGCTGGGAGTTGTGGTCCAGAAGCAACTGGAGAGCTCTGCATTAGAAGACGCAATTGGGATAGATGTCAGAAAGGCAATTGCCAGTCTAGTTCAGGGATTGGGAGTCTTTGGGCCCACTAGATGTTGCTGTATTCCAGCTCCCATCAGCCCCATCACCCATCAGTCAGTGATGATGAGAGTTGTAGTCCATCTGGAGGGCCAGACGTTCCCCACCCTTGTCCTGGGCACATGTCCCAACCAATCAGGGATCACCCAGAGATTCTAGTCCTCATGGTTCAGAATAAAGGGCAGTGTGTCTCCAGAGTTTCAGGAAAAGATTCTGTTGCAGTCCTACCTGGAGAAGGCAGGGATCGAACCTTCTGCGCACAAAGCAGATGTTCTACCACTGAGCTGCCCCCCTTCCCTGAAAAATAATGTAAGTTTCTAGTCCTCATGGTCCAGTAGCTCTCCAGGATTTCAGGAAGGGATTCTTCTGCAGCCTTCCCTGGAGATGCAGGGGACCTTCTTGAGAAGGAGAAGTTCTCCCCCATCGAGGTTCCCTCCTTTGACTTACCCCGAGGAACCCAGGCAGCTCCTTCAAGAGCAGCTCCTTCAGCTCCGCCTTGTTCAACTTGAACTTGTCTCCTTCCTTGCCGGAGTAGTTGTGGAAAGTTGTGACCATCACCTCCAGGGCCTTCTCCAGGGGACTCGCCATTTTCGGATGCTCTCGGAACCTGGCGGTGGCAGAAGAGCGGGTTGGGAATGAGAAAGCTGGTCAGGTGGTGGACGGTGGTGGCGCTTGCCCATTGAGACTGGCTGGGCAGACAACAGGGAAGCCAATGGGAGGTGGAGCCAGAGCCAAGGAGAGGCGGAGCCAACTAATTCCGCCTTTGTCCCCATCCTGCTCCTCCTCCTCTCTTCTGCAAAGGCAACCCTAAGGCTATGTTTGCACCAGATATTTAAATCACTACGATACCACTTTAAACACTCATGGCTTGCCCCAAGGAATTCTGGGAGCTGCTGATTGTTATGGGTGCTGAGCATTGGTAGGAGACCCCACCCCGCCTCCCTTCCAGAACTTCAATTCCCAGAGTGGTTTGACAAGCAATCCCTTTTCTTCCCAGGGAACTCTGGGAATTGTAGTTCTGTGCCTCGCATAGAGCCCCAAATGGTTGGAATCTGTATTGCAATATAATTTATATATTGGAGGAGATTCTTGAGAGTCCCATGGACTGCAAGAAGATCAAATCTATCCATTCTTAAGGAAATCAGCCCTGAGTGCTCACTGGAAAGACAGATCCTGAAGCTGAGGCTCCAATACTTTGGCCACCTCATGAGAAGAGAAGACTCCCTGGAAAAGACCCTGATGTTGGGAAAGATGGAGGGCACAAGGAGAAGGGGAGGACAGAGGACGAGATGGTTGGACAGTGTTCTCGAAGCTACCAGCATGAGTTTGACCAAACTGCGGGAGGCAGTGGAAGACAGGAGTGCCTGGCGTGCTCTGGTCCATGGGGTCATGAAGAGTCGGACACGACTAAACGACTAAACAACATCAACAACACGGGAGTCATGTAGAGTCATGTAGGTGCAAGTGCTGTCAGTCGCATTATAGTCTATCCTTCATTGACAAGTCAATGCAAAGCAGCTAAGAAAGTTCTGGCTAAGACAACTGGGGATTCTCGTAAGAATCCATCGGAGGATTCCATGCAGATTTTGATCAAACGTACAGTAGTTTGGGATACAAGAGTCTGCTCAACAAGAAACAGAACATACAAAAGCCCAGTGGCAGGAACTGGGACTTCTTGTAATGGAAAAGAGAGGATGGAGACAAATTCTGGGAGCTGGTGGTCTAGGGTTTAAATTAAGTGAGATAAGGCGGTGGGAGAAATTTCAGATTGCCAACACCAACTGCAGATGTCTGCTATAGATCCAAGAGCTATGAAGCAATACAGGAATGAGGGTCAGAGTAGGTTTAAATGGTGGTACGACTGATGCCTTTAAAGCATCACGAGGAATGAATCAAGGCTGCATTCTGGCTCCCGCTCTTTTAACATCTATATTAACGATTTGGTGCCATATTTAGCCAACGCAAACTTCCCCGCTGCAGTAATTAGGGACAGAAAGATCTCAATAGTGATGTAAACAGATGATTTAGGGCTCCTCTCTCTTTCCCGATTGGGTGTCAAAAAATCTCTTGGAGGTGCTCAGCACATACTGTAAGCAGGAAAGCCTATCCATAAATTAAGACCAACAGTATGATTTTTGGCAAACATAGTCCTAGGTATAAATGCTCTTTAGAAAGGGACACAGGTAGCGCTGTGGTCTAAACCACTGAGCCTCTTGGGCTTGCCGATCACAAGGTCGGCGGTTCGAATCCCCGCGATGGAGTGAGCTCCTGTTGTTCTGCCCCAGCTCCTGCCAACTTAGCAGTTCGAAAGCACACCAGTGCGAGTAGATAAATAGGTACCACTGTGGCGGGAAGGTAAACAGTGTTTCCGTGTGCTCCGGTTTCTGTCATGGTGTCCCATTGTGCCAGAAGCGGTTTAGTCCTGCTGGCCACATGACCCGGAAAGCTGTCTGTGGACAAATGCCGGCTCCCTCGGCCTGAAAGTGAGATGTGTGCCGCAACCCTATGGTTGCCTTTGACTGGACTTAACTGTCCAGGGGTCCTTTACCTTTTACTTTTTTACCTTTGCTGCTTAGATCAGCAAGCTAGGGGACAAATGCGCTCATTTCGAAACCTGGGTGTACTCTTTAGCAAAACCCTCTCTTGGAAGTGTCATATGGAGACAGTGAAAATCAAAGCACAGAAAACCATAGGGGCATTGATGAAGTTCTGTTGCAACGGCGGAGGGCAGGTGATTGAACCTGTCCTAAATATATTTGGTAGCAAAGTACTTACTCGAGTAAATCTGGGGCTCTGATTTGAATTCTTATTAAAATTTTGTAAATGGTGCAAAAAATATATTTTTGGAAGCTATACTTTCTATCATCAGGAATATTAGCAGTTCTTCTTAGTAAAGAATCCATGTGACCAACATTCAAGGCAAGAGCAGATGGCACTCAGTTAAACTACCTTTTAAAAATGGCTCCTATGCATATTGAGCCATCATCAAAAGGTGATTTGGACTATTATTATTTCCCAGAACTGAGCTCTGCTTCGATGAGGAGTAAGTGTGAACTAAGGGATTGCCTTTTCTGGATAGAATCCAGAAGGAACTGCCCACAACCAATTTCCCCCTTGGTATCCGCTCTCCAGAAAAGAGCATTCTAGAGCTAATTTTCTGACCACACTCTCGCCAGACAAGAAATGTTTTGCTTGAGCTGCATCTCCCAAGTGATGCCCGCTGCAGTCGTGGATGGTCACTTCAACAACATCCATCATTCAAACAGACTTTTTGGTTTGCCTCAGGTAGAAGATATCACTCATTATCTGTTAGCCTGTCCCTTGTATAGAGAGACCCAAGAGATCGCTTTCTGAAATCTTTGCACATACAAGCAAGCAGTCCCACCCTGGCAGAAATGGTTTGGTTTCTTTAGAGTGACAATAAGACCTTTGTAACATACAGAGTGGCCCTTTATGCACTGGCTGCGGGGGAAAAATCAGGAAAAAGGAGTTAAAGAAAATCACTATAAATTGTTGTGGTGATTTGGAGGCTTAATCTGGAGTCAAGATGGATTTGAGTTTGTTGGTGTCTCTGGTAACCATTCTCTCTTACATCATGGAGGTTGGCAAATTGGATTTTAGAAAGGCAAGGTAATATTAGAACTGCTGCTGTCAGAGATGCGCAAGGGAAACTGTGTTTTAACGCTGAGGAAAGTCTTTTTTATATTATGGATTTTTACGTTATGGGTGTACGTTCTGTATTATTTTCTTAACTCTATTGCTTAACGCAAGCCTTTGTCTAGAACAAGAAACTTATGAGGTGGATGGCATCAGAGTCTATATTTTTATTTTTCATCGCCTCCAGACTGAGGTTTGCTGGAGGGAGACCGCACCCGGCTTTAGTCAACCACAGAATCTGGAGATGGTAAAAAAATGAAAGAGGAAACTCTGAGTCATGATGAAAGAATCGGTAGTAGAATTTGGTGGCAAAGTCAGGGGAGGCTTGAGTAAAACAGATGGGAGGGGAGAAACGCCAGAAAGGGATCTGTACTTATTGGGGTGGAGGTGATACGTCTGTCCCCTAAACTGATGGTTCTTCCTCTTGATCCCAGATGAGTTTAGTTGCAGTCAATCGCTGGTTTTGGAGGGCAGGAGTTGAGGAAAGCACATTGTGTGCATGTTCTGGCACACCTTTTAGAGTTAAGTGTCAAGAGGCCAGTCCTCATGACTAGGGGGTTCTATCTGGAGGGAGGGGCTGTTTTCGGGATGAGAAAATCAGCCCATTTCAGTTTCCCTCAGTTCCTTATTTTGCCAACTTTAAGTTCAGCACTCCACATTTCCACATCAGCTTTCTGCCTTGATCCCCGATTAAAAACCATTTTAAAAAAACTTTAAGAATTGACCCCTGAGCTTGCTTCCCCCTCATGAAAATTCGTCAGCAACTTAGTGCAATATTTCCCCTAATAGACACATCCTTGGAAGTAATTTTGCCTAATATAATACATTCTATTTTCACAGATTAACACATTTTAAGGCACACATTCCCCTAGTCTATGCCTTTTTTTGGGGAGGTACACATTACTTGGCTGGAGAACCGCCTAGCAAAATTCAAAGATGTTCGAATTTCCAAAGGTTGGCTGTTTTTGTGCTATTTTGGAGAGAGTGGGGTATATAGGTTTGTTTGCCTTTAAATACAAACTGAGCTGAATCCGCCCTCCCCTTCACTTCTTAGCTGATTGTGATCCAGAGGAGAAAAGTCGCTTCGTGATCAGCTGAATGCACAGTCTGAGATAGGGCAGGATAGACACAAACAGAATTGCGCTGAGAATTGCGCACACAAACCCCTGAGGTCCCATCTGTACTGAGCATTTGAAGTACCCTTCTTTATTTAAGTGGTCCCCCACCACCACAAAAATCTTGGGAAACGTCGTTTGTTGGGGTGCTGAAAGTTCTTAGGTGACACCCCCCCAAATTCTCCACACAGAGCCCCAATTTCCAGAGTCTATCCATCTCTCTCCCTGTGAAACTGGCAATTGCAGCTCTGTGAGGGGAATATTTGCTGTCACATACAGAGACACACTCCTCATTTGAAATGAAAGGTGAGGGCCAGCTATCAGGTTCCAAAAGAATCAGTGCCTTCTAGTTGTCCAGAATCTGATCGTGGGTTGTGGAAGGGCGTGGGAGCAATGCCTCCTACTTTAAAAAGCCACACCCTTTAGCCACTGGGAAACTGAGCATGCCCAGAATGCTATTCTTGGTAGGAAAGTCCTGTTATACAGTCGTACCTCCAATGTTCTGGCTCCCAAACGATCGAAAACTGGAAGTGAATGTTCCGGTTTTGGAATGTTTTTTTGGAAGCCGAACATCCGACGGGGCTTCTGCGTCTTCCAATTGGCTGCAGGAGCTTCCTGGAGCCGACCAGAAGCCGCGCTTTGGTTTACGAACGTTTCGGAAGTCGAACGGACTTCTGGAACGGATTCCGTTTGACTTCCTAGGTACGACTGTATAGATAGATGAAAAGACAGACAGGCAGATAGATACCTAGGCAGCCACACCCTTTATTCACTGAGCATGTGCAGAGTGCTGCTTGGGAATGGGGAGAGAAAGCCCTGCCTGCTATAAAAATCAAACCCACAGCCATTAGCTGCTGGGAACCTGAGTGCTTGCAGAGTTTGGCCCTTTCTGTTTGCTGAATAACAGCCCTTTGCAAGCATATTGGATTGCGTAGGAATCAGGGGCGTCTTGCAGAGTCGCTGTTCTGCTCTCTGTTGCTACCTGTGGTAAGACTGGCTGAAGGGAGTGGAGGGACACGACGCCCATTTCCTCAGCGACTGCTAGCAGATTGCCGTGCATAACACACACTGGAGAAACAAATTGCACCTCTGCAAAAGAGGTCCGCTTTGGATGAAAACAGTCGTTCTTACATCTATCGAATACCGGTGTAACACTGAAGAACATCTGGGGACTTGAAGCTCCTTTCCAGGGCTGGTAGCTTTAAGATCTGGGGAAGATTAATTGTGTGTGGGCAAGATCCCACATCAAGACTCATGCTCCGAAATGGACATATTGAAATCAATGGACTTACGTAACGTTGAGTTGCAGCCGGTGTCACTCCTCCTCACAGCAGACCCACAGAAGTTAATCAGCATGGGGTTGTATCCAACCACATTCTGCTCAGGGCCATTGCAATTAACAAACCTAAGTTCGTGTCGATTAACTTCAGTGGGTCTACTCGGAGTAGGGCTACCACTGACTACAGCTCAACGGCGAATTTTGGTCCCTTAACTTCACCGCGTCTGCTCTAAGTAGAATTTACTTGGGTGACCACCCTAAAAAACCACTGATTCCTGTGGGCCTACTCTAAGTAGGGCATATTTGGCTACTACTCCCAAGCCACAAGGAAGTTCTGCACTTCTGAAACTGCATCTGGACTCTGGTCAGTCATGTCAGCCTCTGCACAACATTAGGCTGAAACTGATGGCCTCATCCTTGTTCTATTTAATTTAATTTAATTTTTTTAGAAAAACAGACTAGGCACGTAAAAATAACAAACAAGACTTACCACAGCAACCAAACACCGAAGCGATCGAGGAGCCTACAGGGCAGGATATGAGGGCTTGTGACAACTCAAGCCATATTTAAAGCCTCGGCAAATCCACCCTTTTATTTCGGTTGCGAAAAGTGTACACCCACTGGGTTCAGAAAGAGACCAATAAGGATCTCCCCAGGGTGTGTTTTTTTGGGGGGGGAGGCTGGTGAGGATGCGAAGGCCTTTGTGATTGCTGCCTCGCCCCTCTCTTTTGCACTCATCCCCGCAGCCCTCTCTCCAAATTCCCAGACCGATTCTTTCCATCTGTCTGGCAAAGAACGGCCTTGAAATGCCAGCTTTGGAAAGGCCAGCGTAGAAGTTCCAGAAAACAGGAGCGGGAGGGAAAGCAAGGCTGGCAAGTCAGAAGAAGGGAAAAGAATAAGCAATGGGAAATGATGACAAATGCATCTTTAATGCACCAGGTCCGCTGGTAAAATTATTTTTATTCTTGGTAGTCGAGCCTGCCCTGTGGAACGCCCTCCCATCAGATGTCAAGGAAATAAACATCTATCTGACTTTTAGAAAACATCTGAAGGCAGGGAGGGTTTTGTTTTAATGTTTGAGGTTATGCTTTTTAATACAGTGGTACCTCGGGTTACATACGCTTCAGGTTACATACGCTTCAGGTTACAGACTCCGCTAACCCAGAAATAGTGCTTCAGGTTAAGAACTTTGCTTCAGGATGAGAACAGAAATCGTGCTCTGGTGGCGCAGCAGCAGGAGGAGGCCCCATTAGCTAAAGTGGTGCTTCAGGTTAAGAACAGTTTCAGGTTAAGTATGGACCTCCGGAACGAATTAAGTACTTAACCTGAGGTACCACTGTATTTTGATGGAAGCTGCCCAGAGTGACTGGGGCAACTGGTCTGATATAGAAATAATAAAATAAAATAGTTATTGTTGTTATTGTTATTATATAAATGTCCAAGACTGATAAGTCTGAAAGTATCTAGTAGTCTCTCCTGACACATTAACTTCCACTCTCACAGCTTGGTTTTTGGAGACAGTTCAAGACAGCAATCACCCATGATCCTTGGTATATACAGTGGTACCTTGGTTTATGAACAGCCCTGTTAATGAACTATTCGGTTTACGAACTCTGCAAAACCGGAAGTAGTGTTCTGGTTTGCGAACTTTACCTCAGTCTAAGAATGGAAGCCGAAGGTGGAAGAGCACTGGCAGCGGGAGGCTTCATTAGGGAAAGCGTGCCTTGGTTTAAGAACAGTTTCAGTTTAAGAACACACTTCCAGAACGGATTAAGTTCATAAACCGAGGTACCACTGTATAACATTTCTATGACATTTTACACTTCTAACTTTGAGGCTCTTCCCCTCAAAGGCATGAGATGCTAAGGATTTGTAGCTCCACTGCGTTGCTGTTACATTTCATTTCATTTTATCCTTTCAGAAGCCATTTTTTCTTGTTTCATTTTCCCATTTTTTTGAGGCTCAAAACTGCTTTCTCGACTTAAGTAACAGAATGAAATAAAGACATAGTTGATGAGAAAGAAGACTTGTCTCGAGATTTCAGAGATGGACACGGGGACTTCCTGGCACGGTTTTTCCAACCGGGGTGAGGAACTTGCTTTGCAACCTTTGGTGAGTTGGGTAGCCATCTTGGTTTTCATAGCAGTCGGGGCTGGACCGGAGGGCTGTCCCGGAAGAAGTCGTGGAAGAAGGTGCAGGCCGCCGCGATGAAGCGGATGTACTCTTCAAAGTCCACTTGGTTGTCCTTGTTTGTATCCAGCAATGCCATCAACTCTTCGAAAGCACCGTCTTTTATTTGAAGCTAGGAAAGGAAAAGAAATGAATGGTTGAGAATGGAGAGAAATGATCGGGGACTGAGGGTCCCTTTCAGAATTATCAGCCTAATCATCACCGTCAGTGAATGAGGGATCATTAAAGAATTATTATTATTGTAATATCACCCCTATATACATAGAAATGTAAGTTTGTCATCATGCTGAAGTTCAGGTGGCCGCCAACTGCAGCATGATGCATAGCAGGCAGGCAGGAGGGTGAGGAAGCAATGCAGTCCAGATGAGGTGTTTGTGGTTTAGAAAGGAGGAGGAGCTTGGGGAGAACTGTGGGAGGATATGCAAAGGGGGTGGGCGAGGTGTAAAGGAAAGGAGGCTAGTCAGATGTGGGGGAATGGTGGTTGGCAAAAAGGTAGGTGGGTTGGCCAGCAGTCCCAGCAGCCTCTATTTTTAGTCTTGACTGATGGGCCCTTTAAGAATTATCAGCATGGTACAACAACAACGGGACGCGGGTGGCGCTGTGAGTTAAACCACTGAGCTTAGGACCTGCCGATCAGAAGGTTGGTGGTTCAAATCCCCGCGATGGGGTGAGCTCCTGTTGCTCGGTCCCTGCTCCTGCCAACTTAGCAGTTCGAAAGCACATCAAAGCGCAAGTAGATAAATAGGTACCGCTCCGGCGGGAAGGTAAACAGCATTTCCGTGTGCTGCTCTGGTTCGCCAGAAGCGGCTTAGTCATGCTAGCCACATGACCTGGAAGCTGTACACCGGCTCCCTCGGCCAATAAAGTGAGATGAGCGCTGCAACCCCAGAGTCGGCCACGACTGGACCTAATGGTCAGGGGTCCCTTTACCTTCACAACAACAACAAGATGATCATAGAATCATAGAATTGTAGACTTGGAAGCAACCACGAGGTCTATCCAACCTCCCTGTAATGCAGAGTGACTGGGGCAACCCAGCCAGATGGGCAGGGTATAATTATAATTATTCTTAACCTTACATGGGGCTCAGACCTGTGACCCTAAGATTAAGAACCTCATGTTCTTATAATGAGTTGGGGGGGGGGAGTTTTAAATGACTTTTTTCTAAAAACCCTGAAGCTTTTCTTTTAGGAATTCTAGGTGCTGAAATCCCAAGGGAGCAGAAAAGTCTATTTGTGTAAGCAACCACGGCTATGCGAATGTTATTGGCCCAGAGATGGAAAGAAGATAAAGTCTCTACCAGAGAAGAATGGCAGATCAAGTTGATGGATTATGCCAAACTGGCAAAAATGACCAGAAGAATCAGAAATCAGGAACACCAGAATTTTAATAAGGAATGAGGGGGAAAATATAATTTATTTTATTTTAAAAACCATTGTAAACAGTAGGACTGCAATAACACTTGTAGTTTAATGGTGAATTTTGGACGTAATGGAGATGTAAAAGATTTGGATTATCATAAAAGAGAAAGGAGGAAATGATTAACAGTAGGACCCACTAAGGGGAGGGGGAAAGTCCAAGAAATTCCTTGGAATTTTGTTTTTATGCTGTATGTTCGGTATGTGACTGTAAAACTTTGATTTGTAAAACCAAATAAACAAATCTTTTAAAAACACACCACATCTTCCACCAACTGAGCTATCCTGTGTGGTGATGTAATGATGATTGTGATGCTGTTGTTGCTGCTGCTGCTAATAATAATAATAATAATAAAAATAATAATAAAACAACTATTTATATACCACCTATCAACTAAGTCTCCTTTGCAGGGCTAATTTGGAAATCTACGAAACTGTCCCAGGCACCTCAAAATACCATTTCTTTTCTTTCCTTTTTTACGTTTTCAATCTTTATTTCTCAAAAAAACACATTTCACAGAAAGAATACTGGTGGCATTCAGAATTCCCCTCCAAAACAGGCAGACTTCTGATGAATTTTCATAAGGATTTTCACACACATACTGCTGCAAAAATGTGGAGAATGGATCGGAACAAATTCCATCCGCAACCCATAATGCTCAGGAGACTGAGAATGGGGTTGGAAGGAGACCTACGGTTTTCAGGCTGGGAAGCTCGTTTTCCAAGAGTTCCTTCAGTTCCCCTTTGCTGAGTGCGCGCCTGTCGCCTTCCTTCCGGCAATAGCGCTGGAACGTGCAAACCAGCCCTCCCAGGGCCTGCTCCAGAGTCTGATACTGCTCCATCGCCGGTTCCGTTGGCCAACAGCCCTGCAAGGCAAGGAGACGGGTGGATGAAGGGGCTTGCCATTTTTATGCATTGATTAAGGATAAAACGTTTGCACCACTTCTCAAATGACGCTTCCCAAAGCCATGTAGAAATAAAAACCGTAAACAAAGGGAGGTCAGTAGTGCATTTAATAGGCAGTCCCTGATTGGTTGGGACATGTGTCCAGGACAGGGCTGGGGATGATGGGAGTTGGAGTCCAGCAACGTCTGGAAGGCCACAGGTTCCCTGCTAGGGATCTACCACAGGGATGGGGAAACTTTTCAAGTCCAAGTACCAAATTTCCTTTTTGGCAACCTTTGGCATGCCAGAGGTGGGCGGAGCCATAAGCAAAAGAAAGTGAGCAGAATAATATCAACCTTCACATATCATCCCCCTCCACCAAGGCAAGCAAGAGGATACCTTCTAGCCAGTTGAAAACACTGATGGAGGATGAAATTAATGGACTATGCGGAACTTGACAAACTAACGGGAAGGATCCGAAACCGGTGGGACCAGAAATTTACTGAAGACTGGAGTAAATTTACGGATTATTTGAAAAGTATTTGTGATGAACAGACGACGTTTGTAGGTTTGCAAGAAGTTCTGTGAGGAATAATATTAGAAATATTGTAAAAATGGAGAAGGAGAGACAATAAGTTAAGAGATGTAAAGGCAATATTGTTAGGAAATGCATAAGAAGCGATTAAGACGGAGGATTATCAGAGGTGCTGATGGAAGTCCAATAAGAATGTATTTGTGATAAATTGTATGGTATGTTTTATAATTTTGTATGTTAAAAACCAATAAAAATATTTATATATATATAAAAAGAAAACACTGATGGAAGGTGGGAAGGTGTGTGTCCTAGACAGAACGGGCATGGCAAGGAGAGAAGTATGACCTGGGAAGAAACCTAGGGACCAGATGGAGAGGCCTGGAGGACTGTGTTCATCTCCAGACCTGAAGTCCACCATCTATGTGATTCTCCCTTCTTGCAATTCCCAGCATATTGCCTCCAGCAGAGAAAGCAGAACATGACCATCAGGGTTAGTAGCCTCTGAGAGCCTTGTGAGCCTCCATCATTTAGTCTTATCCACTTTTAAAGCCATCTAGGCTGGTGACCATCACAGCAACGTCAACCATTTACAGGCTACATAAGGAGAGTGTTGCTTGGATCACACTAATGGCCCATCTAGTCCAGCATCCTGTTGTGTGGCAAGTTCCTGCCCACCCCCCAGTGGAAATAAAGACACATGACACAGCTATTTAAGGTTAATGGGCTAAATATGGCCACAACTTTATTGGTTACAGGTGATGAGCGGTATTGGCTTAGGCATTGGTCCTAACTGACTATCCGACTTCAGCCCATCCGCTTGAAGTCCGGAAGGGTTAACCACCAGTAGGGGGAGTCCTGCTGATGCACATCAACTAGGAACTCCCCCGGGGTCACCGCCCGGGGGTGTGCCTTAGGCGCTCACCTCCCTAGGCTTCGGACAGGGCTGCGCCCCCCGGAATCCTTTAACAGACTACCCTTCAATATGTGGGGCAGGTGATGGCACTACCCCCCCTCTTCCATCTATAGAACAATACCAATGCCTAACCGCCAATACCAAGGAAGTTGTGACGATTTGCTACGAGGTAGGCGAAAAACCAAGTGGCTGGTGCCAATTTCCCAAGTGGAAAAAATTCCTACCAGGCCCCTTAATGGCGACCAACCGAGGTCCATAGCAAGGTCAAAGACGAAAACCTTAAAGGGCGGGAGGGTGGGAAACCAGAGCAGCTGGAGGAGGCAAAAGAAGGAGATCCCTGGCTGCGCCAATGTTAAATAGGGCAGGCCACGCCCCCCCGAGCCAGCCGATTGGCTGTCCAGGGGATGACGCGGCCGGGGATTCCCTCAATTGCGCGGAGGCTGAGAGCCAGCCACCACGCACGTGGTGGGGGTGTGAAGCTCTCAACACCACCTCCTTTTAAGGCGGAAGTGGCTTTTTCACAGTGCCCACCCAAGGGAAGCCCCAAAGTGGGACTTGAGCAAAACAGCAGCTCTTCCGGTCCTGTGGTTTTCAGCCACTGGTGTTCAGAAGCAGAGAACCTCAACATTGGAGGTAGGCCATAGCCATCAGAGGTGGATAGACCTTTGGGTTGTTGAGTGAATCCTTGAAGACTTCTTCTTCCAGAGACTGTCTCTCCTCCCCTCTGGCTGAGCCACATTAGACATAGCAAGACACGACACCGACATGTAACAAAAGCATCAGCAACTCTCCCCCCTCCACACACAAAAACAGGTAGCAGCATAATACCCACCGAGATCTCCCAAGTCTCAAGTTCCCTTGTTCAGGAGGAAGGCTGAGCTTCAAGTCTCCCAACCTGTCCAGAATTGCCTTCTGCTGCTCCTATCAATGCCGCCAAGCCCTCCTGCGCCCAGACAGGCAGGCCTTGGGAACAGAGGTGACCCACCCATCAGTTGCATCACACCACCTGATCCTGATCCACACCCTGCCTTGCTTCAGGAGAAGATATACTGCTTTTGTCTGGCACCCTCAAAGCCCCAAGCTCATTTCTCAAATCGCTCTTCCACCCAGCACCTCGTTTTCTCAAAATGGTTTTCTGCCCGGGAGGTACCGGGTACATTTCCCTGCCTGCAGTTTCAAATTCCTTTGTCATTTTCAGTCTGTTTCTGCCCATCTGCACCACACATTTAAAGCAGCATCGTACGCCAATAATAATAATAATAATAATTTTTTATTTATACCCCGCCCTTCCCGGCCAGAGCCGGGCTCAGGGCGGCTAACACCAGTATAATTACAATAAAAACATAATTGGGGGGGGTGTTAAAGTAAAGGGACCCCTGACCATTAGGTCCAGTCGTGGCCGATTCTGGGGTTGTGGCGCTCATCTCGCTTTACTGGCCGAGGGAGCCGGCATACAGCTTCCGGCTCCTGTGGTCAGCATGACTAAGCCGCTTCTGGCGAACCAGAGCAGTGCACGGAAACGGCGTTTACCTTCCCGGACCGAGCAACGGGAGCTCACCCCGTCATGGGGATTCGAACCGCTGACCTTCTGATTGGCAAGCCCTAGGCTCTGTAGTTTAACCCACAGCGCCACCCGCGTCCCAATGGGGGCGGGGAAGACAAATTTAAAATACGGGTTAAAATACAATTTTAATAGTAGCCCATAGATCAAAACCATAAGGGGAGGGAAACATAAGGGTCAGACTGAATCCAAACCAAAGGCCAGGTGGAAGAGCTCTGCCTTGCAGGCCCTGCGGAAAGATGTCAGGTCCCGCAGGGCCCTAGTCTCTTGTGATAGAGCGTTCCACCAAGTCGGGGCCAGTACTGAAAAGGCCCTGGCCCTAGTTGAGACCAATCTAACCACCTTGCGACTTGGGACCTCCAAAGTGTTGTCTTTGGGGACCTTAAGGTCCTCTGCGGGGCATACCAGGAGAGGCGGTCCTGTAGGTACGTGGGTCCTAGGATGCACAGTGACACCTTTGCCCCAAGGAATCCTGGGGGCTGCAGTTGGTTAAGGATGCTGGAAGTTTTTTGGAGGTCCTTATTCCCTTCACTGAGCTACCATTCCCAGAGCGGTTTCAGGAGGGGAACAGGGGTGTCTCCTAACAACTCGCAGCACCTTATTTAAACTACAGCTCCCAGAATCCTTTGGGGGAGCCGTGACTGCTTAAAGTCATATCGTAGTGCTTTAGAAATCTGGTACGAACGTGGCCCAAGACTAAGGAGGAGGAAGTATGGTGGGGGCTGGTTGAGGGCAAACTGTGGGCAGCGGGGCAATGCCCCGCTTTCCCTAATCGGTGAGTCTCCGCTGGACTGAGCAGGCTCACTATGACAATCACCTGGTCAGCAGCCATGGTACAGGCTGGAAGTCCACCTATATCAGAAAAGTCTGGGCAATGCAACTGGGCTATCACTTCTTCTGCCTGAATGTGTGTTTTCACTGGGGTGAATTCTGAAAGTGCTTCTGTTTTAAACACAGAGGGGGTTTTGTGCAGGTGTGTGGAGTCTTTTAATTATGGAATTGCTTTTTAAAAAAATGTAAATTCTTATTGGGCTATGTATGTATGAAGAGTGGTACATAGGTACTTTAAACAAGATCCCTTGATGGTACAGTCATCTTCTTCTTCTTCTTCTTCTTCTTCTTCTTCTTCTTCGGCGATCACTCGTAGCCGAGTAAGATTGTCTTCCATGAACACGGTTTTAACAGTGTGTCTGTAGGTGACTGTGGAGGCCAATTCTGGATCCACACGTCCTTCCACAGTGGAGACATAGGTTTCTGCGTGGGAGTCGATCATGGTGTAGGTTTGCCAAGCGTGCCTTCCTCTTTGCACGTTTCTCCCTTGTGTCCTGAGTTCGAGTGTCTTCAAGCAGTACAGTCATATACCAGTATATATGTCTACGCAGATGTAAGCCCCATTGAACTTGGTAGGATTTACTGCCAGGTAAATTTGTAAGATCTTAAGAAGCAGGATTTGAAGAATTACTGACGAAAGAAGAATGGCAGATGAAATTGATGGACTATGCAGAATTAGATAAATTAACAGAAAGGATTTGAAACCTGCGGGACCAGAGATTTACAGAAGATTGGAAGAAGTATATGAATTATTTGAAGAGCAACTGTAATCAACAAATTACGCTAGTAGGACTGCAAGAAGTTTTGTAAGGAGGACTATTTGAAATATTGCAAGAAAGACTATGAGGAGAATTATTAGTGAATGATAATTAGGAGTAATAGAGAAATTAAGAAATGCAGAATAAGTGATAAAGAATGGAAAATCATCAGAGGTGTTGACAGAAGTCTAAAATATTGTATAAGATAAGAAATTATGTTATATGATTGTTGGAAATGATATGTTAAAAAACCCTAATAAAAATGTATAAGAAGAAGGAGGAGGAGGAGGATTTGAGCACAAGAGCAACCTCCCCTGCTGCAGTTCCCAGCAACTGGTATTTGGAAACATTTACTGCCTGCCACATGGGAGAGAGAGCGCGGGCTCCATTATGGGCTAGTAGCCATTGACAACCTTCTCCTCCGTGAATTTGTTTGATCTTCTTTGAAAGCCATTCAAGCTGATGGCCACCACTGCCTATCTTGTGGCAGCGAGTTCCATAGTTCAACTATGTGATGTGCACACGCACAAAGAGCCCAAGCCTACACCGGATTGTCTACTCGGAAGTAAGCCCCATTGACTTCAGTAGGAACCACTACCAGGGAAGTGTGTGTACAGGATTGTGCTCCAAATAATCTCACAGGAGGCCTGTTAAGATCAAGCATGTTTCCCTCTCTGCCTACCTAGCATGAATGAGATCAGAATAGGGGGAAAAACAAAACACCCCCCCCTCTTTCGCCCTTAAAGAAAGCAGCAAGAACACTCTGTCTTAAAAATAGTGTCCGGTGTGCATATAACGTGTCATTTTTGGACGAAGATAAATTATATGCTTCTCTTCTCTCTCTCTTTGGCTTCTGCTCATGAACTTTTCTGTCAATTACAACACGTCAGAGTTATAAATGCAGCAGAATTATGCCCACCTGAGTGCAATGCAGTTTTATATGAGAAATGTGTAAAAATCTAAAGCTAATTTGTTTTTAAGTGCCCTGGAAAAGTGAATTGGCTCCTCCCGAGAGATTTTGTGTGCTGCTGTGGAACTAGGAAGTAGGCTGGGTGGTTGTATAAGAAGAGAAAGCAGGAAGGAGAGTCAACAGTTTTGTTTTGGGGAAAACTATGGAAAAATTGAGCAAGGGCTTTTCTTCTTTTTTTAAAAAAATGGGAACTAACTCAGTGGTTCTGCTCTGTGGGTGTCTTTCTCAGCCTTCAGACTGGGCAAAAGTTGTTGTTGTTTTTTTTAATGGAATAAAGTTTGTTAGTGGGTTTTTTTTTTAAAGAAACATGCAAGTTCTATCCAAGACAAACACAGTTCCCAATTCTTCATGGGCAGAGAGGCTGCCTTTCATGGGAGCCCCGTGTCACAGTGGTGTGAGAAAGTGACATTTTTATTTGGAAATATGGGGTGTCTAACCTAAGGAGGGAGGGGGGTGAGATTCCACAGTTTTATACCCTGCACCGAGAAATGTCAGATCTTTCTGGATACAGAGAGGTGATGGAACAGAAGAAGAGAACAGTGAGACGCAGGTCAGGGTGGATTTTCTCAGGGCGTGAGACTGAGGAAGAGGGAAGCTCTCCCAGATGAGAGCTGGGAGAATTCAATTCTCTGAATGTGGATTGAAAATTAAGATATCATGGAGGGGTATCTATCTATCTATATCTATCTATCTATCTATCTATCTATCTATCTATCTATCATCTATCATCTATCTATCTATCATTATTTATTTATTTATTTATTTGTCTATCTATCTATATCTATCTATCTATCATCTATCATCATTATCTATCTATCTATCTATCTATCTATCTATCTATCATCTATCTATCTATCATCTATCACCTATCTATCATCTATCTATCTATCTATCTATCTATCTATCTATCATCTATTTATCTATCTATCTATCTATCTATCTATCTATCTATCAATCAATCATCTATCTATCTATCATCTATCTATCTATCTATCTATCTATCTATCTATCTATCTATCATCATCTATCTATCATCTATCATCATTATCTATCTATCCATCCATCCATCCATCTATCATCTATCTATCTATCTATCTATCTCTTTGAGCTTTATTATATTATTTTCCCCTTTCCCCCCCATTTTCCTTCTCCTCCCACCTTCTCTTTCTTTCCTCCTTTCCTCCTTTCTACCTCTTCTTTTTTTCTGCATTATTTATTATTATTATTATTTTAGACTAGTTGGGTCCCCCTTTTTTCCTTTTCCTCTGCACCCCCTTTTCTCTCTCTTTCTTTATTCCTCTTCTTTTTTTCTGTAATTTTTATTATTATTTTAGACTAGTTGCGCTTTTATTGCATCCTATGTTGAAAACTCTTAATAAAACTGAAGCGGCGTCAGATGCCTTCCACAATTGACCTTCCTTGATGAAAAGGAGCAGGGAGGGGTACCTATTATACCCTCTCTGATAATTCACGTTGAGGAACTTGCTTTCATACCCGATCACGCCATTGAATCCATCTGGCTTAGGGCTGTCAGCTCTGACTGGCAGCTTCCCTCCAGGGTTTCAGGCAGGGAGAGTTTCCCAGGTCTGCCTGGAGATGATGGGCATTGAAGCCGGTACATTCTGTGTGCAAAGAATGAGATTCACTCCTGAGCCCTGGGCCTTTCCCCTAAAGAACAGAGAAGTTATTGCCATCTTCATAATAAACAGCTGCTTTTTGAAATTAGCTAGCTGCCTTCTACTGAGTCAGACCATTGGTCTGGGCTAGGGATGTCAACACTGACCGGCAGCCACCCTCCAGGGTTCCAGGCAAGGAGTCTCTCCCAGTCCTATCTGGAGATGTCGGGTTTCGAACCTGGAGCCCTCTGCATGCAAAGCAAGGGCAATGATCTACAGTCCTTCCTCCTGTAAGAAACAGGCTGCGGTCTTACCCTCCCAATTTTCAGAGATGAAAACAGGAAGACCCCTGGGCAACTCGCTTTTTCTCTGCCAAAACCTGTTCCCTCTTGTGGCTTCTGAGGAAGTGTGGTATAAATAAGCCGGTCATGAGGTTCCTTTGAAAAAACAAGCAAAAACCCCTTTCAGGATGTTTTGTTGCACAATGCATGCGGTTGTGCTTGGTGCCACTGAAATCCACTTTGCAAGTTTTTGTGTTTTTGTTTTTAAATACAGATAAGCAGCTAAGCAGGGTGGAGACATTTAACATCTGATTTGTACCTGCTCTTTTATCACAGCTGCATGAAACGAGGGGACCTGCAGGGACCTGCAACCAAATGTTGCAGCATGGTGAAGTTGCTTCTGTGTCAGATTCCAGCTGTTTTGTTCTGTCCTTTCCTCCACATTTCCCATTCTCCTAGGAGCCGCAGCTGAGAGCTGAGTGCAGGGTGGGGATCAAAGGTTGACAAAGTACCACAGAAGGAGCACAACGTATACCCCCCCCACCAGAGGTACCGCCCCTCCCCAACGTTAGGGCTGCCATGCACCTGGAATTTTCCAGACATATCCGGGATTCGTCCCAGGTGTATGGCAGCCCATAAGTGATGGTTTTTTCTGGAGAATTTCTTTAAAAATAGCTCAAAAACTGCCTTGAGTTTTAGGAGGAGGAAGATGGCATGCAGGGCCAATGAACCAGCGTCCATTGCCAATGAGCGATTGGCATTCACCTCTTTTCGCTGCCTTCTAGAGATCCAGGAGAGAGGGCTTGTGCTTATTCATCATACAAGTATTTCTATACCACTACAGTATAGCATAATTTTTTAAAAAATTAAAAAGCAGGGACATCACCTTGCCAACAAAGGTCCGTATAGTTAAAGCTGTGGTTTTCCCAGTAGTGATGTATGGAAGTGAGAGCTGGACCATAAAGAAGGCTGATCGCCGAAGAACTGATGCTTTTGAATTATGGTGCTGGAGGAGACTCTTGAGAGTCCCATGGACTGCAAGAAGATCAAACCTATCCATTCTGCCGGACATCAGCCCTGCGTGCTCACTGGAAGGACAGATCCTGAAGCTGAGGCTCCAAGACTTTGGCCACCTCATGAGAAGAGAAGACTCCCTGGAAAAGGCCCTGATGTTGGGAAAGATTGAGGGCACAAGGAGAAGGGGACGACAGAGGACGAGATGGTGGGACAGTGTTCTCGAAGCTACCAGCATGAGTTTGACCAAACTGTGGGAGGCAGTAGAAGACAGGAATGCCTGGCGTGCTCTGGTCCAGGGGGTCACGAAGAGTCAGACATGACTAAACGACTAAGCAACAACATAGCATAATTTTGAAAAAATGAAAGTCGTTCACAAGAATATAATAAAAGACATAGCAAACGTTGACGACATTAAAAACTGTTACCTTTGCCGCTCTGCAAAGCGGAGGTGGCGTTTTGCTGGGGGCGAGGATAGGAAAATGCTCTAATGATGAAATATGGAGACCTGGAAACCAGATATTCCCTAGGTCTGAATTCTCACACACAGCTTAAAATGGGTGCAGAAGCTCAGGCTTGAGGGCCAAACGCGGCCCTCTAAACATCTCTACCTGGCCCTCAGAACTCTCCTCAGGCCACCCCCCCTCCAAAGGCACATCCCATCACCACCCCTGCTTCACACCCTCCTTGAATGTTTCTGCCTGGCTGGGATGTGTCTCTGAACTCTGATCTCGCCTCTTGCATGCCTGGGTGGAGGATAGAGAGAAAAGGGGCTGTAGAAAATAGCTCCGCCCCTTTTGCTTGTGGCCCTGCCCACCACTGGCATGTGGCCCCTGGATATTTCCCATAAATTAAGGTCATATATATATAATAAATGTTCATAAATGTGCCAAGCAAACATGTATATAAATATATAAGCCACATGTCTGAAGCAGCACAGGAAAGCAGTCCTGTAGCAATTTTGGCTCCCAAACTGACCAAATGTTTTCTCTGCAAGGTCAAAGGAAAATGGAAAAGCCTCCCCATTGTCTTTTCATTCACAAAACCTGCCTTAAGGGTATGTCTGTGTATGAATAGGGTGAGCCTGTGACCTGGCTCAGGAACTAAGTATTTGTCACTACAAAAGACTGGCCAGGCTAACCAGGCAATCCAATCAAGTGACCATTAAACAGGTAACCTGGCAGACAGGAGATAAACAACAACAGGAGGTAAACAACGCACTCAGATTTCTGCTGTAGACCGCCCTTTCTGTGATGTAGGTGTGATGTTTCTGGGCAGTGGTCTTGGACTCCAAGGCGGGCAATTTAAAATGTCTATATAAAGGCGGACACACCTTTGTTCGGGGTACTCCTCCTTTCCTGCGTGTGAGGGGAGCACCCTGTTGCAACAGTTCAATAAAGATCAGGCTTACTAGCTGCCTTGCTTCTCAATATTCTCTGGTTGGCCTCTGTTCTTTTCTCCGACCGATGGAGAACCTGCAAAGGAATCTCTCAGGGCTCTTGTGTCCCCCATAAGGGAATGTGGCCCTCAGCCTTGGCTTAAAAATTGCCAGCCGAAAGAACACACACACACAATTTGAATAATCTTTATTACTGTACCGTCAGCCCCTCCTGGCAGGTTTTTGGTCAGGCTGGTGTAACAGTGAAAGAGGTCCCCTTGGAAACGCTGACCTCATCTTTTCCGGTTGTTCTCATCTGAGCACTCCTGGAAGAACTCATTGCACAGGGAAGCGGTGAGAGCCAAGAAGACAGCGTACTCCTGGAAATCCAGTTCCTCATCTCCATTCTCATCTAGTTTCTTCATCAAGTTCTTGAACCCGGGTTCGTCTATCTTGCCCTGCGGGAAAGAGATGAGAGTAAAGCAGATTTCCTTGCATAGTACTGATGCCCCGTGTGTGTGTGTGTGTGTTGAATTCAGGTTTTAAGGCATAAAGTGCAAGATTCAACAAAAGATCTGAAACAAAAACTTTATTCAGCTATGCCTGGCAATGATGCTGGGAGTGGTCCGCTTGGAAAAAGCTTCGCTCCGGGAACCTGCTCTCCTTACTTTCAGTTCCATTAATTCATGGTGTGGAGAGACTAAGGGCCATAGTTCGGTGGGTGAAGCACCTCCTTTGCACACAGAGGCTTCCAGGTTCAATCCCAATACATCTTCAAGAAGTGCTGAGAGAGAGCCACTTCTGCCAGTCAGTATGTTAAGATAGATGGACTAGTTGGTCTGCCTCTGTATAAGGAAGCTTCTGTGCTCCAAAGCTTTGCGAGTTCCAAGTACTTAATCCAGTTCCCTTATCCTTGACTTAGACCCTAAAGATGTATGGCAACATTATTTCCATTGTTTAGGGAGTTTCGTTGGATTTTGTTGCTGCTGCTGTTACTGATATTAGCTTTTGTATCTTTATTTTTAGATCTTAGAACGATACACATGGAAATGGTTCAGTTATGGTCCTGCACTTTGTGATACGTTCTATTTCTTGTCTGTGGCTACTTTTACTATGTTTCTAGTTATGTATATCTTTTCATGTCAGGGATAGCTCAGTCTGTAGAGCACGATACTCTTATTCTCAGGATTGTGGGTTCGAGCCCCACGTTGGGCAAAAATTTCCTGCATTGCCGGGGTTGGACTAGATGACCCTCAGGGTCCCTTACAACTGTATGGTTCTAGGTTGTAAGCCGCCTTGAGCACGGTTTTAGCTATGGAAAGGCGGCGTATGAATAAAATGATGAGAATTATCACCACCTCCCTCCACCCCCTGCCGCCACCACCTTGGAAGGGAAGTCTTTGATACAATACGATAATCTTTATTGTCATTGTCCCATACAGAACAACGAAATTGAAAAAATCTACACCAGTCATTCAAAAACCCACAAGCCTGCTATCCCAGCCTGGTTAGCCCCTAAAAACTCTGATACCCCACAGTTGAATACAATATATTCACATAAAGACTACCTTAAAAGGTAAAGGGACCCCTGAACATTAGGTCCAGTCGTGGCCGACTCTGGGGTTGCGGCGCTCATCTTGCTTTATTGGCCAAGGGAGCCGGCGTACAGCTTCCCGGTCATGTGGCCAGCATGACTAAGCCGCTTCTGGTGAACCAGAGCAGCGCACGGAAACGCCGTTTACCTTCCTGCTGGAGCGGTACCTATTTATCTACTTGCACTTTGCTGTGCTTTTGAACTGCTAGGTGGGCTGGAGCTGGGACCGAGCAATGGGAGCTCACACCGTCACGGGGATTCGCCGCCAACCTTCTGATCGGCAAGTCCTAGGCTCTGTGGTTTAACCCACAGCGCCACCTGCGTCCGTAAAGACTACCTTATACTGCGTTTAAAACACAAATCGCATTTGGATAGAAATTGTTTCTCAGGTGGCTAGTCCTAGTCTTTATAACCCTGTACAGTCATACCTCGTGTTGCGTTTGCTTCAGGTTGAGCATTTTCAGGTTGCATCCCGCAGCGACCCAGAAGTACCGGAAAGGTTTACTTCCGGGTTTTGCCGCTCATGCATGGGCAAACACTCAAAATGACATCACGCGCATTCGCAGAAGCGGCGAATCATGGTACGCGCATGCGCAGACACAGGTTGCGTTCTGCTCAGGTTGTGAACAGGGCTCCGGAATGGATCCCGTTCGCAACCAGAGGTACCACTGTACCTTCTTCCAGAAGGCAGAAGCTGAAAGAGATCATTTCCAGGATGGGCACTATCCTGCGCTATCTCTGCAGCTTTCTTATGGCACTGCCTGGCAGCATAGATTTGATCCAAGGTGGGAAGAGTGCACCCAATTATTCTCTCCACAGTCTTTGCAACCCTGGACAGCATTGTTTTTTCCCTGGCCATGCAGCTCCCAAACCACACACACAGACCATAAGTTAATACACTCTCCACAGTACAATGGTAAAATGCCATCGCCGTAGGATCTCACCCTGACAAAGGTGGGGAGTTCGTGGAGAAGCAGCTCCCTCATCTCAGCCTTGTTGAGCTTAAGCCGGTCTCCTTCCTTGCTGGAATATTTGTGGAAGGTGTTCACCAGAACCCCCAGGCACTCCTCAAGGGGAGCTTGCATCTTGATGTCTGGAAGGGGGGAAAAAGGAAGATGCAGAGAGAGGAGTAGGATTAGAACTCAGCCCTCAGTGGTTACAAAACTGGACTGGCAGGCTAGATAAATTCATGGAGGAAGAGGCTGTCAACGGCTGTCAGTCATGATGACTGTGCCCTTTTCTCCACGGTCAGAGGCAGTACAGTGGCACCTCAGGTTACAGACACTTCAGGTTACAGACTCTGCTAACCCAGAAATAGTACCTTGGGTTAAGAACTTTGCTTCAGGATGAGAACAGAAATCATGTGGCAGCGGCGGGAGGCCTCATTAGCTAAAGTGGTACCTCAGGTTAAGAACAGTTTCAGGTTAAGAACAGTTTCAGGTTAAGAACGGACCTGCAGAACAAATTAAGTTCTTAACCCGAGGTACCACTGTAATGCTTTTGAACCTCTGTTGCTGCAAACTGCAGGAATAATAATATATATATATATATATATATATATATATATATATCCCGCTCATCTGGCTGTATTTCCCCAGCCACTCTGGGCGGCTCCCAACAGAATATTAAAAACACGATAAAACATTAAAAACTTCCCTAAACAGGGCTGCCTTCAGATGTCTTCTTCTAAAAGTCAGATAGTTGTTATTTCCTTGACATCTGGTGGGAGGGCGTTCTGCAGGGTGGGCGCCACCACCGAGAAGACCCTCTGCCTGGTTCCCTGTAACTTTGCTTCTCTCAGCGAGGGAACCGCCAGAAGGCCCTCAGAGCTGGACCTCAGTGTCTGGGCTGAACGATGGGGGTGGAGATGCTCCTTCAGGTCTACTGGGCCAAGGCATACTGGGCCGAGGGGAGAGTGTTCTTGCCCTCGGGTCCTGCTGAGGGTTTCCCACAGACATCTGGCTGGCCACTGTGAGAACAGGATGCTGGACTAGATCGGCCACTGACCTAATCCTGCAGGGTGATTCTTGTGTCCTTATGCAACAAAATAAGACGTGGGTAGCTAAGATGCTCTGGTCTCCTTGCAAGAAGGAAGGGCTTCTAGCTCGGTGGTTGAGCCCTTGCTCTGCATGAAGAATGTCCTGGGTTCAATCCCCAATGCATAGCTGTCAACTTTTCCCTTTTCTTGCGAGGAATCCTATTAGGAATAAGGGAATTTCCCTTAAAAAAAGGAAAACGTTGACAGCTACGCCCCAATGGCATCTCCAGGCTAAAGCCGGGAATGTGCTCTGCCTAAAACCCTAGAGAACTGCTGCCAGTCAGTGTAGACAGCACTGCGCTAGGCGAACCAATGATCTGATTCAGTAGAAAGCAGTTTCCTACGTTCTGCCTCCTGGATCTTGCTGAACTCCAACTCCCACGAGCCCCAGACAACATGGCGAGTAGCCAAGGGACAATGGGAGCAGTAGTCTATCAACATTTGGGGGTGCCCCATAGACTTCCTCCATCACTGTCCTAGACCAATCATGTCCCAACCAATCAGGGATCACTATTGAATGCAAGGATGGGGAACTTGTGCCCTTCTAGATTTTGTTGGACTCCATCTCCCTGCCGCCCTGGCCAGCACAGCTGTTTGTTTTTAGAAGATGGTGAAGAGAAGGGGGGAAATGACTCACCCAGCTAAGTAGAGGGAGAAACCCAGCCGTATGAAAGTACGCAGTAAACTCAGCCGAATGTTTCTTTTCTGGCGCCCAGCAAACAAGTGCTCTTCATAGCCTCCGCTTCCAGAAATGCCTGTGTCTCGTGCTCAGTTCTGCAGCGAGAACCCTTGACTCTGAGCCACCTCTTTGCTCCCAGCAAGCCCTGAGTTTGAGGCTCCTCTTGTCAGAGCCTGAAGCAGAGAGAGGGAAAATATCCCTTTTTAAAAAACGAACGCTTCTGCTGTCAGAGTGACTCCAACAGCCTAGCATATTTTAGGAATGTTATAGATAGAAGCCTAGATTTCAACAGGGACATGTTTATTATTCCCATCCCTGCAGTGCTTACGAAATAATAAACTGGACCTGCCGAAAGTCTGTCTCTGAAGCCTGGATAGGCAGCCTGTGCATGTGGGAACATGACTCAAAGGAAGGGCTCAGCGACAGGGTAAAACCTTTGCATGCAGGTTGGACTGGGAAAGACCATACTTTCCAACATTTTTCAGATGAAACTAGGGATGTCCTGTTCAATGATGATGATGATGATGATGATGATAATAATAATAATTTTTATTTATACCTCGCCCTCCCCAGCCAAGGCCGGGCTCAAGGTGGCTAACAAGCAATAATAAAAACAAGTTGAATGAATACAACTTAAAAACAAGATTAAAATACAACATTAAAATATTGAAACATTAAAATATTAAAATGCAGCCTCATCACAGGAGGAGAAAGGAAAAAGGAAAAAGAAAGAGGGGGAGGGAATCAAATTGGCTCCAAGCCAAAGGCCAGGCGGAACAACTCTGTCTTACAGGCCCTGCGGAAAGAAATCAGATCCTGCAGGGCCCTGGTCTCATGAGGCAGAGCATTCCACCAAGCCGGAGTCAGTGTTGAAAAGGCCCTGGCACTGGTTGAAGCTAACTTCCTTAGGGCCTGGGACCTCTAGGGTGTTGATGATGATGATGATGATGGTACTCCGCCCAGCATCCCTGTGGGTTGCCACAGCCACTCTGGGCAGCTTCCAACATATATAAAAACATAATAAAACGGCAAGAGTATTGTTAGCCCAGAAATGGAAGCAAGAAGAAATTCCGACGAAAGAAGAATGGCAAACGAAATTAATGGACTATGCAGAAGTGGACAAAATGACAGGAAGGATTCGAAAGCTGCAGGACCAGAGATTTACAGAAGATTGGAAGAAGTATATGAATTACTTGAAGAGCAACTGTAATCAACAAATTACGCTAGTAGGGCTACAAGACGTTTTGTAAGGAGAAATATGTGAAGTGTTACAAAGTAGAAAAAGATAGAGAGGTATTGGTTCTGAGTTTGAAATGTAATAGGGAAAATAAGAAATGCATACTAAGAGATTAGATTGGAAAATTTTCAGACAGGACTGATGGAAGTAACAAAAATGGAATAAGATGTAAAAGTATGTTTAATTACTGTTGAAAATGATATATATGTGTGTGTGTGTGTGTGTGTGTATAAATAAAAATATAATAAAACATTAAACATTTAAAAACCGTCCCTATACAGGGTGCCTTCAGATGTCTTCTAAAGGTTGCATAGTTACTTATCTCCTTGGCTTGTGGGGGATCGCATAATTCCATACCCTCCAACATTTCTCCAGTGAAAATAGGGACGTCCTAAGGAAAAGTGGGACATTCCGGGATCAAATCAGAAACTGGGACGGCTTCTGTAAATCCCTGGGAAACAGGGACACTGGGAAGGTCTGAAGGCTCCGTCGGAAACCATGGACAGCTGCTGCCGGACAGATAGGATACAATTCCCATTAGCCCTGAGACCCTGACCATTGGCCATGTTGCCTGGGGGCTGATGGGAGTTGGAGTCCAACCTCATCTGGAGGTCACCAGAAGGGAGCCTGCTGTGTTCATTCCAAAGTATTGCATTGGGTAAGTAGAGCTTTGTATGCAGGTTTCACCCCCCAGGAGCTCTAGGTGGGACCAGGAATGCCGCCCAGCCTGAAGCCCTGTAAAACCACTGCCGGCCAGTGCAGACTGAGCTAGGTGGACCAGTGGTCTGACTCAATTAAGGCAGCTTCCTACGCTGGTCTGTCGTAGGGGAAGGCCTCAGCATCTACTCTGCATACAGAAGGTGTGAGGTTCAGGAAGACACAAGATCGACCCACTTTGGAAGAATGGCAGATGAAGGTGATGGACTATATGGAATTGGCGGAAATGACTGGCAGAATCCGAGACCAGGGAGAAGAGTCGGTGGAAGAAGATTGGAAGAAATTTAAAGACTATTTACAGAAATATTGTAAAATTAATGAATGATAGAATGATGTTGGATAGTAATTAAGCGGTTTCTAGCTGTAATGCTTTAAGAGAATATGAAAAAAGGGTTATAAATGGGTTAAAATCTAATGGTAAGGATTTGCTGAACCAATAAATTGAAGTGGAATACAAAAAAGGGAGGCATGAGGAGGTCCGGGAAACAAGCTAAAGGAAAATAAGTAACTGAAAATATGTGTGTTTTTAACTGTTTTTATTTTGTATTTTTCTCTTTTCTTTTTCATTTTTACTGTATTATTTTTAAAAAAACCTTAATAAATATCTTATAAAAAACAACAACAAAAAAACAACAGAAGGTGTGAGGTTCAGTCCCTCCAGATAGGACTGCCATTGTACTCATGGTGAGTAATGATTTCTGTCTGGATTCCTTGAGAAACCCAGTAACCGCAGCCCTTTCCTTTTCTTTCCTTTCCTTTCTTTTTTAAAGAATAATACTTTATTTAGAATTCAACAATAACCAAGGAAAAAACCACAGTAATTGCTACACCAATTAATTACAATTAACCCATTTTAACAATATCTAAATAGTAACAGAAAAATTACACAACATCACTTTTAACTTACTGAAGTTTTCATATTACACTTTTGTCTCTTTATCTCTTTCTTAACAAATCAAAGAGAGAAAGACCAAGAAAGGAGGCACAAAAAAGAAAAAACGAAGAGGAAGAAGAAGAGGGGGAGAAAAGGGGTGGGGAAGGAAAAACAAAACAAAACAAAACAAAACAAACACATTTGACTTCCGATTAGACTCATTGTCTTATTATTTCTACTATTTTTTCACACACAGTTCCAAATTATTGTACTGCTTTCTTTGTTTTCGTCATATATCAAAAAACATTATATTTGTTGTTTTACAAGGTTCATTCTATTTCTGCCAGGAGATATTTGTTATTGTAATGTTTTTCCAGATACTCTTTAAAGATTTGCCATTCTTTCTGTACTTTCTGTTTTGGATGAACTTCTAATTCTCCCTGTCATCATGGCCATCTGTAAATATTCTATCATTTGGACCTGCCACTCATTTATCGTAGGTGTTTTGTCACTTTTCCAGTTTCTTGCAATTAAGAGAGCATATCTGAGTGCTGTTCCCTCAACCCCCAGTCCCAGCTGGAGACACAGCCTCAGGCCTTTGAGTCGAAACCTGCCGAACAGGTGTGTGAAAAGAGGCCCGCCCAGGTATCTGGACTGTTCTCAGCTTGCCAGGGTGCTTCGTGCCTTGGGTGGTTCATTTCCTGCGTTGCTGTGGTCTGTTGCCTGCCTATATGCACTGAGATGGTCACCTTCCAACCTCACCCCCTGCTTTAATTGTAGACACCAAATAAGAGTGAACAGCAAGCATCTCCTGTGTCCCCCCCCCCCCATCCACACAGACATACAACTCAAATACTCATTACTGCCTCCATCCCAACCTACTAAATCCGGTAGAAAATCTGGAATGGATTATCTGGTAATCAAAGTTTTCTTTTTCTGGAATCACGGCTAGGAATAGAACAATAATAATTTTATTATTTATACCCCACCCACCTGGCTGGGTTTCCCCAGCCACTCTGGGCGGCTTCCAGAACTTATAAAAACATAATAAAATGTCAAACATTAAAAACTTCCCGATACAGGGCTGCCTTCAGATGTCTTCTAAAAGTTGTGTAGTTCCTTTATCTCCTTGAAATCTGGTGGGAGGGCGTTCCACAGGAACGGGCAGAACGGGATCTTCATCTCCCACATGGCAGCAGAGCCAAAGGTTCTCCAATGTGCCATTCAACAGTGAAAGCCTATAAACCAGCGGTTCTCAACCTGTGGGTCCCCAGATGTTGTTGGACTACAACTCCCATCATCCCTGAGCTCTGGCCTTGCTAGCTAGGGGTGATGGGAGTTGTAGTTCATCAACATCTGGGGACACACAGGTTGAGAAAGGCTGCTATAAACGGACAACTCTGCCAATGCCTCATCACCGTTCACAGCAAGAGAGGGGTTAAATAGCACTTTGCCCTGTCACCTGAGACCTGACTTGCACAGTGGGTGGAGCTAACCGCTGTGCCCCCACCATCCCTTTCTCAATCCATGCTACTAGTCCCTGTGAGTATTTTTTTTGCCACAGTCCACTTTTCTGTGAATTGCGGAATCCTCTACGTAAGGTGCCCTGACAAATAATCAGCAAGGGGAAAAAGGACAGGAAGGTCAGGGTTAATATTAAAAAGAAAATTTTATTGTTTTGAATTGAAATTGGAACACACTGCGAGTGAGATCCACCAGGGCTTATTTTTTGGGGAGTGGGCATTTGGGGCAACCCCGAAAGAATTCGTCGAATCCCATCGCCACACAAGCCAGGAAGCACAAGAACTCCTGGAAGTCTATTTCCTGGTCCCGGTTGTGGTCCAGGTCGTTCATGATCTTCTGGAATTCTGCCCCGTCCATCCGTTTCTGGGAGCATTGGAAAGAAAAAAGGAAACCATTAGCTTCAATAATTCAGAGCCTGTTTTTCTCTTCCTTCCTCTTCACCGTTTCCTTTCATGCCGTGTCTTTTCTTTCTTTCTTTTTTGGTTGTAAAAAGGAGGGCTGGGATTGCATTGAGATTTTAAAAAATAATAATCTTATGATATCAACTCTGGGGTCCTTTTTGCCAAAGAGTGGAGGTGTTTTAATAATAATAATAATAATAATAATAACCATTTTAAATAAAGATCCACTCAAACAGGCCAAGCAACAGGTACACTGAGAAGGCAGGCAACTAAATACAGTGGTACCTCAGGTTAAGTACTTAATTTGTTCCAGAGGTCCGTACTTAACCTGAAACTGTTCTTAACCTGAAGCACCACTTTAGCTAATGGGGCCTCCTGCTGCTGCTGCTGCGCCGCCAGAGCACAATTTCTGTTCTCATCCTGAAGCAAAGTTCTTAACCTGAAGCACTATTTCTGGGTTAGCAGAGTCTGTAACCTGAAGCGTCTGTAACCCGAGGCACCACTGTAAGCCCAAGTTCCTTTGCACTTCTTCCTTGGACATTCCCCTGTTACAAGCCTTTTAATTTTATTTAATTTGTGAATTTAATGAGAAGGGAAAGGAAGAAAAGATGAAACAGAACTTAAAGAAGAAAAATAGAGAAGAGAAAAAATACGAATGATATATAATAAGACACAAACAGTATTACACAGACTGCCATCAGGTCACATTGTGGTTATAGTGCTCAGTAGCGCACAAATCTTAAACTTCATCCAGAATTTACCTTAGATGCCTCTGCATTGGGCAGTTTACATATACATAGGCCTTTGGGTTCATCCCTCTAGGACATGGGTAGGCAAACTAAGGCCCGGGGGCCAGATCCGGCCCAATTGCCTTCTAAATCTGTCCCACAGACGGTCCAGGAATCAGCATGTTTTTACATGAGTAGAATGTGTCCTTTTCTTTAAAATGCATCTCTGGAGTATTTGTGGGGCATAGGAATTTGTTCATTTTTTATTTTGTTTTTCAAAATATAATCCGGCCCCCCACAAGGGCTGAGGGACAGTGGACCGGCCCCCTGCTGAAAACGTTTGCTGACCCCTGCTCTAGGATATGACCACAAATTGCCACCAGTACATCCTCAAATTTCAGCCACTGACCACTTACCGTTTTCCACCTGAAAGCAAAAAAACACATCTTCAGCATAAAATGCCCCAGAAATGCATTGAGGTGTGTTTATAAAACATAAGAGCCTTTTGGATCAGGCCAACAGCCCATCTAGCTCAGAATCCTGTTCCCACAGTGGCCAATGCAAGCAGGATTCAAGCGCAAAAGCCCTGTCTCCCTTCCAGTGGTTTCTAGCAACTGGGATTCAAAAGCCTAGCCATCCTCTTTCAAAGTTATCTACAGTGGAACCTTGGTTCTCAAACGGCTTGGTTGATGAACAAATCGGTTCCCGAACCCCGAAAACCCAGAAGTAAGTGTTCCGGTTTTTGAACATTTTCCAGAAGCTGAACGTCCGATGCGGCTGTCAGCTATTGTTTCCGGGGCGCCTGCACCAATCGGAAGCCGTGCCTTGGTTTTCGAACGTTTTGGGAGTCGTACGGACTTCTGGAACGGATTAAGTTCGAGAACCAAGGTTCCACTGTATTTTGGTAGCCACCCCGCCTCCTATCAGAGGGCATTCCAAAGTTTAACAATGCGCTGTGTGAAAATGTACTTTCTTTCCTCTTTCCTGAGACAGGTAAAAGGCCAATGTTAGCGGACTGGGGCAGTAAAACACCCCATCATTTCCCCCACCCCCAAAGATAAAGCAGGCAACTATCTTAATTGTCCATTTAAAGACATCCAGATCCACTAATTCAAAATATCATCTGCCCTACCCTTTTCACGAACTGCCTTCTGGATATTACAGTTTCAAGCTAATCAGCAGGGTCTGGATTCGAGATGCGGTACAGAGGCCTCTCACCATGTCCTTTGACATCACTAAACAACAACAAACCTCTGGTTACGTGAAGCATATTCAATAAACACACAAGACGTAACCGGCTGTACGTTTGAATAAATAAGGCACACTATTCATTGTATTAAATTGTAGATTTCAACAGAAGTAGATCATAAAGTTCAATGAAAAAAGCAGAAGACCTAGTGGATCAGTTCATTCTCTAGTCAGTTCATGCATAAGGTCCATACAAGTATCTATTCCACCTGTCTGTTCATAGAATCCAATAGTCCACACGAAAGGTTGTTACAGTTCCACAGAATCCTTTCACAGAGTCTAAGACAAGGATTTCTGGAATATTAGCCTTGTTTCGCCATCCTGGGCTTCATCAGTAGTACAAGGTAAAGGGACCATTAGGTCCAGTTGTGGCTGACTCTGGGGTTGCGGCGCTCATCTCGCTTTATTGGCTGAGGGAGCCGCTGTACAGCTTCCGGGTCATGTGGCCAGCAGGACTAAGCCGCTTGTGGCGAACCAGAGCAGCGCATGGAAACGGCATTTACCTTCCCGCTGGAGTGGTACCTATTTATCTACTTGTACTTTGACATGTTTTCGAACTGCTAGGTTGGCAGGAATCAGTAGTACAAACTCATATATGATATCATAGGACAGTGGATCTTATAGCATAGTAGTATCTGGTGTCCTATGACATTATATATGAGTTTGTACTACTGACGAAGCCCAGGACGGCGAAACAAGGCTAATATTCCAGAAATCCTTGTCTTGGACTCTGTGAAAGGGTTCTGTGGAACTTTAACAACCTTTTGTGTGGATTTTGGGACTCTATGAACAGACAGGTGGAATAGACACTTACACACATATGGACCTTATGCATGAACTGATTAGAGAATGAACTGATCCACTGGGTCTTCTGATTTTTTTGTTGAACTTTGACATCACTAGACATGCACTACACGCTTCCCAGTTAATCTGAATGTTTTTGCGCAAACGACGACTTAACATCCCAGGGTTTTTTCTGATGGAAGGACTTACGCCATGGAAGGCGGGGAGTTCGTTCATCAGGAGCTCTTTCATCTCCGACTTGTTGAGCTTGTACTTATCCCCCTCCTTCCCGGAATATTTGTGGAAGGTCGCGACGATGGTGGCCAAGCACTTTTCCAAAGGAGTTGTCATGGTGAACCTGAAAAAGACGAAGGGGAGAGCAAAGTGGGAACATCCAAGGGGAAAAGAACCAAGGAGCGTGTGTTTAGGGGAATGGACAGACAAATCTGTAGGGTAGACAGACAGATGGTTGAAGAGAAGGCTGACTAAGATGATCAAGGGTCTGGAAACCAAGCCTTGTGAGGAGCGGTTGAAGGAGCTGGGTGGATTTAGCCTGGAGAAGACCTGGAGGTGACACAATAGCCACCTTCAAATCTCTGAAGGGCTTTCAGATGGAGGATAGGGCAAACTCGATTTCTTGAGCTAGCCGACCTGACTGGAAGAGTCCGTGACCAGAAGGAGGAGGATTATCAGGAGAAATGGATGAAATTTAAAGACTATTTAGTTAAACATGTTAAGTTAACTTAATTGGAAAAGCTTGCAAATATCAGATAGGCTTAGGATTTAAACATGTAATGTGATGAATCAATAGGTTTAATACCGAATTGGAAAGGGAAAAAAAGATGTTAAGTGATTAAGTTAATTTTATAATAATATCGGTTTTGGAAAACCGTTAGAATGATGTACACTGAAATTCAACCAGGGGATACGAGGAAGTCACTTAACAATGTTACTAAGATTAGTTTAAATACGGTGGAGATTTATGTTTGTTTGTTTAAATTTTTTTTGAAAATCAATATTTTTTTTTGGAAAAAAACAAACAAACTCGATTTCTGCTGCTCCAGAGGGTAAGACCCAAATTATAAGAAATGAGATTCCACCTAAACATCAGGAAGAACTTTCTGATGGTAAGAGATGTTTGACAGACTACCTTGGAAGGCGCTGGACTCTACATCATGGGAGGTTTATCAGGAGAGGTTGGGTGGCCACCTGCTGGGAATTATTTAGCGCTGTTTCCTGCATTGCAGGGACTTGGACTACATGACCTCTGGGGTCCCTTCCAGTTCCATGATTCTAGCCTGTCAGCCATACCCTCTTGCAGGATACTCCATTCCATTTCTCTCCTGGTTTTCAACACCCTCATTCCATCTCCCAACAGCCGGTCAAGATTCTGTGACCACTGCATATCCTGTATCTTCTGCGGGTTGTTTGGGGTGGCTTTCCCTCCATTAGGATCCCCACATCCTAAAGTTTTGTATCTCTGCAAACCGCAAGGTTCCCCCCACCACACCGACACATCCTTCTTGTGCATGGCTGGTCCTGTTCTGGCTACACAAGGACCCATAATTGGTAGAATGAATTTGCTATCAGTATATCTTATAAACAGAAAGGATGGGCACCGTGGGGTATACTCAGAGGAGACCTACTAACATTAATGGACCTCAGTTCGTCTCGCTCATGGATTTCAGTGGGTCTGCTCTGGGTAGGATGAACATGGTTTGCACCGAGACAGACCATTGATCCACCTAGCTTTTAGCAGTCTAACCATTAACGGTCCTCTTCTTTCCTTTCTACCCGATCCTCTTGTTAAAGGTTGGAGGTGGGCAGTGGTTTGAGCTTGGGAGATTTTTCCACATGGAAGGGAAGCGCTCTACCATTGAGGTATGGTTCTCTCCTAAAGCAAGCCTAGAGGACACACGGTTCTCCAGATGTTGTCAGGCCACAACTCTGGCCATTGGCCAGGGATGATGGGGCTAGAGGAACTTGGGAGTCCATAAAACCTGGCAGAGCCGTATGTCCCTCTGTCCTGCTCTAATGGGATGGGCCCCCAATGCCAACATCTCCAGAACATCCTAGCATCCTTCACCACCTTTCCCTTACCAAAATACAGAGTCCCATTTCTGGCTGAGCCTCATGAAAAGACATGAGAATTTGAGCCACAAAGAAGAGGAATTCTACAGGATTTGTGAACATCTGTCTCTCGACTTCGTTCCAAAGCCCTGGAGGGCTCTATCGGGGACATCTCCTCTCAGGACTTCACAAAAGCACACACACCACCAGCTGTTTTGAGTTGCTGATGGAAGGGAGGACAGGAAGAGACTTACCAAGAAGAACGGCAGCACGGATTCTGGAGCCAAAGTAGAGGGACGTTGTCTGAGTACAGTCGATGGAGGCCCTTATACCTTCTCCTGGTCCAACCTCCCAAGGCACCACCAGACCTGATTGACTCTGTATTGGCCAATAACAAAGCACATCATCTGCGGAGTGTTTTCCCTGCCCAACAGCTGATTGGCTCGTGGGGTTCTCTGGACACGGCAAACCAACCAACCAGCCTGTCCCTCGCCCATCCCGCATCGCCCACCACCGCCCCATTTTTGCCCAGCCAGGTGTGTAACCTCATCAGGCTCCATACATGGGCCACTGGCCTCGCATCCTGACAGGTCTCAGGCTGCTGATGTGCCGCCCCGAGATGCAATCTGACACTTGAGCAGATCCCGCGAGGCGCATGGAATCTGATGGTTCAGTCGCCTCGCTTAACCCCTTCTGATTGGGGGAACCATGAGTAAGAACATCGGAAGAGCTGGCTGCTGGATCAGGCCGGTGGTGTGTCTAGCCCGGCATCCTCTTCTCATAGTGGCCAACCAGTTGTCCCTGGGAAATCAGTAAGAAGAATTCAAGTACAATAATAATAATAAATTTTATTTATACCCCGCCCTCCCCGGCCAGAGCCGGGCTCAGGGCGGCTAACACCAATAAAATCACAGCAAAAACATAATGGGGGGGAAACCAAAATACAGGTTAAAATGCAATTTAAAATGCAGCCTCATTTTAAAAGTAGCCAATAGATCAAGACCATAAGGGGAGGGAAACATAAGGGTCAGACTGAGTCCAAACCAAAGGCCAGGCGGAACAGCTCTGTCTTGCAGGCCCTGCGGAAAGTTGTCAAGTCCCACAGGGCCCTGGTCTCTTGTGACAGAGCGTTCCACCAAGTTGGGGCCAGTACTGAAAAGGCCCTGGCCCTAGTTGAGACCAATCTAACCATCTTGCGACCTGGGACAAAAGGACGTCCTCTTCCTGTGGTTTCTAGGAACCCTGGATGGGCCACTGGCCTGGTTCAGGAAGGATCAGTTTCTGTTCTTATGTCCCAGGCTAAGTTTGGCAATCTTGGCGGCTGCCCCAAACAGGGAGAACAGGACCTGCGTATTCCGAAACAATATATGAATTGAAACACAGCTCTCCTTTGATAGCCCCACTCCTCTGAATTTTGTAGTGTAGTTCTCCTGCAATGAAACATGTCCCAAAATGCACATACAGTCGTAGCTCGGCTCCCGAACACCTTGGGAGTCGAACGTTCCAGCTCCTGAACAATCGAAAACTGGGAGTGTTCCGGTTTTCGAACATTCTTTTGGAAGCCAAATGTCTGACAGGGCTTCCACGGCTTCTGACTGGCTGCAGGAGCTTCCTGCAGCCAATCAGAAGCCGTGCTTTGGTTTTCGAACATTTTGGAAGTCGAACAGACTTCCGGAACGGATTCTGTTCGACTTCCGAGGTATGACTGTACAGTGGTACCTCGGGTTACATTCGCTTCAGGTTACATACGCTTCAGGTTAGAGACTCTGCTAACCCAGAAATAGTACCTCGGGTTAAGAACTTTGCTTCAGGATGAGAACAGAAATCGTGCTCCGCCGGCACGGCGGCAGCAGGAGGCCCCATTAGCTAAAGTGGTTAAGAACAGTTTCAGGTTAAGAATGGACCTCCAGAACGAATTAAGTACTTAACCCGAGGTACCACTGTATTTGGAAAAAACCAACAACTGTTTCTCAGAGAGCAGAGTGAGGTTTTGCTTTGTGCAGCAGCCACTCCTATCACATTCACACCTCTGGATTGTTTGTTTTTTAAGTTTCTAGCTCTCAATATCTCAGACTGAAGAGTACGTGGGCAGCACAAAGGGAGATGTTGGAAGCTGCAAGCGTTGCTCATTGGGTAAGATTTATCGTGGCAGGAGAAAAATGGCACAACAAGAGCGACACTTTGCAGAGCAGGTAACAGTTTAGTGAAGTTAAGAAGAGTTAAGAACAGACCTCCGGAACGAATTAAGTACTTAACCGAGGTACCACCGTACTAGGATTAAGCATGCCTAAAATGGCATATATAGCAGAAAACAACATGCATAGATGTGTTGCATTGTGGAAAGTTCCTTTGCAAAAAAAAAGAGATGTCCTGTTTGTAACTGAAGGTTACCTGTTGCACCTGGAGCGATCAGAGAAAAGAGAAGCCCTTGGATGGATGATCCCATTCATATCTCTCTCTATCTCTGGCACTCAAGGGAGTTCCAGAAGGCCCTCGGCTAGCGTTTGGGCTGGGGTGAATTCACTGGTAAATATGCAGTAATTGACTGGTTGATTAAAAATATTAATAATTAACCGTGGATTTCAATAACTGGCACGGCAAGCCAAATTCAGCCTGCAAGTTGTAAGGCATCTCTCTATCTCTCTCTCTCCCAAGATCACCCAATGAGCTCTTCGGCCGAGTGGAGATTTGAACCCAGGTCTCCTGGGTGCCAGTCCGATGCTCTAACCACTAAACCACCACTGGCTCTTATTTGTTGCACATGCTCCACGTGTTCTTAGGTGTCCCACACTGAAATTAAAATACTCTTAATAAATAGAAATACAGTGGTACTTTGGGTTACATACACTTCAGGTTAAATACGCTTCAGGTTACACACTCCGCTAACCCAGAAATAGTGCTTCAGGTTAAGAACTTTGCTTCAGGATGAGAACAGAAATCGTGCTCTGGGGGCGCGGCGGCAGCAGGAGGCCCCATTAGCTAAAGTGGTGCTTCAGGTTAAGAACAGTTTCAGGTTAAGAATGGACCTCCGGAACGAATTAAGTACTTAACCCGAGGTACCACTGTAAACAATATAAGAGGAGTGTGCTGGATCAGGCCAAAGGCCCGTCTAGTCTGGCATCCTGTTCTAACATAATAATAATAATAATAATAATAATAATAATAATAATACTTTTATTGCCATTGTACAACATCTGCAGGACCAAGAACAAGAGCACTCTTCCCTCCTGCGATTTCTAGAAACTTTGTGTGATACAGATAATTTCATTTGGTCTCCCAACCATGATTTTACATCTGCCTTATCAATTTCTCTTGGAAACTGGGCTGTGTTTTTTTAAAAAAATATGTTTCAATTTTTGAGTATGACAACATTCTTCTTCTTCTTATACATACATATCCAATCCCAATTTGCATTGTTTGACTTCCCCCCACTCCCACTGGTTTACAATTTTCCCCCTTCTCCTTGCATATAATTATATTTCTCCAAATAATTTCAACTCCTTTTCCAATCCTAATTCCATTACGACTTCATAAATGTTACATCAATCCTGCTAACGTTTTAACGTATTTACAGTGTTCTTTAAAGTAATCTATATTTTTTCCCCCAATTCTTGGTTAATTTTTGGAACAGGATCACGGAGGGCTCATGCGTAGAATATCTCCTTGGTTCAGCAGCCAGAGTTTAATGTGTTTGTAAGAAGGGGCGGGGGGGGGGGAGAGATTTGCACAAATTGTTACCTCCTGTTTGCATTAGGTGAAAAAAATGTGAGTTTGTTTGATAAGGAGGTGGCAGGCTGGGTGAATCACTCTGCACCGATCCAGTTTATAACAGGGAGGCATAGCCGGCATTTGATCCCGGAAGAGACAAGGGGTGGGGGAAAAACCCCACTAAACAAAAAAATTATTTGAAGAATCGTTATCCCACCTTTCTGCCAAACAAGGCTCCTAGAACAACCTACAGATCAACACAAAGAAGACAGTGCCCTGCCCTCGGGTTTACAATCCTCAAACAGACATGGCACAAAAGGAAAATGGATTGGGAGGGCGGAGGAAATAGCAAGATCTGAGTTTACAAGGTCTTCTCATGAGCAGCTGGGGTGGGGCATTTCAAGGCAAGGAGGAAGCAAAGGTCACTGGTATCTCAGGAGAGCTGATAGAATGGCCCTCTTTCCCTTCTTTCCCAGTTATCTGCTGATTGATTGAGCGGCCGCTGGCAGGTGACAGCTGATGGAGAAAGGAGGCCATTGGAGCTGCCTTCTAGCAGAGATGATGGAGATATTCTGCTTCTCCCCTCTCGCTCCATCTGCTACAGCCTGATGGATCAGTAGAAAAAAGACAGTCAAGGAACTGAGAAATTGCACAAAATGCCGTGAAAATCCCTGAAACGAGAAGTAATCGACTATAAATATTATTTTGTGGAAACCAACTAAATAATAAAAATCAATAAAAATCAAAAAGCTTAAGGGAAAATATTAGAAAAACCTAAAATAGAACGAAGCCTTAACGGGATGTCGGCTACAAACCTCGTTTCACTGAACTATTCAGTTTCCTCAGAAGGAAATAGAAAAATCATAAACTTTAAATGACCAAAATTCAAAGAAGGGTAGAACCCCCCAAATTCTGATGTATTATGATCCTAGCTCGACCTAGATAAAGCAAAGTGCAGTAATAAAGGATTGAGGACTCAAGAGTACAATTTCTAATGCTGAATTTACAAAAAAAGGTTTGATTCCAGCGCTGCTTTTACAAAAAGGTTTAAAAACCTAAGTGGCACAAATTCAAAGAAAAGAATACAAGATAAAGCTGTTTTAGATTTTAAACAAACTCAAGACCAGGGCTGAAACACTCCCATGGTCTAGATGTTACTGCTGATGTTAAAGACTGCTGGTAGGTGACAGCTGATGGAGAAAGGAGGCCATTGGAGCTGCCTTCTAGCAGAGATGATGGACAGATCCTGAATCTCCCCTCTTGCTCCATTTGCTACAGCCTGATGGACTGGCTGCTCCTTAACAGGAGGGTCACTTTTTTCTGCACCCACAAACCTTCATACGGGACCTTCTGAGGACTGCAAGACAGGGGTGGGCAGGGCCAGAGGCCACAAAAGTGGGTGGGGCCACAGTGGCGAGTCTCAACTTTTTCATGCGAGGTTTTCTATTGATTTTGCAAAGGTGACGGTGGCGTGAGAGCTCTTTGTGAACTAATATTTTTCCTCCCCGCCCCTGCCTTGTATAACCGTGCCTAATTTTTCTAATTGTTCTAGCTTTCAGCGAACATTCTTTTTTTTTTAATTGACCCACATGCCTTAAAGAACAGATCTAATCCTCACCGCCTTGTTTTCTGTCACTGAGCTAGCAGATCTCCGAGCTACACCACTCCCAAAAGCAAGATATAGTAAAAATTCATTTCAGATAATGAATGGATATAATTGAGGGGAGGGGGGGAGATTTGATCTGAAGCAGGATCTGTTCCAAAATTAATCTGGACTGAATGTTAATTTCTGGACTGAAAATTAATCCAATGAATTGAAGAACTGGTTTTGTGGTGATCTGAGGTGTGCGGCGGGTTAATTGATTTGGATGGAGGTCTCGGTTGTCTTGCCACCTGTCACATTTTAATCCTGGAATTTGCATCTATACCTACAAACCAGTGTTGGTACCTTTTTGCATCCCAGATATTTCCACCGCTTTGCCCCTTCCTGTTTAAATCTTGTGATTTACCGCAAAGGGCAGGGGGGCAGTTTTGCATGGAGGGATAAAAGCTCGCTCACTTTCTGTGGAAACCTCAATGCAAATGGAAATGATTGCAGAAAACCCTTCCGTAAGAAAGCAAAGGAGCTGTCCAAGAATGCAAATCAAGGATTCAAATTCATGTTCCCCTTCTTTGGATTCAGAAGTCTGGAGTTGGTACTATGCCAGTCCTGTGCGCAGCCTGGGAGTCATTCTGGACTCACAGGTGTCCATGGAGGCGCAGGTCAATTCTGTGTCCAGGGCAGCTGTCTACCAGCTCCATCTGGTACGCAGGATGAGACCCTCCCTGCCCGCGGACTGTCTTGCCAGAGTGTTGCATGCTCTGGTTAGCTCCCGCTTGGACTACGGCAATGCGCTCTACGTGGGGCTACCTTTGAAGGTGACTGGGAAACTACAACTAATCCAGAATGCGGCAGCTAGACTGGTGACTGGGGGCGGCCACCGAGACCACGTAACACCGGTCTTGAAAGACCTACATTGGCTCCCAGTACATTTCTGAGCACAATTCATAGTGTCGGTGCTGATCTTTAAAGCCCTAAACGGCCTCGGTCCAGTAGACCTGAAGGAGCATCTCCACCCCCATCGTTCTGCCCGGACACTGAGGTCCAGCTCCGAGGGCCTTCTGGCGGTTCCCTCACTGCGAGAAGCCAAGTTACAGGGAACCAGGCAGAGGGCCTTCTCAGTAGTGGTGCCTGCCCTGTGAAACGCCCTCCCACCAGATGTCAAAGAGAAAAACAACTACCAGACTTTTAGAAGACATCTGAAGGCAGCCCTGTTTAGGGAAGCTTTTAATGTTTAATAGACTATTGTGTTTTAATACAGCGGTACCTCGGGTTACAGATGCTTCAGGTTACAGACACTTCAGGTTACAGACTCCACTAACCCAGAATTAGTACCTTGGGTTAAGAACTTTGCTTCAGGGTGAGAACAGAAATCGTGTGGCGGCGGCGCAGTGGCGGCAGCGGGAGGCCCCATTAGCTAAAGTGGTGCTTCAGGTTAAGAACAGTTTCAGGTTAAGAACGGACCTCCAGAATGAATTAAGTTCTTAACCCGAGGTACCACTGTATTCTGTTGGAAGCCGCCCAAAGTGGCTGGGGAAACCCAGCCAGATGGGCGGGAAATAAATAAATAAATAAATAAATAAATAAATATTCCCCAGTGCACATGAAACCATGAGTCTCCAGGTGTTCAAAAAACCAGTAAGGCAGGATGAATCATCATAGTAAGGGGCATAGCTCAGCGGCAGAGTCTTTGTCTTGTAAGCAGAAGGTCCCAGACTGAAATCTTGCAGAGCTTCTGCCAGTCAGATCAGACAGTGCTGGGCTAGATGGACCCAATGGTCTGACTCAGTACAAGACAGCTGCCTAGGAACCCACAACTGAGAGCCGCATCCCTTTTTGCAAGTGGCAAGCAAGACTTCCTTCCAGGCCACTTCCCTCACAGCCTGGCATTCGGTCTCCATGCCAGGGCGTGGCGCCTCGGGGCAAAGGGAGTAGCTCCATCATGAGGAGATGACTCAGCCTTGCAAAACTTTGGGCAGCGGAGACTGGAGGAACCGCTCGGAGGAACGCGCACACACACACACACACACACACACACACACAGTAATCGCAGTGCCCATCCCAGCTGCCTGGGGCCTGGCCTGCCACGGGGAAAAGCAACAAAGCAGCTGCCATCTGGAAAGAGGCAGAAAACTGGACCTGAAACTCACAAGCTTCAGAAACCTCTGAACGGATTTCCTGCCTGGCCAGGAAAAACTGAAACCAGCTTTCTTTGCAAAGGTCCTGTCGGTGGGTGGACTGCACAGATTCCTCTGTCCCTTCGGCCCGATAAAGAGACAGGGAGCCTTTTCCCATTCAAGGGCCGGATTTCTTCCAAAGGAACATTCCAGGGGCCACCTGTCAGTGGCAGATGGATCCAGGGGCAAAGGCTGTAAATGTTGCTTATGTTTCTCCCTGCACCTTTCTGCCCTCCGTCCGTCCACACAAGAGGCACGGTC